GTTATGGGGTGTGTGAGTTTAGGGGGGGTGGTCTTACCTCAGTGCCACTTGGGATACGGGCAGCAAACAGCTTCCTGTCCTCCTGCTCCTGTTTGTCCTGGGCCTGCAGGTTTACCAGCTTGAGGGATGAAGGTTGAGGCTTTCTGACTTCCCTCAGAGCTGCTGCAGTGTGGATGGTGACCCAGGTGATCTCCTCTCCCCTGGTATGGCTGCCAGTATGGGTTCCCCCCTGTCTCCCTCAGGGGGCCTCCCCTATGGCCCCTGCGCCTGGGGGCTTGTATGGCACCAGCTGGCATTCCCGCCTGCTGGCTTCGCTACTCCCCTGACACTACTCCTCGGGCCCAGTTGAGGAGGTGGAGCTCGGGCCCGAGGCATAACCAGGCCCTTCAACTACCGTGCAGGATGCGCAGCCTACTTCTGCCGCACGGGACTTACGGCCTCCCCCTCCTGCAGCCGCATCACAGGCTGCGGCCTCCAGCGTTGGGAGTCGTGCCAGAGGCAGTAGGAGGTGGGCAGCGTGTCCCGCAAGGTGTGTGGCCGTCCATAGGCCTTCCCGACCGCCACATGGCTGGCACAACGGCGGGGCTGTGACAGGGGCCCCGGCGGTGAGTGGGCCATGCGGGGTCGCGCGGGGTACTAAGGTACTGCAGTTGGGGGGGGTCCTCTCATGGGCTGGGGTCTCCTCTGCTAGTGAGGATGGCGTCTGTGGGGTCTCTATCCCCTGCCCCCCCCTTCAGTTTATTCCCTCCCCACTCCTTTCCCTGGTCTTGTCCTGGAGCTCTCTTTTTTGCCTTCTGGGGGGTCCCCAACCCCTCCCCCGGTGCCCCCTGATTTTCCTGCTGTTCTGCCGGTCCCTCTGTTCTTTCCCCTTTCCCCCTCCCCCCCTCTCTTTGTTCCTCTCCTCTTCTCCTCTGTGTCCTCCCTCCTCCCCCTTCCTTTTCCTCCCCTGCTGTTACCTGTTCCTGTTCCTTTTGGGTCCTCTCTGCCTTCTGTTCCTTTCTCTCTGGGTCCCCTCTTCTCTCTGCTGGTCACTTACCTCGGCTGCTTCCTGGTTTGGAGCATGGGCTCACCTCCTCTCTGTGCTCTTCTCACAGGACCTGGCTGCTATTTCTAGAAATGCCCAGCAGGTGGCGCCTGGAAAACCTTGGAGGAACACAGTGGAAGCTGCCATGTCATCCCATACCTAACCCCTTGGAGGGAACAACAAATGAGTAACTGATGAATCAGGCGATATCGACCCTGCTCCTCTTTGGGCACCACACCCAAAGGGGAAACCCACGAAGCACATTAAAAGGGGTCACGGGGGAGGATGGGGGGGAGTTATATTTTAAGTTATGGTTATTTATGTTTTGACGTTTTGGTTATATCAAAGAAAAGAGAATATTAAAATAAAATATGGATGTGTTATATGGGAAGGCAGAGCCTGTAGTTGTGGGAGGGGTTGCAACCGGCCTATTTAAACTCTCTACTTACCTCCATACCTCGCTGACAGCGCTTGGTTACAGTTGAGTGACGGTTGCCACGACAACCAACACTTCCGGTTTGCAGCCCTCTATTAGCTCCAGAAGCAGCCATGGACTCGCCTCCATCCTCTGACCCGGCTTACAAGCTCTCCTTACCCGGCAAGCAGCTTCAGTTGGGGCTCCATCCACTTGCAGGACCTCCTACCCGGTTCCCGTTCTCAGTAACCGGCTCCCAGCCGCACAATCACGTATGTACATGTGGGAACTCGTTCACAGCGTTCCCACGTTCGGGCCTTACAAATGCTGGGGTTGGCTCCCACCGTCTAAGCTTTATGACGCTGTTTGGCTAATTCCGTTCGTTTAATTAGCATTAGTTAATCCTTTCAGGAAGGGCGTTCGTTTAAAATTTACAAGCATATCACTTTGCATAGATCTATCATTTTGTTTAAACCAAGTCGCATATTTGAATTGGGGTATATCAATTTGATGTAGTATTCGTCTAAAACTCTTCAATAATTCTAGCAATGTAGTCCCTTTCGTTTTAAGTATTCACTTATATCCATTTTGTGTAATAAGTCATTTTGTTTAAAATTAATTTAATTTAAAAGTCATTTCGTCTAAAAGTCATGTTGTTTAAAAGTAATTTCGTCTAAAAAGTCATTTTGTTTAAAAGTCACTTCATCAAGAGGCATTTCAGTTAAGAGACAGTTCATTTAAAAGTCTTGGCATTTAAAGGCATTTCATTGTGTGGGGATATTTATGGGATAATAATAGTAACAGTTGAGAATTGCCCACTATTTCAATTCTCAGATCCCAAAGAACGTTTATCGTGTTAAGTGGAAAGTATTTCATATAAATAATATCACAATGTATAAAAATAGATTTTTATTTATGATGACAAATTAATTAATAATAATAATAAGATGCATAACAATAATCAATGAATATCCAGTATAAAATGGTATGCAATACAAAGGAATGGCTATTACGTTTCAATGGCTAAATAGCATTTCCTGTCAAGTCTTACACGATTTATGAGGTATCCTTACAGACTGAAAGGAAAACTTTTCACAGCGAAAAAGTTTCACTCAGAGAACAGAAATCTTCAGAGTGCAGCGTAAGGTCGTAAAGTTTAGCTGACAGTTAGAATAACCCTTTCAATGCTGGCTAGATCTCCTAGGTAGTTAAGATCTATTCTTAAGTAATTTTAAATAAAATAACATTTAAACCAGTTCATTAGTCATTTCCTGGAACCATCCAATAAGAGAATCTACCATATTATATCAGCAGATTTTAATTTGTCTAAAATATATCTTATCTTATATTAGAGCAAATCAATACACCTGGATAAAAACAACGGTATGCTAACACGTGATAATATCACATCAATATATAATTATTCTTAATTCCACCTGCAGAATGGAATGTTTATAACTATATATATTTTAGTTAACTAAGATTTCTTAATATGGAAATCTGACCGTGCTTTATCCAGTCATATATAATGCTATTAATACATTTTAATTAATTTAATTTATTAAATGAAACCAGTATAATTACCAGTTGAGTAGATATTTCATCCGATTGGTAGATAGTCTCAGGAACTTATTTGGATGTCTCTCTGCATGGAGGTGTTGGTTAGAAAGTCAGTAAATTCTAAGTGTTAGAGTTTTAGGAGTAGAGTGTTAGTCTCAGATGTTGTCCGAGTTGGAATCCCCAAACTTCCAATTCCTCTCTCCTCTTTTTTGCATCTCTTGCATGGAGGTGTTGGTTAGAAAGTCAGTAAATTCTAAGTGTTAGAGTTTTAGGAGTAGAGTGTTAGTCCCAGATGTTGTCCGAGTTGGAATCCCCAAACTTCCAATTCCTCTCTCCTCTTTTTTGCATCTCTTGCATGGAGGTGTTGGTTAGAAAGTCAGTAAATTCTAAGTGTTAGAGTTTTAGGAGTAGAGTGTTAGTCTCAGATATTGTCCGAGTTGGAATCCCCAAACTTCCAATTCCTCTCTCCTCTCCTTTGCATATCTTGCCTATGTCTCCCTTGTATACCCTGCATATCTCTATCTTCCCTTTGTCTTAACTTTTAAAGGGCCAGACTCTCTGTACGTCATCAGTTGATAACCCAATAGAAGCACTAGAGGTGTGGTTATCTTCCAGATCGCAATTTAGTTATTTGGTCTATAGAGGGCAGTCTTGTCCCACTAAACATACCTATCCATGAAAGAGTTAACTTTTCCTAGTGGCTATTTTGACGTCATTTTGCTTATCTCAAATGACCACTATAACTTAAAATTTCAAAGGGTTCTTTAAGTTTTGTCCAGACTATATGTCTGGCAAATCTGAGTTTTGACCCGTAACTTACAATGGGACCTTATATATATATAGACAGTTAAATTTTATTATTTAATCTTCTCTGTCACAATTGTCTGGGTTTAGAATTGATTATATTCTTCTTATCACTTGTTTATACTATGCATTCCTTAGCTCTGGCAAAGTGGCTAGTCTTACAGAAAGAAATCTTGTGTCTTTTTTTGTTAACTTGGAATAACAAAATGGAGTCTGGTCTGTTCAGAGTGACTCAGAATATACACTTTTAGTTTCTATCATAGCACAAGATGTCTGCCGATATAAATACCCTGACATAACCCCCCTTTAGTGCATTTCATAGCCAAAATTAATTTAGCTTATGACTAAGCACTATAGAAGTTACCAGACATATTGTGCAATCACATCATTTCTAACATAGGCCCGTGCGTGGAATGAACATTTTTGTATATATTTGTACCTGTAAAAGTTTTAAACTTTACACTTAGTACAATCAACCATAATATCATTATTATCATAGCACATTGTTTTCATTTGAAAAATGTCTTTGGGAGTTACATATGGTATGGCCAATAAAAAGCAAATCTCCATACGTTCCGGATTAATTAAGAGAGGTATAGCGCTCCCCATCTCAAAGGCCAGATTTAATTGCATAGGCTCAATTGTCTCTCCATCCACATTGGCAAGCATCGCATGAACAATATCCTTGGATACAAAATACAGAGGTATGCGTCCCCCTGCCAATTCGATCATTCCAGTTTGCACTTCGTCAAGAAAAGCAAGTGTGTGGAACAATATTGGGTCATGCAGAAATAGAAGTTCACGCTTAAATAAGTCATGACTTTGGTGCAACTCAGTGGATTTGGCAATTAACTCCGAATGCAAATTTGTTGTAACAACTGTGTCTTCCACAATAGTTAACACGTCTTGGAGAAGTGTTCTTTGCTGTTGTAACACCTGATGAATATCGTTAATGTGTTGCTTTAGCGCATAGATTTCCATATCCAGCTTTTGGACAGTAATAGAGTTGGCTGCAGACATTCCAGTTGCGACAACTGCACCGACAGTGGCACAAACTAATGCAACAATTATAGCGGTGAGGAACCTTTTGGGTCGGTTGCTCATCGGAATAGAACTGGATACAAATGGTTTCCGGGCTTGCTCCAAGATGTTTCGCACACGGTCCTGTGCTCTTTGGAGGTGCATCTGGTACCAAGTCTGTAACTCAAGAAGCTGCATCGATGAAATGTTGTATGCCTTCTCGATGGAAATCTTGGGGTCCAAGCTGACGAACACACGTCGGGTCAGGATCCTCTTCTCTGTCAAGATGAACCCTGGTGTTTCTTGAATCAGGATGCCGGAGGATGGTCCCATCTCTGCAATCGGGTCGGTCCGTAGCTCTTGGCACAGGAGCAGTACGATCCAGAAACACGCCACATCCTTCTTGGACATCTTTCGACAGTCACGGAACAGAAACTCGTTTCAGACTTATCTACTAATGATTCAAGGTTTGTTAAGCATACAAACTTATAACAGTGTGATATCACTTGGCCTAGGACAACACATTTTTACGATTCATCAACATATGTATTCTGTCTAATTCTATTTTTATAACTTCATCCCTCACTACATTTATTACTGACTCCTCAGCAATATGCCTATAGCAGTTAAACAAGCTAGTAACCTGCTTAGAAAATTTAGTTATTGGATGGCAAGGAAATGGTTAATGACATGAACGTACATGAGATCATGGCACATCACAACATTTCACATCATACTATACCACGTGAATCAAGCATTCATCCAGGTTAGTCGTTCATCATTCTGCATCCGAATCCACACCTATAATCCTTAATTGAGATTTAGGATGACAAGCACGCAACTGGTTAATGTGAACCCACTTTTCAATAAAATCACCATCCTTAGGAATTTTTATCTTGTACGCTACTGGGGAAATTTTGTCAATAATGACATATGGCCCTTTCCAAGAAGGTAAAAAAAAATTTTCTTGACTTGATTTCGCGCAAAGTTATACAGATAGACTTGATCTGTTATCTCATATTCCTTTTTCGTGGTTTTTAAATCGTAATAGGTCTTAACCCCTGTCGCTGCTTTTTCTAGATTCTTTTGGGCAAAAGCAAACGCATGCTGTAAATGCTTGCGCAAATCTTCGATATACTGATGCATAGTGGCAGCATTGATCAAATTATGATCCGAAGTACGATATAGTAAATGCTGTGGTAAAACCATCTTTCTTCCTGTCATCAATTCAAAAGGTGACAATTTGGTAGCAGTGCTAGGTGTAGCTCTAATCGCCATTAAAACTAGGGGCAATTTAATGTCCCAGTCTTTACCAGACTCCTTAACATACTTCTTCAGAATATTAACGATAGACTGGTTATATCGCTCTACCCCCCCGCTAGACGCAGCGCGGTATGCAATATGTAGCTTTCGTTTAACACCTAGAATGTTCCACATCTTAGCCATTACTTCGCTGGTAAAATGACTACCTCTGTCTGACTCAATTCTTTGAGGCAGACCGAACCTGGAAAAGACATGGTTAATCAACAAAGTGGCGCACACGGTACTCGTGTTCTCTTTACAAGGCAAACATTCTATCCACTTTGTGTACATACATGTAACGGTTAACATGTATTTGTTACCTCTTGAAGATCTTGTTACAGGACCTATAAAGTCAATTTGAATATCAGACCAGGGTAATGACACCCCCCTCTTCTGAAGTGGTGCACGATGGGTTGGACCATGGGGTTGATATTGCGGACAAATCAAGCATCCCTGACAGTATGTCTTAACATCCCTTAACATGTGTGGCCAATATGCATAATCACGCAATATCTCATATGTCATCTTATCACCACGATGCCCAGATGTAGGTGCATCGTGTGCGTGTTGGAGCATTAACCCTCTGTATACAGTTGGGACTACCCATTGTTGTATACCATGTTTAGAAGTTCTGACCAGCAACCCATCCATGATACTAAATTGGACTTTATATCTCATCAAGATTCGTAAATCTTCATTATTTTTGCAATCCTCATCTGTGATGGGATTGGCAGTAGGGTCTTCTATATGTCTATAGAATATTCCTATGACGGGATCGTTCTTTTGACTAGTAATCAGGTCCTCACTAGGAGCTTCTTGACTCCATTGCACGACGTTTAAGTCGGCATTATCTCTGGCCTGTCGTCTAGTTATGGCTTCAACATGAATTGAACCCATAAGATCATCAATGTTTAGGGTTTCACCATTGATGGCAGCTTGTTTTGTCAGTGAATCAGCTAAGTCATTACCATCCTTGTCAATACCTTCTATTTTAGAATGGCCTTTGGTTTTCTTCCAATATATGGATAAACCATTTTCCTTAACCAGTTCATCGATTTTACAAAACAATTTCCCATGTTTAACAGGTTTGTTATTGCTTTTCAGCATTTGGTTACGTTTCCAGCTAGGCAGATATTCAACGAAACTGTTGCGAACATAGTTGGAATCAGTTATAATAACAAATTCTTGGGTACCATATTCTATTGCCATTTGAATGGTCTTATATACTGCACAGAGTTCGGCTATCTGACTGCTTTTGGGACCAATATTGTATCCTATAGATACATTGGGATAATCACCTGTCCAGGCGATTCCGATACCTGCAACTAACTTCCGTTCAGCACCAACGACGTGTTGATATGAACAACCATCAATGTATACCCACGGTAGTGGTCGACAGTATTCCTCATCATAAACTTTATAAGGGGATAGCAATTGCTCTTCTAGGAAGTCATCTCCGGTGTTATTATCATCCAGAGATGGAGCAGTACAGTCATGTAATTCTGCTAAACCTTGGGCAACTGGGCTTCTCTTATTATGTTTATAACGGACTTCTAGAGGCCATCCCTGTAAGGATAGAGTCCATGCAGTAATCCGACTGTTAGAGAGATTACCGTCTCTAATTCTTTCACTCTGCAGATACTGTAGAGGTTGGTGAGCTGTTTCTACAATTATTTTCTCACCTTGGATATAGCTACGAAAATTTTGTAGTGCCCAGACAGTCGATAATAACGCCTTCTCACACGTGTTGAATTTAACTTCAACAGGTGACAAAGTCTTGCTAGCATATGCAATAACTTTGTTTAAACTGTCCTGCTTCTGATACAGAACAGCACTTATGCTTAAATCGGTATAACCTGTCTCCAGATAGAAGGGTTTACCCCCCTCTGGGTATGCTAAACAGGGTGCCTGAGTGAGCTTCCTCCTCAGTTCACTTACCGCTTGGTCCTGAGGCTCCCCCCAGTTCCAGGTAGTTTCCTTTTTAAGCAGGTGTAAGAGTGGTTTAGTTATTTCTGCATAGTTATCTATAAACTTACGGGAGTAGTTAGTCATACCAAGGAACGATCTTAATTCCCTGATGTTTGAAGGTGTTTTAGCCTTTAGTACGGCTTCAACCTTCTTCCTCTGGGGATTTAATCCTTCAGAAGTTACCTCATGTCCGAGGAAATTGACATGGGTGCGACACCATTGCGCCTTTTGTAAAGACAGTTTAATCCCTGCCTCTCTTAACTGAGTGAGAACATGTCTAATCTCTAAGATATGCTTATCAAAGGAGGTGCTTTTCAGCAAGACATCGTCGACATATGATAACGTTCCTCTCTCGAGTGCGTCAGGCATAGCTTTATGCATGAACACAGCGAATTCATGACCAGAGTTTATATAACCGAAAGGCATACGGGTCCAGGTATACTGCTGCTTTCCAAATGTGAAGGCCAATTTGTATTGGTCTTCATTATGGACTGGTACAGTCCAATATCCCTGCGCACAGTCAATGGCAGTGAATATTTTGGATCCCTGCATTTGTACCAAACATTGGTCTATGTATGGCGTTGGCCAACCAGACATATAGACGCGTTTATTTAGCTGTCGTAAGTCAGCGCATAAACGCCATTGTCCATTAGGTTTCAGAATCCCCAAGATCGGATTATTATACGAACTGTGCACTGGACGTATAATGCCCCTTCCTTTAAATTCTGAATGATGTCTTGTAGACCATCATATGACGCTAATGGGAGTCTATATTGTTTGATAAATACAGGTGGTAAATTTGGATCAGTTTGTATTCTGGCTACGTGGAGGTTAGTTAACCCACAGTCGTAGGAATCTTTGGCAAAAATATCTTGGAATTCCAAAAGGATTTCCTTTAGCTGTTGCGCTCAGCATCGTTGGAGCAACCGTCAGCTAAAGATATTTGCTCTTCTAGCCTTTCCTGAAATCCTGGGAAGATTTCAGGCTGGCCTATCTCATAAGCTTCTTCAAGCCTAGAAGTTAGGTCAGTTCGGTGTTGACTTACCTTTTCTCTTTGGTCGTGATACTCTTGTGATTCCTGCTCATTGAGCGGATGATCGAAGGTGATAGATGCTTCTTCGATTTTACACGAGCCTTCTTCAACGTTGAAGGGATACACAGATAGGATAGTGAATAATCCTTCTGGGGAGGAATGGAATATTTGATCGACAATTTCGTCCTCAGTTAAGTATTCTTCAGGGATGAGGCCTATAATTTGGTTTTGGAAACCAAATGTATAGTACTCAGCATCCAATGCTAGACCTAATAATGTTCCTTTTGGTAAAGTAACACTATTGGGTGTAACATTGTTGACCATGATATAGGTGGGATTCTTACCAATACTTACCATTGGTGTATGTGTTACCACCATCCCTAATTGTTGTATCCTGTTGGATAAACAGATTAGGGCATCAGAGTTTTCCAATCTCTGACCCTTCTTTACCTGTAGGGGTAAAAGAAAATTACTTGTCCCCTGTGGAATGGTTATGTCATCAGGTACTTGGATACTTACCGCGTATGGGAGTATTTGTCCTGATTTCAGGGCGTTTTCCTCGTGTAGGTATCCACAAGGATTACCTTTTAACCTTGTCCACAAGTTGGAATTAATCAGGTCAAGGTGTATGGCAAAGCGATGTATGACATCATTGCCAACGTAAACCTGATAGCGAGGTTCGTTTATCACTAGGAATAAATGTTTAACGGTCTTATTTCCGATGGAAATAGATAGTAAACATTTTGCTATCACATTGTGACTTTCTGATTTGCCATCCAGATTCTGGATCCACCTGTCATGTGGGGAAGCGTACCTGATCATTTTAGGATTAGCGATCTGCTTTAACAGACTTCTGCTAATATAGCTGTTCTCACTCTTTAAGTCCAGCTTTGCATTCCTACTTCTTCCTAAGTCATTTATTTGAATAGGAAAGAATAAGTTGTTATTAACCCTTTCAATTCTGGCAAGGAATTGAGCATGACCTGCCAGATCTACAGATTCAACATAGTCCCTGTGGAGAGAAATGGTTAAAACATCACCTTCCAGAGAGACATTCTGGATCCTCTCTGGAGCAATTCTTATGGAATGCTCATCTACAGGTGCGATTGCATCATTCACCTGCAGGATAGTCACGTCAGGTGACTGACTATTCCTAAAATGTACCTCAATTGAGTCAGGTCTTTCTTCTATCACATGGCAGTTACGATCAGATTGTACATGTGATTTCTCATAGGTTATGGGAACTTTAGCTTGTGACCATACAATTCCATTCACACAGTCAATAATTGTGTTAAGTCTTCTGAGTATGTCTATACCCAGAATCAGTCGGTCATAGGGGAGATCTACCACTATCACCGGGTGTCTAAAGGTTTTGTTACCTACTTTAAACTTTAACCAGGTATTGCCAATAACATGAAGGGCATTTCCTCCTACACTCAACAGAGCATTGGGGAAATCTCTTAGCTTCGGCTTATCCGTTGCTAAGTCCATTACCTGCTGGAAGTAGGTATTGGACAAGATAGTGGCTTGTGAACCAGTATCTATTAACCCTATGAAAGGCTGGGGTAGCGAATCCTGTATTTCTACAGACATGTAGTACCTTCCTTCATGTTCTTCTAATTCACATAAGAAGTTAGAATGTGTCAACATATCACTCGTTTTCCATACATTACCGGTCACAGCAGTAGTTTCTACCTGTACTGAGGAATGCTCAGTCTTACCCACAGGCCCATCCTTTTTAGGAATAACTTGAACTATCAAGCGGGAACTAGTGGTCAGCATCTCATCAGTTAACCCTTTCAGGTCTGGATCCTGGAAACTAGTGGCTGCTGGGGCTACTTTAGCCTTTGGCTGAAATGAAAAAACAGAGGAACACGTTGCGCCTCCTTCACCCGGAAGTGAAGTGACGGGATAGGCAATAGGTTTTCTAACACAACTATTGTTTATTTGACTGTTAGTACCTGGAAAGGAAACAGGGTTAGGCATTACATCTACTGATAACCTAGCCTGTTTAGTCACAGTGGCTATTATTGCTGCGGCACCTGTTGCTGCGGTTGCACAGGTAGTTCTGCAATTGGAGCTATCCCTAAAAAAGGATTTCTGGCAAAGACTTCGTTAATCTTTGTCATTCCCTCCATTAATTTGCCCATCTGGTCTGTCAATTGATCAACCTGACGACGCAAATTATTTCCCCCATTGCCGTTTTGTCTTTGCCCATTAGAATTTGGCTGGGATGGCTGAGACTGTTGGGAGTTATTGGAAGCAGATTGGTTATTTCTGTTTCCATATCTCCTATTTCCCTGAGGATTCCTTCTCCATTGGGAATTGCCTTGGTTCTTATTAACCCAGGAGCGTTTATTCCCATTGGTATTGGACTTTTCAGAGTTATTAGAGGAATTTGCAGAATTGCTTCTGGCGTTTTCCTGTTTCTGAGGTTTTGGTGTTTTCAAAACCTCGGAATAGGTCCTCTTTTTCTGTTGGGTTTCTAAACCTAACTGAATTTTAGTCTCTGACACCATTTTATCACCAGGTTTCTTAACCTTTGGCTGATTTTCGTCATGTGCATGGTGTATAGTATACAATTTCATGCACTGACTGACTAGCCATTCTAATGGTAACTTACAATCGTAATCTCTTGCGAGATTCATTTGTATGTTTACTGGCATGGCATGAAAATACAGATCTTTGAAGTCTGTGCTTTCATACCTGGGTTTTCTTTGGGCCACGGAGTATGCATTTTTAAGAATTATTAAAAATTCTCTGGGGCTTTGATCTGGACGGCACTTTAAGTTATAAAGCGCCTTCTTTGCAGAGGCAATGGTTTTATACTTACCATATTCCATGGTTATTTCATATTTCATCTTGGACCAAGACATTAACTGTATAGCTTGAAGACTTTCTAGATAAACACGGCACATTGAATCAAAGGTCCATGTAATGAACCATTTCTTATGAATGTCATCATACATGCCCAATGAATTCATTGCTCTATCATAATTTTCCAGATGTTCAGATATGTTTCCTGAACCTCTAGAAAATTGTGGGACAGTCTCTCTAAGGAATTTGATGACCTTTGGCGTTTCATAAACAGGCGTCGTTGATTTAGGACCTCTGTTTCTGTGTTTGGGTAAACGTCTATGCGATCTGTCTGCTGAAGAGGAATTAGACCCGTACAACAGTTCAGATGGCATATCAGTTACATGGCCTTCAGAATGGACAGTGCAATCACTTTCACTCCCATCACTCTGAGCTTCTTGTTCACTGTCACAAATCTGATCTGCATCAGAATCCTGCCAGTGAACAGAACCATGTCTGTTTTCATTCCTATCACCTTGAATCTGATTCCTTCTGTCAAGCTTGGCCAGGACAGTCTTTTCAAACTGTTCTGCCCAAGATTGCCAAGAATCTACAGGTGTTTTCTCGGAATTACTCACATCTTTACTTAGAGACTGTTTTATGAAAACCTGGTCTGGTGTGGGAATATCAGGGAATTGAGAAGAATCACTTGGGTCTTTTTTTTTGTTAACTTGGAATAACAAAATGGAGTCTGGTCTGTTCAGAGTGACTCAGAATATACACTTTTAGTTTCTATCATAGCACAAGATGTCTGCCGATATAAATACCCTGACAATTGGAAACTTATTTGTTATAATGTCATTTCTGTTAAAAGGCATTCCGTTTATAAAAAAATAAATAAAAAAATTCATTATTATAAGTCATGTCGTTTAAATTCATTTGGTTAGATACCGTTCATTGGACATTTCAGCTAAACCATGCTAATCCGTTCCTCTGTCCCATACACTCAGTGCATTCGGTTATTTAAGCCACACGGTGGCAATATGTTATTCATACGTTAGCCATATCATATGGCCTATAGTTGCACGGATATATATGCTCAACGATGTCCTACTTAAACGATGTCAATGACTGCACATACAGGCATCAAAATGTACATAGTTAGGGAAGTAAGTTAAAACAGTATTGTCATATCCTTGCAGGACTTCGGATTTCGTTCTCAAGTCCAGCAGAAAAGCATCCCAGCACAAAGGATCGTCTGTAAAACACGGTATGTTAATTCATAGGCTAACTCAGACGGTTGGCACAACAAGCAATCTGAACTAGTAAAGGGAAACAATAATCAAACGAATAGACACCACAGCCCAAACGAGAATATCACATATGTGTTATGTCCTCGTAGGAAGTTCATCCCCAAGGCGAAATCAGCCCACACGCATCGGCAGTAAATTATACAGCACTGCATAATCTCTTATTCAAGAAGGAATCAAACAGACCCAAATGCTTAGCTCACTGACCAGGTAATAAGAAGATTAATAAATATATTAAAGGGGGTTATTTTATATCGAGGAAAGTATACATATTTTCTTTCCCTTTCATCATAGGCCAAGCAAACTAAGCATATACAACACCCCTAAAGATACACTCATCAGCAGAGGCGGCTCTCTAATTAGGCGGTTTAGGCGGCCGCCTAATGCCTCGCAATGGCTGGGGCCTCGTGGCCGCCTAAACCGCCTGTGGGCAGACTGTGTCAGGTCCTCAGTCAGTGACCGAGGATCTGACACCAGGAGGGGGCCTGGCGCTTTCCGGGTGTGAGGCCCCTCCTGGCTGCCCAGCCAGCCACCGCAGACACTGGTCTGCAGCTCCGCAGTGAGCAGAGCTGCAGACCACGTGTCTTGAAAGGGATTTAGGGGTGATTATTTCTGATGACTTAAAGGTAGGCAGACAATGTAACAGAGCAGCAGGAAATGGTAGCAGAATGCTTGGTTGTATAGGGAGAGGTAGCAATAGAAAGAGGGAAATGCTCATGCCATTGTACAGAACACTGGTGAGACCTCACTTGTAGAGTTGAGCGGACACCTGGATGTTCGGGTTCGGCCGAACTTCGAAAAAAAGTCCGGGTTCGGGCTCCAACTTGATCCCAAACCCGAACCCCATTGGAGTGAATGGGGACCCGAACTTTTTGGGCACAAAAATGGCTCTTAAAAAGTCCTGGAAAGGGCTAGAGGGCTGCAAAAGGAAGTAAAATGGGGGTAAGAGTAAGACAAGTGCCCTGCAAACAAATGTGGATAGGGAAATCACTTAAAATAACATAAAATACATAAAAATGTAAAATACAGCTGAGCCATAAAATAGCACTAGATTCTCTTTCATTGTTCAAACTGAGCCCAACAACTGATGCTTGGAGAAAAGGCCTTCACAAGCCCCTGCTATTGTGTACATAGTTTATACTAAGTGACCCATAGGTTGAGGAGGTGGTGACCGTGGCAGTGTAGGTGGAAGCGGCGGTGGAGGAGGAGGTAGCCAACACTGTTTTTTATTTTTTTTTAATTGGGGTAGCCCCCAAAATATTGGGACACATAAAAAAAGAAACATTTGCTGCCTGCCGTGCATTTCTTGCAGTCCAATAATGCCATCAGGTTTTTAAAACTGTCCGTCTCCACTAGACGGAATGACAGCATTTCAAAGGCCAGGAATTTTGAAATGCTGGCATTCAGGGCCAGGGATCGCGGGTGGGTAGGGGGGTACTTCCTCTTTCTCTCCAGTGTTTGGGAGATGGACAGCTGAACGCTTCCATGGGACAGTGTGGAGATGCTGGACAATTGTGTACCTGGCCTATGCTGGTGAGGGAACTCACCCTCCGAGCCACTTGTGAATGACTGGCCTGATAACCGTGGAAATGACCCCTCTTCCTCCTCCTCTTCCTCCTGTGCCACATCCTCTTCCATCATCGCCAAATGCGTTTTTTTTCAAGGAGACATAAAAGCGGGATAGTAAGGCTGAGAACGGCGTCAGCGGCACTGGCCACGTTGGTGGAGTCCTTAAAAACAGCGCAACATGGCACACAGGTCTCGCATGGAGGCCCACTCATTGGTGGTGAAGTGGTGCTGTTCCGCAGAGCGACTGACCCGTGCGTGCTGAAGCTGAAACTCCGCTATCGCCTGCTGCTGCTCGCAGTCTCTCCAGCATGTGCAAGGTGGAGGCGGTGAGCGGCAAGGCCGAAGTTGCGCTGCAGCGCAGACAGGCGAGCAGCAGCAGGGTGAGAACGCCAAAAGCTCGCACAGAATGCCCGCACTTTCTGCAGCAGCTCTGATATATATGGGTATACCCCTTGGCGGTGTAGGTGGAAGCGGCGGCTGTGGAGGAGGAGGAGGTAGCCAACACTTTTTTTTTTTTATTGGGGTAGCCCCCAAAATATTGGGACATATAAAAAAAGAAAAAAAAAGAATAAGTGCACTTGAGTATAACAATGGCTGGGTGAGGCCGGTATAAATGTCTATTCTGCACAAGGTACAGACAAGTTTGGTGGGATCCATGCCCGGTTAATTTTAATAAACGTGAGCTTGTCCACGTTGGCCATGGACAGGCGGCTGCGCTTGTCTGCGATAACCTTGTGCATTCGGATGTCTGCCCTATTAACTTTCGATGCAATTTTCCGCACCTACCATGGTGACCACGGGTAACGGGGAATCAGGGTTCGATTCCAGAGAGGGAGCCTGAGAAACGGCTACCACATGCAAGGAAGGCAGCAGTCTCTCAAATGACCCATTCCCGACGCGGGGAGGTAGTGACGACAAATAACAATACACTACTCTTTCGAGGCCCTGTAATTGTAATGAGTCCACTTTAAATCCTTTAACTTGGATCAATTGGAGGGCAAGTCTGGTGCAGAGCGACTGACCGTGCGTGCTGCAGCTGAAACTCCACTATCGCCTGCTGCTGCTCGCTGAAGCTGCATCAGGGTCCTGGTATGTGGCCGCACAAATGCTGATGATCAACACCAGGGGGTGTGCGGTTACTCTGCACCAGACCCTGCTAATCCATTCCACATTGTGACTCCTAACTTCAACATCGGGCATACTGGGTCCCGGTCGTTCGACCGCCGCCCAGACAGTGTCTGGGTCCTTGTCACCAGACTGCCCCCTAACTAAGAAACTGCGAATGGCTCGTTAAATCTGTTATGGTTTCTTTTATCGCGCCATCTGTTACTTGGATAACTGTGGGAATTCTCAAAATAATACATGCCGACGAGCACTAGGGGACCGCCGCTCTGCTTTTGCACCCTGCTCCCTTTTATGCTGTGCTGGTGCCTCTGTGCGACCAGCGCCTCTTCCTCCAAATTGCACACGTCACTCGCATGACCTTCATTCCATGTTGTTTTGGTGTTTGTTTTTTAACTTTGTAGTTGTGTCTTTACACAATATAGAAATGTATATTAATGCTTCTGTATATGAAGTGATCACAATAACACTATTTTTTAATTTTTTTTAAAAGTCTTTAGACTTTCTTGAGAAGCGGTAACTAGCCAGTGTTGCACACATACACCAGATATGAAGTGCAGGCACCAAATTGACTTTTTAGCACCTAAAGAATTTGAATGTTTAAAACTACAAAATAAGCACAGTGTTTGATGGTTCTATTTGACTCTCAGATATGAAGTGCACCGCAGGCCGCAAATGTACTATTTAGCACCCAAAACGATTCAAATTTTTCAAAGTGCGCTGTAAGCACAGTATTTGACGGTTATATTTGACTCTCGGATATGAATTGCAGGCACCAAATTGACTTTTTAGCACCTAAAGAATTTGAATGTTTAAATCTGCAATGTAAGCACAGTATTTGACGGTTCTATTTGACTCTCAGATATGAAGTGCACCGCAGACCGCAAATGTACTATTTAGCACCAAAGAGAAACTGCTATGTTTACAAATGGGTTAATCCAGCCTGTAGTGGCTGTCATTGACAGCCGCTAGAGGCGCTTCTCACTGTGATTTTCACACTGAGAAGACGCCAGCGTCCATAGGAAAGCATTGAGAATGCTTTCCTATGGACTGGCTGAATGCGCGTGCGGCTCTTGCCGCGCATGCGCATTCAGCTGATGATGTCAGAAGAGAGAGGAGAGTCCCCAGCGCCGAGAGGGCCCGGCGCTGGAGAAAGGTGAGTGTTTAACCCCCTTCCTCCCCCCTAAGCCTGGTGGGAGTGGGACCTTGAGGGTGGGGGCACCTTCAGGGCACTATAGTGCCAGGAAAACTAGTTTGTTTTCCTGGCACTATAGTGGTCATTTAATATCGCATATTTTAGAGTAGATCTAACAAAAAAAATTGTTGATCAAACCTGATCTAACAAATGGAATAATCTTTTGTTAACATTCTCAATATGGGGGGGCTAACCCGTGGGTGGTAGAAAACACACCTTTCCTAAGCGATCGAAGATAGACCAGGCACCTAAAAAGTTAAACATTATAGTGTCTGAAATACATTTTTGTATTCCTGACACTATAGTGTCCCTTTAAAAGAGGTTTTAGGGGGTGTTTTCTGAACATATCATCACACTTTTGTTGAGTTTAAGAGTAGCAATTTTGTAAATCAGAGTATATGGGAGCTTTATGTACATATTGAAGAGATATAACAGGATTAAAGTGAGAATTCAGTGTGAATTCAAGGAGCGTTTCACATTTTAGAGTCTTAGACCAAAGTAGCCATTTGTGCAGTTTGCTTATTTTCACCTTACATTTTATATTTACTTTGAATTTTCACTTTAGTTTTGCTAAACATCTAATGAATATTTTTGTTTATCTCCTAATCCCTCTACTCCACATCTATGTTTATAAAAAAAAGTTTAAATATAAAACATCGCGAGCCAGTTTCACCGTTACAGTGGTCCTTGCCAGGGGGGGGGGAAATTTTAAATAATAATAATAATAAAAAAAAAAAAATAAAAAAAAAGAATTTTCATTTATATTCATTTCCCTATAGCCCAGGTTCCCAAAAATTCTGAGGTCGGAACGTTTGTCTCGAGTGCTGTGTTTGCCATCGGAGGAAGATGAGCGGCGGGATACTTCCTGCACTGTGCTCCACGTGGGTTAGTGACAGTGTGGATCCCCTGTATACTGTACGCTGAACAAGCTCACAGTCACCATGGGGAAGAAGAGACAGAATTCAGCTCCTATGGAGCAATCACAAGAGGGAGCAGCCAAGAAACCCAAAGCCATGGAAGTGGAGTTCACAGGGACTCACTTTAAATCCATGTTACAGGATCCCCAGACTATCCAGAAAGGTGAGACAGGGCACAGCATTGGACTTCCTACCTGGATATCCACTGTTTATTTTTATTTTTAATGTGAAAGGCTAACCCTTGGATTACCTATTTGCACAAAAAGTTCGTTTTAAAGTATATCTAAACATTTTAAAGCACTTGTCCAAACTTTAATCGCACAGAGTGTACTGTACATGGGAAATAAATTGCTGTAGTGTATTATTTCTGCAGGGTGCTGTATTTAGGATTGTCAGATCCACCATATGTTTCTGTACATCCATAAATTCTTAATGTTAGTGGAAAGAAGCACATGAAAAGTGATGTCCTGCAAGTCATAGAATATATAAACTGTAGTACTACCCATTACTGATTAGATTTACTATCTGTTAGCTCTGAACTCTACATAGCAGCACGGTTTATGTGTTGCCCTTCAATATGTATATGTGTGCAGGGTAGTATGGATCACCCAGTCGTATATAGCTGTGATATGTGAGGAGTATAATAATCTGTGAATATTCTGCAGACAAGCTGTCAATGCCTTGCTACACAGTAATGACTGACCTAATACATGCTTTAACCCCTTAAGGACACATGACATGTGTGACATGTCATGATTCCCTTTTATTCCAGTTTGGTCCTTAAGGGGTTAAACGAGAACCAGCAGAGGAGTTACTTCTAGAATTTCAATGCTCCTTCCATCTTCTGAATAGTTTGTGACAGTAACTGTCTTGGAATTAGGCTTTTGTGTATCAGTTATAGACAATTTTATAATGATAAACAGGTAACCATAAAACACCACAGTGTCACACACGTGATCGGTATAGTTATATAGTGAAAAATCCTTAAAAACAAATGGAAAACCTATGGACAATACAAATTCAGTATGATAATATAACTACTGGTGGGATCAATCTCACATGATGCAGAGCCGTATCGGGCACTGTATATTAGGCCCAAGGGTGCCTATACAGGCTCGACGAAATTCCAATAGCCGCACCACAACGATCCAGTTAAATAGATGATATATCACTTATACAATATATTTTAAAAAAGAACAAATAAGGTAATATGCCCAATTACGTAGTGCAATAATAAAAAAATTTAAAAAAATGTCAAAGGTAAATCCAAATTTCATTAGAAGTTCACCGCTGGCACTATCAAACCTTACAGAAAAGATTAAGAATGTGTACTGCACTTTATTGGAGAAAGGAAACAATTTGGATATTCTCAATAAAAATTTGTTGTTTTGTATTTAATCATTAAAACAGCAAAAAAATTATTTTATTTATTTATTTTTTACTACCCAAAATTCATAAAGACCCAGAGAATCTCCCCAGTCGACCTATAGTATCGGTGGTAGGCTCTCTTCTAAGCCGCCTCTCTGAATATGTGGATAGACAACTTCAACCATTTGTCATGCAATAGCCAGCTTATTTAAAGGATTCCATTTTGAGTGCTGGGGGAGAACTTTTTGCCTTAACACACACTAAATACTTCCCTAGACCCTTTCTTTTGTGATTATATTAACAATTTTATGCTTAGTGATTTATATCCCACTACACAACAAGAGTTAATTCATAAACTGAAATTGTGAAGAATTGACTAGGAAATTGCTAATTGTAGCCAAACTGGAGAAACCCTAACACAGTCAAAAGAAATCATAAGGCAATGCAGGGACTAAAATTGGACAAAAGGCAGAACTTCCGCAAATACATTCGACAAACGAACTGCTCTGTGTTCTGTATTTTCCCTCTGTTTGACATAACGTGACAAACAGCTGGAGTTACATCTGTCAAGTTTTCTCAAATCCTCCAGACTAATGATGCCTGTGAGGAAAAAGGCTTTGTCTACAGAGGCTTCTGCGGCCTTCATAGACATCAGTGCTGTACTCTCATGTAGGCGCGAGCATACAGCACTATGTCCTCCTGGCAGATGAAACATCAGAAGTTATCCCATGGATAAAGATGGCAGCAGCTTTAGCGAACAGCTTTAGGTAAGTAAGACCTACCTTCCCCGCAACCCCTGGTGACCACTCACAACCGTCGATGTCACCATCAGGGATCTTTATAAAATATGCTAAGACATTATCTGGAAATCTATTCATAAACAGGGCTATACATAGGACACGAGGTCACACATTTAGACCGGAAGAAAGGAGATTTCATCTAAGGTAAAGAAAAGGTTTTTTTTACAGTAAGAGCAATAAGGATATGGAACTCTGCCTGAAGAGGTGGTCTTATCAGAGTCCATACAGATGTTTAAACAGCAATTGGATAAATACTTGCAAAAACATAACATACAGGGATATAATTTCTAATTAGTGGGGTAATAGCTGGACATCTGACTGCTATTTTGGGGTCAAGAAGGAATTTTTTCCTAGTTTGTTGCAAAATTGGAAGCGCTACACACTAGATTTTCTTTTGTCTTCTTTTGGATCAACAGCAAAAACATATGTGAGGAAGGCTGAACTTGATGGACGCAAGTCTCTTTTCAGCTATGTAACTATGAAACTCCAGAAAGTGATCGAACTGTCTTAATGAAATGATATATTTAGGAAAAACTGTTTATAACAATGATTTGTTTTTTCTTTTTTAGGCTTGGAACAGTTTTTGAATCTATCTAGGGCGCTACCCTCTTCCGATTTGTATGATGTAGTTGAGGGATACATCAAGATTTCAGTGGAATGCATCGAAATTCTGAAATTATTAGAAGGGGAAAAACGAATTGAGAGTGAAGTAAGTTAATGTTTTATTTATAAATGTATAAGAAAGGCTGAAGGAGGGGGTCATTCATATTCCCTAGCAGTATTTTAATTTGGCCTGTCAACTCACTTGCCAACCCCTATTCTTATGCATCTTACAAGTGTTCTACTATTCCATTACACTGCATTTTTGCTTCTTTGTCAAAGGCCTAGATAAGAGAACTTTATATGGGCATTTAAAGGAGACACAGAAACAGCGAGGGAGATTTATCAAAATGTTTTATTTAAAGAAATAAAAGTGTTGCAAAAAAATGAAGAGGAGAATGTTCCTACTGATTTTAATGGTGATAGCCCCACTTTTAGTGTTCTCTATCATTTTTCGTTAGAATACAACACCTTGATAAATCTCACCCATTGTTTTTGTTTTCTCCTCCTTCAGTCCATTGAGTGCCATGCCATGGCTGAACTGGATTGGAAAGTCAGTGGCTAAATCTCTAATCAACAATTAAAATGATGGAGTAATACATTGTTCCCTAACTATAACTCTCGCTATAGATGATTTATTCAGTGGTATACCATACCAATCTAAATACACGTACATAGAGAAAAGAGTATAACCTGACGCCCATGGCAAACTTTGCACAAATTAATAAGCCTTAAAGAAAAAGATACCAGTCAGCAGAAGCAAACATTGTATGATTTCCCCATTTTGGTGTTTAACTAAAAAAAACACAACTGTTTTTAATTAAAAAAATATATGTTCCCAATTTCAGCTCATGTTAATTTTTCAAGTTTTGGAGGCCATTTTACTGAGGACAGCAAGTGACCTCTCACATTTAAACGTAGCTGGCGTGAACATAGTGAAGCAAATGCTGAATACACATATGAAAACGTTATATGCCTCTCTATACTCTGTGACGTACAGGTAAATTCCATTCTGGGAGACACATTTGCGAACTTATAATCCTCTAAATGGGTATAGTACGATGTTCTTAGCGCTTCCTTCAAAGTGTCTGTCAAAACAGAAAAAACACTATTGGTCAGTGTACTGAATATGGTGTAGTGTGGGCACATCTTTGTTGTTGTTGTTTTATTTTTTTTAATCAAACAATTTGAGAGCAGACTGAAAAAATACTAAGACCATACCCAGCACCCAGAGACTGTCCCATTCTTCACTCAACTTGATAATAGGAAATTTTACTTTTGCATTATTGGTATCAATTCCGATCGTCTTGAACCGTAGGAGTATGCTGAGACTACTGCTCTAAGCCATCCCCAGCACTCTCAGCAAGCCAGGATAGGTTTGATACTGATGAAGATGAATTGTAAACACAGCATTTTTAATTTGACTGAAGGGCAGTCTCACAGTGCTGGCAAGAGTTTTATTTTTTTGTCTTCTTCTAAAAGGTTTGATAAAACATTGCGAACAGGAACCATATCATGTTGGCAATGTAACTACTATAAAGATGTTCTCTTTAAAGGGACACTATAGTCACCAGAACAACTACAGTTTATTGAATTTGTTCTGGTAAGTAGAATCATTAGCTTCAGGCTTTTTGCTGTAAACACTGTCTTTTCAGAGAAAATGCAGTGTTTACATTACAGCCTAGGGATAACTTCACTGGCCACTCCTTAGATATCTGTTAGAGATCCTTAATGGGTCATGGCTGCTTAAAATGCATCCAAACATTCAGTGTCTCCTCCCTCTGCATGCAGACACTGAACTTTCCTCATAGAGATTAATTGATTCAATTCATCTCTATGAGGAGATGCTGATTGGCCAGGGCTGTGTTTGAGTCATGCTGGCTCTGCCCCTGATCTGCCTCTTTGTCAGTCCTGATCAGGCCACTACTTCTGCTGATGTCCACAGGCTGCTTGTTTTTCCAAATCTAACAGCATGCAGAGTTACAGCTTCTGACTTGAATACAGTAAGATTTTGCTATATTTATGGAGGCATGTGGGGCCCAGGGGGGCTATATGGTGGTTTTAACACTATAGGGTCAGGAATACATGTTTGTGTTCCTGACCCTATAGTGATCCTTAAAAGTACAGTTGTTCCTTTTTTTTGTATAATATATTTTTAATTTCTCATATAGTGCTCTCATCAAGGACCAACGGCTCTGTACAGAGATGAACAATTTCACTGCTATTAATAAATGCTATAATACAGTGTAAATTAATCATTGCATCAGAGAGAAGCACAGATTAATGTCAGGATGTATGAACTGGGAAGAATGCTTTATAATTTGTCGTATCACATGATAGTAAATACAGTCAAATATATTTGTGGTTCTACACAAATTGCTTTTAAATGTATAGATTAGTGGGGAAAATAACACTGTGCCGGCCACAACACTGGATTTGTATATCCACATGCTCCCACATGTTGAGTGTGGTATCCCAAAATGCCTGCCGTGCAGCTGCACCCTTTTACATCAGCATTGTTTGACAAGTAACAGTGATTTAATACACTTATTTAGTGTACTAATTTAAGTAAATTCAACATTTTTTTTTTATTTTATTTTTTTTTGTTGTTCCTTGGAACTGCACAGAATGTCTCGAATTTGCCTTAATTTATTGTCGGCAATGGTGACGCAAGGACCAGAGTGCGCCAGGGATGTTTTTAGCCATTTTGATTTCCATAACAAGTGCCTGCCCTCGTTACTGAAAAAGAGAGACAAACAGGTAAGTGACACTGATGAAAATATTATGCAAATGCATAAGTGTTTGCATGTTTCTTGTCTTGCTTGTCTTTTTTTTTTTTTTTTTCATTAATGTTCTTGGTTTAAACTTAAAGTTTCAACAACAAAAAAATTCTCGCTTTTTCAAAAAATATTTTAATTTTTTTTCTTTTTTTTTGCGTTTTTGGAGAGCTGTCTTCTTTCAGCAAATGATGCCTTGCAAAAACATGCCATAGGGTAATAAGAGATTAATAAGTGCTGTTCACTGTGTGTGTGGTTTTAAGTAAATTTGTTGTACACATATATATTCAGTCGATACATTCAGTCCTCTTTCCATATGTTTGCCGTTTGTAACTGTCAGACTCTGAAACTCCAAATTGTAGCAAATGAAAATCTGACTGTTGTTTACTAAACTAAGAGTTTAAAGTAAATTAGAAGTAATTTTCAAATACTAGACCTAAATAGTCAAACTGGAAGCAGAGCCGACTCTGAAATCCAGTTTGAATTCCTTACAAGTCTGACTTTAGTAAATAACGTTGTCTGTCTAAAAATAGCTGAACTGTAATAAATTATCTGTCTCGTTTATAGTCACAGTTTGGCTTCAATGATACCATTTGGATTCTAATATTCTACAGTTCAGCGTTTATTGACTAGTCCTATGTGAGTACAGTTTTTTTTTTTTCTCGGTCTGCCCAAGTAACTGTCTGTGTTCCATTACAGGGGAGACCAGATGTCCGAATGGCGTACATTCAGTTTGCACTGTCCTTCCTAATTTCTGGAGACAACGCCACTATTGTTCAAATCATAGAACTAAAAGGTATGTAAAATGTAATGAGAAAAAAAACATAAATGAAGAACATCTCTTATAATTCTAGCTGGTTTCTTGATTATTTGTAAAATTGTGTCATAATTCTCCTTTTGGAATATCTGGAGCTCACCACAGGGGATATCTGACAGTATGTAACTATATGAGAAAGTGTCCATTTATCATTGAAAAGTTAAAATTAAAATGAGTAATTTTACTTAAAGAAACCCTATAGGGACAGGAACACAAACATTCCTGGCATTACAGTGTTAAAACCACCATCTACCCCCCCGGACCCTCTTTGCCCCCCCTCCCCCCAAATAAAGTAAAATCTTACTTTTGTTCAAGTATGCAGCTGCTGGCTCTGCCCCTGATCTGCCTGCTTGGCTGGCATCATCAGGAGTGGTGATCTGAGCCAATCACAATGCTTTCACATAGGGTTGGCTGAGAGTGTCAAGGAGGCAGATCAGGGGCAGAGCCAGCACAAGCCAAACACAACGGCCAATCAGCATCTCCTCATAGAAATGCATTGAATCAATGCATATCTACGAGGAAAGTTCAGTGTCTCGATGCAGAGGGTGAAGACTCTGAATGGCAGTGCTGCACACTGTGCAGGACTGCCCCAGGAAGCACCTCTAGCAGCCATATGAGGAGTGGCCAGTGGAGGTATCCCTGGACTATAATGTAAACACTGCATTTTCTCGGAAAAGACTGATTCTACTCACCAGAACAAATAGAATAAGCTGTAGTTGTTCTGGTGACTATAGTGTCCCTTTAACGTGACTGGCTAGATAAGTGAATTAGAGGTGTAAAATAATTAAAATAGCATTTTCAATATATATCCTTCTAAGAATAGCTGCACACAGTCTTCTTCATTCAATGTACTTTTTTCTCCAGATTCAGTTTTTCATGTTGTTTTTTTTTCTGCATTATAGATTTTATTGGAGATATTTTTTGTACCGGCATAAGAGAAGACCGAATTTCTTCTATCAATCTCCTGCTTTCCCTTCTTGAAACTAAAGTACTTAAGTATTTCCATTCCATGCTCTCTTTAGCTACTCCCATAAATGTATATAGTTGTTAGATATCTATTATCTTAGAGGGGAGCTATCACTTCTCTTGAATTACACCTTTGAATATTGAATATATAGTTATATTGAAGGGTTTTGCAAACCAAAAACCAATGTTTTAAGATAACACCGTTTTTGGGCAGAGTAAACCTTCCTATCCTTGTCCACCCCAAAAACACAAACAGAAAATGGCTTAAAACTCACCTAAGTTCCAGCACCATGGACAAGGTCTTCAGCCAGATCCTCCTCCACTACATCACCCCCCCCTCGTTGGAAAGAGATGGACGTAAGGGAGTGTGGGCGGGGGGAGGACATGGATGTGTGAACACTGTAAATTTAGGTACTCTACTTTAAATAAGGTAGATGGATTACCTAAGAAGAAAGTTTTTTTGACATCTGAAATCTGGACATTTCCTGGCAATTCTGCTAGTATTATATAGAGATGTCATTTGATTCTCTATCATTTGTCATGACTGGTACTATTTAAATCAAAACCACGATTCATATCCAAAGGTTCTAAAGTTCCAAGTTTTCAAACCCCTAACATTTCACTTTCTTCTCAACACTTCTACACTATCTATTTACCTAGAGTCACCAACTTATAGGCAACTTTCATTGTTTTATTTAAGAATGTGAATTCCGGAGACGTGGCAGTTCCCCATTAAATATAGAGGATACGTAAACAAGATATTGAAAATACGGTGAAGGAACAGTTCCACTTTAAAGGGATTTTTGTGTAAACCGAGATCACTTATAATGCTATTAATGTGTTGCAAGATTACATGAGATGTGACATGTATCATGGCACTGTATATACAATATGGCACTAAATCATACAATATTTGTTGAGATATATATATATATATATATATATATATTTGTGCTCGGAATTTAATACGTAACGGATAGTATCTGAAAAGGAAAAGTTGGTTGTCGTGTGCCGAAACCAACGTACGAGTTTTAAGCTCTTATGAATATTCTCTGCATATTTTGCAATTTATATTCGCCAATTAAACTATGAAAATATTGTAGTATTTTTGCAGTAGGCGCTCTTGTCTCCAGGGTAAAGCAGTTAATTGCTCCTCTCTTCCTGCACTATAGGTCATTCACAATAAAGTGATTACAAAGACGCATAAAATGCGCTTTTTTACATCGGCAATTTTAAAGAACATTGCCTCGCTGTATCGCTGGAATGGTATCGTTGATGTAAGCACAGAGGATGTCAAGGTAGGTTCCCATTCAGGAGCTGATGTAGAATTTTTGGTGTGTCGGTAATTCCAGCTTTTAGATGAAAGTGCACATTATAAATATGGGCAGTAATTAGTAATAGCGCTAATTGGGGCAAGTGGCAAAAACAACTTGTAGCGGATTCTGTACACTTGCACTTGTTTTTTTAACTTTCATTTTTTTCCCTTTGCTGCTTATAACTTTATCTTTTACACATGTTTAACTCTTTTTTTTTTGTCAAGTGTTTATAATTGAGCTATATCACCGATTTCCTAGGTTGAATTATTTTTTGAAGTTGTGACTTGAAACCCATGTGCACATAAACACTTTTTTTAGCAATTTTATATATTTTTTTGTGCTGGTTTACTCTCTTTTTTTAAGGATACCAAAGATTCACAGGAAGCAGGCAAGATCATGGTGAGACAGTTGGTTCACAGTTTCCTTATGGAGCTCTGCTGTTCTTTGAAACAAGGCATCAATTTCTACGATCGAAGTCTCGGCACAGCTGGAGGGTAAAATTTACTGCAATAAGTTATTTACCCTAAAAGTATCGCTGGTTTCCATTCACTGCATTATGGCTATGTCTCACAGGTTTTTACATGTGCGGGTAATTCTAAATTCTGAAAAAGCAAGATTAAAAAAATCTATTTTTAGTTCCCCTAATTTTTGTAACAGAAGTCTAGCTGCAATGTTGGCAATCTTGTACTGTATTCTGGGATAGAAATGTGGTCTATATACAATTTTGTTTTCTCTCTGTCTCTCTCTCATCATTTTGCATGTAAATGGACTCCTGCCCCATCAAACATTACAAAGTAACCTCTGTATAATGGATAACATATAGGGCCTTATATCTCTGTGTGAAACAATGTGTCAGGCTGTGTAAAAGGTGTAATATGATATTTTGTGACTTTGCATATCGTGATGTATTAGGATTTTAGGAAGTCCTTTTTTTTTAAATTATTTTTGTTTTTTTTTATTATATAAATCTTAATTTTTGGTGCAATTTGATATGAATGTTACACCAATTCTGTCAAAGCAGTGTGAACAGTTCAATACAAAGTTTAGCATTAACGATATGGCATGTTCAAAACTGGTATTCATGTACATTGCACATTTTTATGTAGTGGGCTGTTCGGTTATAATGGTGTGGATATCGAATGTGGTATTGACTCTTCGCTGTGCTGGCAACTATTAGGCCGTTTGTGTTAGGAATACCTCGGTTCTGGTTCCCTATATTACGTGAGGGATTGGCTATGGCTGTCTCCTAGTGGTTATCGGGTATTCAGTGTTTGGGGTGTGTTAGCGGCCTTGGGTCATTTCCTTGCGAGGAGTGGGTGCTCCTGTGTGTGTCTAGTATAGATGTTGTTGTAAGTGTGCGGGGAGGGAGACATGGGTATGTTGCGGTGTAGGTTGGGGGCCGAGGGGGGGGGGGGATCAGTCCCTTTACTATGTCTAGGTGTGCTTTTTCCCTGGCTGTGGGGCTTGGGTCCCTGTTACCCTGCATGTCTTACCCCATAACCCCGGGGTTATAGAAGGGGGGGAAGTGGTTCTGGCGATTCTTGTGGAGGGTGCCTTATATGATGTTGGCAGGTGGTAAGTTGTTGCTTCCCTATTTTCTCATATGGTGAAAAAAATACCGGTAGGGTACATTGGTGACATCATGGCTGACAAAACATTTTTTACAAAAATAAACACATCATCATTAATTAATTTCAATCTGGGTTGGCCTGGCACTGAGGTCCGTTAGGTCGTAGGCCTCTTGTCCCTCCTTAACTCAAGTGTGGGTTTGGCTTTGGCAGTTCGTGCGGGAGTATGCGGTAGTCCTTGGTTAGTGGTGCTTTGCTGAGGGATGTCCAATGCCTTCAGCAGGGCCTGGATTTCGTCTGGTTCTGTGGCCTTGTATGATTTTTCACCTTTAGTGACCCAAATTGATCTCGGTGTCGCCCATCTGTAGGGTATTCCTTCATTTTGTAGGATTTTCGTGAGGGGGTGCCTGGATTTCCTCCATAACAAGGTGGTTCTGCTGAGGTCTTGAAAGAAAGAGAGTTGGCACTGTTCAAAATTGTATGGTGACTGTCCCTTTAGTGCCTGTAAGAGTCCCATCTTGTCCGAGATCGATTGGCATCGCAGGATAATATCTTGGGGTGCTGGGGCCTGAGGAGACTTGGCGATCCTGTACGCCCCGTCGAATGTAAAGTATTTAGCTTGCTTTGCCGGCAGTAGGGAGGCGCCAGTCTCCATATAAAGTGTGGTAGCTCTATTAGTGGGATTGTTTCCAGGACTCCCCGTATCTTGATATTCTTCCTTCGCCCTCTATCATCTAAGACATTCACTTGCCTGCTTGTTTCTGCCTGTAGTTGCTGTACTTGTGCGCCCAGCACCGTCAGACCTTGTTTGAGGTCGAGCATTTCCTCCTCTGTGGCTTGGGTGCCTGCAGCGATGGCCTGTACCCCCGTGGTGAGCACCGCCAGGTCTGCTCCCACATTCTTCGAAGGTTGTGCTGGAGGCCAGTAAGCATGTCTTGTATCTCCTGTTTGGTTGCAGGAGCTGTTGCTTCTTGTGTGTGCGAGGTGCTCTTGTAGGCTGATGCTGGGTTCCGAGGGGAGGCCCTGCCGCCATAGCCTGAGGGTGATGCGTCACTCGAGTGTGAGGATTCCCATGAGGTTGATGCTGACGTTTGAGGTTGTAGCATTAAGCTGATATCACGCTGCTTTTGGGATTTCCTCCCCCTGTCTCCCGCCTGTTGTATGGTGGGTAGCAGTGCAGACAGGTCGAAATCACTCCACGTCGGGTAGCCACCTCGGTACGCGAGGGCCAGGTCTCTCACGCGGTAGGCCTTTGGGCCGCGGGTTTTTCTTGCCCGGGGCGAGGAAAAAAGGCATCGACTGCTGCATTGTAGTGTTCTGCGAGCGGATCTGCCCCGGATGTCCGCTTTGGCGGTATGTCGTCGTCGCTATTCTCTATTTAGAGAGGCAAGCCGCTGGAGCAATGTGGAAGTGCGACTACTCCATTGCGCTGCTAGCATTTATCGCCTTGTTTTTTTTTAATGCACTTCTGTTTTTAATACATATTTTTTTATTTCCATATTCTTCATATTATTATTTATTTTTTAATTCCTGTAATCAGACCGCAAAATCGGGTGCTCTTGGGATTCCTTGTTTCTCTAAAAACTGCACCAGAAGATGACCTGATTGCTGAGCTCGTGGTAAACATACTTAAAGTGTGTCCTGACTTACTGAGCAGATACTTTAAAGAAACCCAGCACTTATACATTCCTCGACTCAAATCTGTTTGGCTGGACAATATTAAATTACTTAAAAAGGTAAGGACCCAAGGATGCCTTTATGTACTTTACATTTCTGTGTGTGATTTACACCAGCCAGAATAATTGTGAGCTTTCTCCCTTTTCATCATAACAGAGTATTTATTTTAATTTTATTTTTTACTCAAAGATTTAAAAATCTCACTTTATTCTTCTCAATAAAGTATTTTGATAATTAGAAAAAAGTACATGCAGTTTACATGTGATTATAGAGTAAAAGTCTCTGCTGTATATAAAACTATTATACTTAGTAAGTGTGTGCTTTGATCGAAATCACATTCATATTTATTGTGTTTTAATCTTAGTCTTTAATGATGATTTTAAAAAGTAACGGAAATGCAGGCACTTATTGGACTTGACCATTGATTTACCGATGATCATTTTTGGAAGGTCTTCATGTGTTTATACATTATTGTAATGCATGTACTCTGTATTTCCAGATCTATGAGGAGCTGCCAGCGATCTCGGTTGCATTCAGAACGGCAGAGTTTGTTCCCTTCCCTCGCCTCATGAACATGGTGATGGTAACAACTATGGCACCGGTCTGCAATAAAGTGTTTTTCACTCAAGGCCTTAATGTAAGTGAGATCCAGCTACTTGTATTTTCCTGATAGGAACTTAATGTTTACCTATTTTGCTTTTTAAAAAATATTTAAAGCTTTAACAAAAAAAAAAAGGTGTTTATTATGTCCTTCAATATCATTTCACATAATGTCAGGGTCCTTGACAACCCTGTTAAACAAAATATATCTTTTGAATCCTATAACAGCATGTGGGCAGGTTTGGTTATTTTTAGAGGAAGCATGATTCCAACATCCTTTTGCTCCAAAATACTGGGCTAACGTTCCTGTGCATAATACGCTTAATTTTGTTGTAGAAAAAGAATTTGCTGAAAAGAAGGCAGGAGATATCTTTTGGCACGAGGTTTAGTCCACAGTCATAAAATGTTATTTAATGTAAAAATGGAAATGTGGGAGGTTGCCAACAACTACTGGGGAGGGGTAGAATTAACAACAATATTGGATGAAAGATTGAATTACACCCCATCCAGTGCAACCATACATTGTCACCCTAATACAGGGGTAGGCAACTTTCAGCACTCCAGATGGGATGGACTACATTTCCCCTGCTGCTTTGCCAGGATTGATGACTTATTTTAATCTCAATCTCAGACTTGTATTTTGCAATCTGCTAAACGCTATCCCATTACACGGTCAGATCATGCACCAATTAAAATGCTTCTATCTTCCATGTCTAAATCTCCATCTCCCCTAGGCTGGAGTCTCAAAGAATTATTTGCTGCTACACCATGAGGATGTTTCTTAATGAGTTTATTTCTTTATATTTGATAACGTATGTCTCTACTGATGTGTTTTTTGTTTTTTTTTCTTCCGTCTGATTGACTCATAAGGCCATTTGTAAAGGTTTTTTTTTTTTTTTTATTAGTTTATCGTTCTCTTTGGGGGAGCAGAATCAGGAATGTACAAATTGATCTTCACAAGTAGCATCCGTGGCACACTTCCATAAAGAAGTTAACGATCCAAACTTAAGCAAATAACTTCTCCATTTAAACTAGTAATTAAACTCATTACTTGCATCAGGAACACCATCACCTTAGAGCAGGAATCCCAAGTTCTCCAGTCTCCCCAGGATGTTGGTGGCTAACAACTCTCAGAATTCTTTGAATGCAATAGGTGGCCAATGGATAAACAAAATAATTTAACTCCTAAATGGCAGAGTATTGAGTAGTGAGACTGTGTGGACATGATCTATACACCAAAACTGCTTCATTAAGCTAAAGTTGTTTTGCTACCTATAGTGTGCCTTTAATTTTTCAGGAAAATTTTATATGAACCACGTTCTACAATCATATTTTAAATCTCATTAAACCAAGAGCTGTATAATGTAAATATTAATTGCGTATGCACATGCCTCATTTAATGAGAGTAGAAGTCCTGTGGCTATTCTCTGGTAAATAAGTGATGTCAGAAGTTACATGTTGTCAGCTTGTGCGCCCTCTCACTGCAATTGGAAGATACATAGCTGATTGTCTCTTACAGAGAAGGTTACAAATCTCCTTTGATAGTGTAAAGAATAATGAATGCATAATTTTTCCACTGTTGTAGCTGCCAAACAAAATAGTGAGGTATACCACGCTGTCCCTCTTGTGCTCCATTATGAAACGAGCCGAACAGAACATTAATCATTGTTTAAGTGAAGATGTCTGGCAAAAGTCTGAAATCTACACGCCTGCTGCAATGTCTGAATTTGCCCAGAAATACAGAGAGGCTCTCAGTAAGGTAAGGGCACATAGCGCCAACAAGAGCTCACTGTAGTTGCACAGTCTCTTCGAATTCTGTGTTTTATGTAAAGAGTCCTTCTTAGGAGCAATCCATGGGACAATCTCTGTGGTTACCATGGAAATTGCTTCCTTAATAGGATTAGTAGCCTATTTTTGTATAACTATTAGTATACCAAAATCTCCAAAAATCTATTTCTGTGGAACTGAATATTAGTGATGTTAGCTGAGCTCGATGTTATTTTTTTTTAATTATGATTTATTTTATAGTATAATGTGCACATGGAAGTCTTGGTAGGGAGTTGGTACATTTCCTGGATGAAGCCAATTAGCACAATTCGATAGTTGTGAAATCTGCACACAAAAAAAAAATAATCAGATTTGTTCACTAAACTAGGAATGACCAGGGAATTGCACATTCAAATGAAAAATAACAGAATTGGAATAATTGTCCATTTGAGCAGCTCAGTAACCTGTGGATTATAATTTGCATATATTTCGTTAATAACGCCATGTATGCACTCTGAAACCAATATTTGGGTGCAATTCACTGATTTATGTAACTGGATTTGCTCACAGCTCTTACCAGACATGAATACCATTGTGGCAACCTGGCAGTCACTATTAAAGATTGATGGCACTGAAATTGGTAACAAGAAGGAAACTGATGTGCCCGCCATTGGTGAAACAAACCTAACGTACCAAGACATTTCAGGAGTTACAGGAGAACAATACGGTGAGAAACGGATACATATTGGGACAGTAATAGTGTTGGTAAACTAGGCTGCCATGTTTCATTTGTTTCGAACAACAAGCTTTCATCAGGACTCTTAATTGTGATGTTAATATCTTTAAGCCATTTAGGTCTTACAGGGGAATCATTCATTTCCAGTATTTTTATGATTACGTTTACTTATTCCCCATATTTGCACGATCTGAAAAATAAAATGTGGGGTCCACGTTGTTGTATCTTGCTCTAGCCTGGAACTGAGCGACACTATCCCCGTCCGTCATGGTTCTAAGCTCTGCCCATTGCTCCTGTCAGGTGTAATAAAGAGAGGAAGACAAACAGAACCAATGTTTGTTTCTTCTGCTCCAATGCATAGTGTGCCGGGACCAAACTGAAATGGGATTTACATCTTCAAAGGGGCACTCCAGGTTGAAAGCTACATTTTTAATAAACATGATGTGTTATCATAAAAATGAGCAATCAGTACTCTGTTGAAATAGCTTAGAACAAAGTGACTAATGATTTTATTGTTGCAAAATCCAAGAGTCTCTACTCCTTTCCAATTCCTCTAACCCTTTCCACTGGACGTGTGGAAGCACTGTTCACTATCATTAATTTCCTAACTCAGCCTATGTGATCCTGTTTTTATTTTTTTGTGGTTGTCCCCCTACCTCTCTTTGTGCTTCATATTCTGTTGGTTTTTTTTTTCCGCCCTTCGCAGCTGCTCTTTATGGCTGTTCTCAATCATCACTGCCTCTCTTGTTAAACTAATCATTGCATTTTGTTAGCAGTCCCTCCCTTTGCATTGGTTATGTTTTGTAATGTGGGACAGTCTTAATTCTCTTTTTTCGTTACAGGTTCTGATGATGCCCAGACCATTCTGCTCAAAGCGACACTGCTGCAGGTCCTATGTCTATATCAGAGAGTGGTCCCACACCTGGTGACACAGAGCAATTTTGATTTTGGCAAACTTCTTAAAGGTATAGTATTCGTGGTTAATGGTTCTATTTAAATGTTCGTTAATATCTAGAACCTGTGGAGAAAATACCATTTCAACTTCCCCGGCAGCCATTGTTTTCTTTTTATAGTTGCTGGTTCTATTTTTTTCCTTCTAGCCTTGACTTTTTGTCTTTGGATACACCTTTCATACCTCAACGCACCTATTTCTTCCCTTACAAAACATACTGAATTCATTTCTCTGTGTGTATCACCTGCTCTCTGCTGCTCCACACTGTTTTGTTAAATGGCACTGATCTGAAATTTTTTATTTTATTTTAAAGGATCACTATAGTGTCAGGAAAACAAAGCGGTTTTCCTGATGCTATAGTTCCCTGAGGGTGCCCCCACCCTCAGGGTCCCCCTCCCGTGGTGCTGAAGGGGTTAAAACCCTTCAGCAGCTTACCTTAATCCAGCGCTTGGCTCCCTCGGCGCTGGTGACCTCTCCTCCCCGTCCGACGTCAGCTCCCGGACGTTCTGCACGTTGGATGCGAAATTCGCTTTCAGCGTCGCAGATGCGCCTCTAGTGGCTGGATTAACCACTAATGTAAACATAGCAGTTTCTCTGAAACGGTTATGTTTACATCTGAAGGGTTAAAACCTTAGGGACCTGGCACCCAGACCACTTCATTGAGCTGAAGTGGTCTGGGTGACTATAGTGTCCCTTTAAGTCGATGCTGTCTTGTTTGAATGATGCCCCCACAATTCTTAATTTAAAATTATTCAATTGCAAAAATCAAATCACTATTATTTGCATTATGCATATAGTGTCTTAAAGGTTTATATTTTAACTCTACAACGATGACAATCTATGCCATTTTGGCAGGCAGCTTTTTGGAATCCCTAAAGATAAACCATAGTCCGCACAAACATGGGTAATCCTCAAATAAGTCACAGATAAAAATGGAAATATGAAAAAAAAGAAGTGCACTTTTATTAGTAAAAAATATATATGTAGACTATAAGAACATGGCATCAAGCTGTCATGGCAGCCCACATAATTACCTGCCGTAATGAGGGCTGACATGGCAGTTTGAGGCCATAGTCTACATATATATATTTTTACTTATAAAAGTGCACTTTTCTCATATTTCTGTTTTTCTCTGTGGCTTATTTGAGGTTAACCATGTTTGTGCAGACTATTGTTTATCTTTTGGGACTTATCGTTTAACATTGCATGATTTTAAAAATCTGAATCACGACTGGAACATATCCTCCCCCAACTCCCCCCCCCCTTTTTTTGTTGTTGCATTTTTACATTTTTTTATTAATATTATTTTACTCAGAGATGCGGCAACCCTTGTGAAAGGGATGACGTATCCATTCACTACAATTTGCTGTGTATAAACCCAATGGCCGGTCTCGTCCGTTTATTAAAGAGACACTATAGGTATCAAAATAACTTTAGCTTGATGAAGCAGTTTCAGCTATATTAATCAGCTGAATTAATTTGTTGTGATGTCACGGGCTATGAAAGATGCATACTTGTGGGTAGTGGGGAACGCCACGTTTGAGTTGTTTTCATTCTTGTGTGTGTATATTGTGACTAGTTGTAGTCTATACCTGACATTAGAAGTAGGTATACAATATCTCACAAATTTATTTGTGCCCTTTTATGTTCTTTTTTTTAATTTTATTTTTTTATATATATATGTATTTTGTTCAATACTTTCCAGGTATTGTAAATGAGAGCGGTATTAGGGAAGAGGTGCCTCCAGTCCTCCAACAACATATTCTCCAAGTGGCTCTTGAACTTCCAGCTAACAAGTTTTCTTGGTTCAAATTTCAGGTTTGTTAATGTCTGTTGTTTTCCTTCTTTAAATGTCCGCTTATAGGTCACTCATCCTCAGATAGGCGTTCCTTGATATTATTGATAATTATAATATTTAAATAAAATCGCTAACATTCCCTGCTTCCGTTTTACTTTTTACATGGAATTCATTTTTTTTTTTCAGAATGTGCCGGACATTTCTGGGGAGAAGTCTGTGTTCTATCTGCTTCTGAAAATGTTTGTAGCGTGTAACAAACCACAGCTTAAAAATTGTACGAGACTACTGATCATAAAGGTGAATGTTTGCTTGTGTTTGTGGTATTAATCACATATGTGTTTCTATTTAGACAACATCAAGACAGTGATAGTTCAACATACAAGCATTTTTCAGCTGACATACTCCTGTTTGTGTATTGTATTCACAGTCACAGACCCAAAGCTGTATGTATGCAGATATTGATATTAAAAGGACACTATAGGTACCCAGACAACTTTCATCTCCTTGAAGTGGTCTGGGTGCAGTGTCCCTGTTCCCTTAACCCTGCAATGTTTACTTAGTAGTGTTAAGTCTGCCTCTTGTGGCTGTCTACCAGAGGTGCTTACTGTAGTTTCACAAAGTTTGATCCTGAAACAATGCTTGACGTCCTCAATCTATTCATGAGGACATCCGGCATGTTGAAAAAAAGCATTAATGCTTTCCTATGGGGAAAGTCTAATGCCCACATGGTGCTCACCCTCCATCGGTTGATGGAGGAGGAGCCTGACTAAGTACTGTGGTACATAGGCACTTGAATCTGTTAAGGTTTTTTTTAACCCATTACATTGTGTGGGGTGGGGGGAGCAGAGGGTTTCTATAGTATTAGGAATACTACTTTGTATTCCTAACACTTTAGTGTTCCTTTAATTTGAATAGTGTTGGTGACTATAAATGTAATACTTGAAACATTTACTAAACTGTGTAAGACTGGAGAGAGATCACTCTCATAATACATCCTATAGCATTCTGTGCAGCCTCATTTCAAAGCTCGTGAGTCAGGGTTATCAGTGAATTTGCATTTCTCCAAAGTTTTGTCTGCTTTATTAATATACCCCTCCTCCTCCCCAAACATTCTGCTTTAAGAGTCAGTCCGTATGCGGATCGATCAATCCGAATTCCATTTGGAGCTGTTTTGACCTGTCCTCCGTGTTCATGTGAATGAAGCGTATTGGTCATCATTGTATTCATTAAACCTTTCTAGATACTCCGTGACAGTGGAGTGTTTGATTATACCTGGAAAGAGCTGGATCTTTGGCTGGTGCATCTCGATAAAGTAGAAGAAGACTCCAAGGAAACTGTGATCCAGTTTTTAGAACAGGTATCGTGTGCTCGTTTACTTGCATGTTTTATAAGTAATTTGCAGCTTTTTTTAGAGCTTGTGAAAGAAATATTGCAAGGATTGAATTATGGTTTTAAAACAAAAAAAATTGGCATGATGAGATTTTCACTTCTACCGCTTACAAACATATACATTTTGTAATAAAGTGCATTCCCTATACTTTTTAACTAAGAGCATGTTGACTTTTTTCATCAAACCGTTTTATCATGAACCTTGGTTAAAATAGTGAATATTTCGTCGTCTTTCACATGTTTTGTTTTAAAGTCATGTTTAGCATACACCATCATGTTTTAGTTAAGGGGTTAAATCACTAAGAAAAATGATTTGGGGGTCCTGATGAACTTACATGTCGAAATGGAATCCCGTTGGACACATCACAGGTAGTCAAAGTGGCAGTCTAAGCACCAAAACCACTACTGCCTATTGTATTGGTTATAGCACTAGCAGTCTACTGGCACATCCGTGTCAAATCGTTTGAGAGGTTTGACACAAATCATGCCATGGACACCTGTCCAATGTATTGCTAATATAGAATTTACACGTCCACATTAGCATCATCGATTTATTTTTATTTCCCTTTTCCATATATGCATCATCTCATTATTCACAGTATAATAACTACAGCAGACTTTAGTAGTTATGGTGCTTAGACTGCCCTGACTGCCCTAGGGAATATTACAGACTTATATAAAATCTCTCTCCATAGTGGCACAGATATGTATACTTGATATTCCAGAGTGGGTACCCATGGTAAACTAGTAAGGCCTGTCTGTTCATCACTGTGTGTATCTTACATACTTTTATGTATCAAGAGTTGTGTGTGCATATTATGTGCACGATATCTCTGTGTCCTTGTGAGTGTTCTGTCATAAATTCCATCCCATTTGCTCCAGCAAATAGCTTTATTTATTCCTTGTATTTAATCTGATTGCTTCATTCTGTTTTTAGATTTTAAGTAAACTGGTGATCAAGCCTTACCAGTATGCTGACAAAGTGTCTGATCACGTCCAAGAGGCCAGCATACTGCAGAGCAGCATCAACAAACAGGATTCAGAAACTGCCAGTATACCCATCTCACACATTGACGGTGGGTCCCTGATAATTGAAAAGCACAAATCGGACACTGTGTAACCAAAATGCAGTCAGTCCCTAATACTCCTCCTGCAGGGATCATACACTACATAGCCCTCTCTGTCAGCATTCTGTCAGTCCGTAATACTCCTTCTGCAGGGATCATACACTACATAACCCTCTCTGTCAGCATTCTGTCAGTCTGTAATACTCATTCTGCAGGGATCATACACTACATAACCCTCTCTGTCAGCATTCTGTCAGTCTGTAATACTCATTCTGCAGGGATCATACACTACATAACCCTCTCTGTCAGCATTCTGTCAGTCTGTAATACTCATTCTGCAGGGATCATACACTACATAACCCTCTCTGTCAGCATTCTGTCAGTCCGTAATACTCCTTCTGCAGGGATCATACACTACGTAACTTTCTCTGTCAGCATTCTGTCAGTCCGTAATACTCCTTCTGCAGGGATCATACACTACGTAACTTTCTCTGTCAGCATTCTGTCAGTCCGTAATACTCATTCTGCAGGGATCATACACTACATAACCCTCTCTGTCAGCATTCTGTCAGTCTGTAATACTCATTCTGCAGGGATCATACACTACATAACCCTCTCTGTCAGCATTCTGTCAGTCCGTAATACTCATTCTGCAGGGATCATACACTACATAACCCTCTCTGTCAGCATTCTGTCAGTCTGTAATACTCATTCTGCAGGGATCATACACTACATAACCCTCTCTGTCAGCATTCTGTCAGTCCGTAATACTCATTCTGCAGGGATCATACACTACATAGCCCTCTCTGTCAGCATTCTGTCAGTCCGTAATACTCCTTCTGCAGGGATCATACACTACATAACCCTCTCTGTCAGCATTCTGTCAGTCCGTAATACTCATTCTGCAGGGATCATACACTACATAACCCTCTCTGTCAGCATTCTGTCAGTCCGTAATACTCATTCTGCAGGGATCATACACTACATAAGCCTCTCTGTCAGCATTCTGTCAGTCTGTAATACTCATACTGCAGGGATCATACATTACATAACCCTCTCTGTCAGCATTCTGTCAGTCTGTAATACTCATTCTGCAGGGATCATACACTACATAACCCTCTCTGTCAGCATTCTGTCAGTCTGTAATACTCATTCTGCAGGGATCATACACTACATAACCCTCTCTGTCAGCATTCTGTCAGTCCGTAATACTCATTCTGCAGGGATCATACACTACATAGCCCTCTCTGTCAGCATTCTGTCAGTCCGTAATACTCATTCTGCAGGGATCATACACTACATAACCCTCTCTGTCAGCATTCTGTCAGTCCGTAATACTCATTCTGCAGGGATCATACACTACATAACCCTCTCTGTCAGCATTCTGTCAGTCCGTAATACTCATTCTGCAGGGATCATACACTACATAACCCTCTCTGTCAGCATTCTGTCAGTCCGTAATACTCATTCTGCAGGGATCATACACTACATAGCCCTCTCTGTCAGCATTCTGTCAGTCCGTAATACTCATTCTGCAGGGATCATACACTACATAGCCCTCTCTGTCAGCATTCTGTCAGTCCGTAATACTCCTTCTGCAGGGATCATACACTACATAACCCTCTCTGTCAGCATTCTGTCAGTCCGTAATACTCATTCTGCAGGGATCATACACTACATAACCCTCTCTGTCAGCATTCTGTCAGTCCGTAATACTCATTCTGCAGGGATCATACACTACATAAGCCTCTCTGTCAGCATTCTGTCAGTCTGTAATACTCATACTGCAGGGATCATACATTACATAACCCTCTCTGTCAGCATTCTGTCAGTCTGTACTCATTCTGCAGGGATCATACACTACATAACCCTCTCTGTCAGCATTCTGTCAGTCTGTAATACTCATTCTGCAGGGATCATACACTACATAACCCTCTCTGTCAGCATTCTGTCAGTCCGTAATACTCATTCTGCAGGGATCATACACTACATAACCTCTCTGTCAGCATTCTGTCAGTCCGTAATACTCATTCTGCAGGGATCATACACTACATAACCCTCTCTGTCAGCATTCTGTCAGTCCGTAATACTCATTCTGCAGGGATCATACACTACATAGCCCTCTCTGTCAGCATTCTGTCAGTCCGTAATACTCATTCTGCAGGGATCATACACTACATAACCCTCTCTGTCAGCATTCTGTCAGTCCGTAATACTCATTCTGCAGGGATCATACACTACATAAGCCTCTCTGTCAGCATTCTGTCAGTCTGTAATACTCATACTGCAGGGATCATACATTACATAACCCTCTCTGTCAGCATTCTGTCAGTCTGTAATACTCATTCTGCAGGGATCATACACTACATAACCCTCTCTGTCAGCATTCTGTCAGTCCGTAATACTCATTCTGCAGGGATCATACACTACATAACCCTCTCTGTCAGTCCGTAGTACTCATTCTGCAGTTATAGGGACACAGTCAGCATACCTATCACAAACTGGAACAGGGTTATCTGATAATGTGAGAATTCAAGGTTATTTCAAAGTAAATTTCAAATTTCAGGCCAAGATAGCCGAACCGGCAAAATTCAGTCAGCTATGCTGCAGCTCAGATATTTTGGCCTTAAATGTAACATTCACTTTCAATTCACATTGTCATGAAATACCTTTTGTAATTTTTGCAGGATTTAGTGTTTCATATTTTAAAAATCAAAATTGCGGATCACCTGTCACTTCGAATAGGTAGTTTTAATGATTATTCTATGTGCAAAAAAAGTTTAGTATTTTAATCACCATGCACCTTTCTCCCTGTCTCAGATGTTCTGGACATGGTGGACGTCCTAGTCGAGACGAGTGAAGGACTAGATGAACAGATTGGGGTGCCTCTGGATGAAGACCTGATTCTTCTGACGTTTCCGTTTAGTGCTGTTGTCCCAGTGGCTTTGGAAGCTCGCAATAGACTGCTTGGCAATGAGGAGGACGGGAATGGTATGTCTTGTGACAGTTCGTGTATATTTTTTGTGTTTTTTTTTTATTTTATTTTTTTATATACACCTCATTAGCCTTCTCCATGGTTTCCTTTAAAGTTCTCCTTGACTTCAAGCTATTTAGAGTTAATTATTTGTGTGTACTCCACTGATTTATTCAACATTCTGCACCAATATTCTGTCCACCATATGTGTTTATCCCACTCAGAAACGTTTCCCTGTGAAACAGATATTTTGTAACTAGCTTTGCTAGACACATGGTCGTGGCAGAAGACATATTGCAACGCAATCCCAATTAGGAAACTGTTTGGCATTTATGAAAGCTCTATATAGTTTAAAAAAGTAGGACTGTCCGTTTTCTGAAAGTGACACTTCCTTGTTGTCTCGCTCCCTGTAAATGCTGTTGAATTTGTTTACCGGGATAAATAGTGCTGTGGAGGTAAGTTAAAAACATACTTGCTTCCTTTTATATTTCTGTATGGATGTAGAATTCATGCCGACTTTGACTGTGCATACGCGAGTATCCTTCAGTAGTGCCATATGTGCGCATTGTTTGGGATAATTATTAGGGTTTAATAGAATTCACATCCAACGTCTGGCATGAAAAAAAAAATAAGTATAACTTTTGAGAATTTTGAAGAAGAAAAAAAAAAGCACTGTAGTATTGACCATTTTACACTGTGTATATTGATACGATTGTTTTACTTGTACAATATTTTCTTCTTAAAGTGGAAGAGATTTGGCTGCTGTTCATTTACAGCCCAGGCGCAGCCATTTCCAGTCTAATCTTGCGATGATCACATTCATGTGAAATATCTAGGACCCATTTAGCTCCATGTGTTTTCAATTTGGTTTATATTAATGTACACCTCATAAGATTTTTATGGGTTGAATAAAAAAAAAAAAAAAATGAGCTGCATGAAGGTGAAAAGACGCCTTCATATTATAATTATTTTTTTATATTTATTTTTTTTATTTTTATTTTTTACATGTACATATTTGATAATTTAATCTCCCATGATGCCCAATGGGAATCTCCCTCTGGTTTATCCCTCGTGTTTCTGCTTGTGTTTTGTTCCCCAGATTGGGCTCTTCGGTACCTCGTATCCGTTCTGACTGATATACTTCACAGCCAGAGAGACCCTCTCGCCCTCTGCCTACTGATCCAGTCTTATGATAAAGAATTACAGATCCTGGGTACAATCGCCTCAAAGTGTATTTTGCTTGGGCAGTTTTATGAATATTACGCGCTCTGGATACCTACAACAAACAAAGAAGCTCTGGTATGTGAGGTGTATATATTAGTGTGTAGTGCTAGAATAGTTTCCAAGTTGCTTTGTCACTTTAAACGGTCCAGAATCTGCTGATGTTCTTTATATGGGCCTGATATGCAGTGACCCATCCATAGCTTTCAGAATTGATTATAGTGTAGCCTTGCAGTGTTTTGAGTTTTTGTTTTTTTCTGGAGGAGGCCTTTTTGCGTTGGATGTTTTTTTGACCTTATTACTAATCTAAATTACATTGTCATTCTTTTCACCAGATTGTTGAGATCCCCGACATTCCAGCATTGACAGTTAAGATGGTGTGGGATAAAATGGGTTCTTGGGTCATCATTAGTATTTGAGTTACTATCAATACAAAGAATAGAAGGAGCAAATTAGACCCTGGGCAAAGTTGAGAAGTGTTTTTACTGGCCTGGATTTTGAGGAGGCAAGGTAGGGGGTGGGGCAGTCTATGGGCTCCTTTAATGTGGAGTTTTGTCACAATCATATGACAAATGATCCGTTGGCAGCCTTTCTTGTAGCACTTTGTTTCACTGTTTCAGAGATATCTATTAAGTCCCTTTTCCAAGTTGTCAAACTTAGATGACAGCTTCTCTCTGTACATCCTGTCAAAATATTATTTAAAAAGTACTGGTAATTTACATTCTAAAATCTTAATGTTTTCAACACTATTGCAGTTTGATGGGCTTGATGACTCTGCAAAGGAGATCCATCTGTTTGATGAGGCTTCTTATTCCTCGCTGCTGAAGAAGACGTTTGTAGCGAGTGGCCCTTCGGAGGGTCACACAGAGGAGATGTTAAAAGAAGCGGCCTCGCGAGTTACCCTGGAGGAGCTGCCACTAGCTGTGAAGCATACTTTGCTTTGCTTAAAATCTACTGTGGACGACTTTAGCAAGGTTCCTTTCTCCTTGTTATATAAGGACACTTTATTTCTTTTTGCGTGGAATAATTAATGTCACACATTGCTGTCCACTTATCTGCTGTGTGTTTAGGGCAGACATGTTGGATTCCTATCTGCATAGTAAAGACAAAAAGGAATTGGGGGCACACCCAAAACATAAATTTTGCAGAAATTGTACCATAGTGCTAAATGAGCAAAAGGTTTAGAGACCCCTTTGTGTGAATCAGATCTTTGATACAGCAAGTATGTAAAAGACCGATTTTCTTACGCAGAGGAAAAGTAACTATTAAATCAGAGTAATCCAGTAATAATAGACAGTGATAACATATTAGACAATGTACTTTGCATGTACGTAACTGATTTAGAGACCCCTTTGGATGTAACCATAGGTATATATTTGGGGAGGTTTTGGATAGTGATGTCACTTTAATTATAGTTTTCATAGAGCCGATATATAATATAAGCATTGTAAGTATATACATTAAAGCACTATCACTTCAATTGTTTAGTTTTGACACTGTATTTTATTACTACATTTATCACATCTATTTTGCATTCTATATATTCACAATGTTCTTACAACAGATTATTATAAAACACTTATAGGCTTATTTAGCACTAGCTTGTTTAGGTGCTGTGAAGTAGTGGTGGGGTTAACACAATATGGTCGTACGGTGGAACAGAATCCCTATATTTGTTTGCCGATGTGATTTTAGGTAGCCTTGTAGAATTTAAAAATATATTTGTATATGTGCGCTGTTTCTGAATTTCTATTTCCAGACACAGGTGATTAGAGAGTCCCACTGCAATTTGTTGTATTCATTTCTTTGACTCTTAGAATGCAGGAGTTAGGCATTCTCCTGGATCAATGATCTGTTATGGGACTGGTTCCAAAGGTTCTAAACGCATGCCTGATCGTGTTCTTGTTTTCCAGTTTAGGAAATCTTCTGGAGCCAATCTGGTCAGAATCTTCTTTGACCTTATACTTGATCTTTTGCGTAGCTATGAGTTCACAAAATCCAGCCAATCGCAAACAGAGGAAGAGTTGAAAACTGAATCTGAGCTCTTTGTGGATAGTTTTGCAATAAGTGAGCTGGCATCTCAGGATAATACGGTAATATGGCTTTGTATATTAGATTTAAAAAATAAAAATGTTTTCTTAATACATGCCACTGTTGTTAGGTTTAACCTATTGTATAATTGCTATTGTAACCTTTTCTGTTCTGATGGGAAGACCTTTGTATTCCTGGCACTATAGTATCCCTTTAATCAATAATCATAGAACTATAGGTATCAGTCTCAATACCATTTTCACAGGATATTAATGTAGGCTAATTTCCATATTGCACACTGAAGGACCTGTTGGTACAAAAAAGCGGTCTTCTCGTCACCAATAAAGTTTAGGATATGTCTTTATCTAATTATAGAACCTATATGATATCTTAGAGCCTCAGAGTTGTTCATCACATTTTACCAATTACATATTTTCTATGTTCTAGATCCTTTGTGATGTGCTGACTGTTCTTTTCCGACATCCCACTTTGGAACATTGGTTCTTGGCTGTGGAACGCCAGTCTACCCCAGCACATAATTTAAACCCGGTCACTGTTAAACTGCTTTCTTCTAACTTAAATCAAGGTGTGATACAATTGCTGAAATACAGTGCCCTTCTACTTCAAGAAAACAATATCCTTCATTTGGCATCTAAATATTTTGATGCTGTCTCTCAAAGTGTCTTAAAAGAACTTGAGTTGGTCAGTAAGATCTCAAACAAGATATCTCCTCAGTTGGAAGCCCTTCAGAACTTTGCTCCTTACATGGAAACAGTCCAACTGAATGACATCTCCCTGGCTATTCTGAAGCTCCCCAATGAATTCCTTCTGGCTAGCAAAGACGAAGAGCAGTTGAGCAAATATGGAACCGTATTGGTCCAGCTTATCAATGAGTATCGCCAGAGGAACCAGCAGCAAGCAGATCTGGCCACCTCCATAGAACACGTGAGAGGAGTGAGTCGACTGTTGTCAACATCTGCAGCTGGGGAGATTGAAACTGTCCTCTACGAGGCTCTTCAAAGTGAACCAACACTTTCTTACGTTTTGGGGGTCAATGTATTGGACCATTGTCTCAAACAGATGACGGAGACTTGTCTCCGCATTGCAGCTCTGCTCATTCAGCACAGCAGGACACACCTTTTGCAGTTTGAAATATGGTTGCTAAATCCTAGGACAGGGAAGATTTTGAGAAAAAATATGGAGTCCTGCTTGCCGCTGATCGGGGAATATCTGAAATACAGCGAAGACTTCAAATTTACACGGCCGACTAACGGTAAGTGTCATATGTATTTAAGGCTGATTGTTCTGAAGATTATTTTAAACTTGGACATTACTAAAGTTATTGTATAATTAAAATAATTTTTATTTTGCTGCTGGAGTGTTAAAATGTGTTTTATTCAGAGTGCGATGTGTCCATTGGTTTTGGTTAATAAACATATGAAAGCATATTGTATTTGATATATTGCAAGGAGACTTTAGGTCCAGTCCTTCTGGCTTTTGTCCTACTGTTTCCATGTGGTGTGTCAAAATCCTGGGATCTATTGCACCAAAAACCCTTTCCTTCTACCCCCACCATGATAATGCTTTTCTTCTGCTTTTACATATGCAAATCCATCTAGGTTGTTCTGTGCCAGTATACGCTACAAGCCTATGTGTAGAATGTATTCTCCGAACATGGTGTGTTTATAGGCTATTTGTCTGTTTTCATATTGCACAGGGTTATCTCAGACTTGTTCTTATTTGTTATTTTGTAATTGTTTTTTTGTTTTGGTTTTTTTCCGCAGTGTCCTCTGCAGTTCTACGCGTTATGAAAGATGTCTTCTGGAACAGGCTGGAGAAGGTCTCGCTAAGCTCAGAAAAAACGGACAACTCCCAAAACGCTGTTGTGCTTTCCAAGCTTGTTAAAGTGTCTGAACCCGACCAGTTAAAGATAATTATGGACCAACTCCCTGATATTTTGCAGCAATCTTGGAATCAGGAAAAGTATGCTTTCATTCTCCATTTATGTTTGTTACCGAAATAACTTTAAACTGTTACTCCAACATATTTTGAGATATAAAAAAATAACAAATTCTATATTGGAACAAATCAAATATATATATATTCAATAATTTTCATTAGGTTCATTAGGCTGCCAGCAAAAAAAAGTGCAAATACATCTGGAATGTGTAATGTTTCAAGCACATGTTTCACTGCACATAGCGATTTCTTCCTCCATCACCACTTCAAAAAGCAGAAGTGGTCATGGACATTATTCTTGGTCATGGAGTTAATCTTTAACAGGATTCAGCTGAACCCAGAGGGTTAAACTTCAAATAATGAAAGGAAACAAGCGTATAACAGGGATTAGATACAGAGTAACATAAACACAAGATTCTGTAACAGAATGTCATGAAACGGATAAGAAAGAGAGCTGGCATAAACTGTAGACTTGAAATAGCTCCACCTGCTGTTTGAGCATTCTACCCGATGACTGATATTTATTTATTAAATTGAAATTTATGTTTCTAAATTTGTTTAGAATTTTAGCCTTCTATGAAAGTTTTTTTGTTATTTGTTGTGCTGTTGCATTCTGAGTATTGCATTTCCTGGTAAAATAACATTCTTTGCTTATTGCGCATGCTCAAATTTGTCATGGTTTTGTGAGAGAGAAAAATTAAGTTTTGTCAAATTGCCACACAGGAAGTGAAAAACCTTATCCTGTTCAGCTGAACCTATCCCAGAAATTACTTGTTTCTTTATTGCTTTTTGTGACTTACTCCACCTGAACATAATTTAATCGACAAATTTGCTAGTTTACCTTGTGCAATCAATGTATGCTTACATTGTGTAAATGTATGTCCCACCCACTGGAAGCTTGCCGTCATTAAATAGGTTCCATTTTCACATAATAACACTGCCTTATAATGCAGGCTGTTTTGTTTTGTTAAAATAATGAGGTGCAACCCCATTTCTTAAGAGAAGGTATTGGAATTAATAGCAGCAAAATCTAAGACATAAATATTATTTGAAGCCAGAGTTAAAATCTCCTTATTTTGTTTAATCTGTTTCCTGCAGATGGGTTTTGGCTGAATCTGTCTCACAAGCCACCACAAGTTCTGTGACCCTGATCTCTTCTTGGAAGAGAGCTCTGCTGGCTGCTTGCATGAAGTGTCTGACGGTCACATACAGCGCCGACAAGGATATGAAAGGAAATGCGCCAGAGGTGGAGACCGCCATGGCTTCCCAGTTTATGGATCTCCTTGTAAGAGCAGCTTAAATGCAACGCCGTTATTTACAAAGCTTTGAACGTCGTATATAGAGATTTGTTTGTGTCCTTGTTTGGTATTCGTTTCCAGACCTCTAAGACCTCTGTGCAATCTGACCCTGAACAGCTGGCGTAATTAAGCCATAAATTAGCTTAGTGGAAACCAGAAATTTTCTTGAACAAGCTAGGTTTTGCTGAGCGTTCATATTTCACTTTCCACATCATTGTTAGATAATATTGATGGCATTTCAGGTTCTAGGGACTACATCTCTCACGATTCTCTGTTACCTTCAAATACAGGGCATGATGGAATTCTAATACATTAGGAATTTCATATACAAAGGATTTATTCCACTGATGCCCATAGCCCACCCTTCCAATAGATTACAGAGATCTAATAGAATAGAAACTATGGATGTTTCATACAGACGGGAAACGTTGTATCCACATATTAGGCCTCGCTGATTTAGTCAAATTTGAGATATGCTACAGTAGTTCCAACAATTTGCTCTAGAGAAAAGTTAAAATAGGAAGCATCTCAGATCATCAATGTTTTATTTCTGTTCTTCAATAAATGTTCGCTTACACTGACCTTTTTTCTGTTTGTTTTTTGTGTGTTTTGCAGCCCTTTGTCAAGGTTGATGTACGTGATGATTGGAATGGGCTATTGAAAACTGGACTCAAGTAAGTTAAACAAAATTTTCTGTTTATTAAAAATAATTTTTTTTTATCTTTCTCTGGGGAATACAGCTTGATTTGCTTCATCAAAGATTCAGATTTGCTTACAGGGTTAATGATTAATGTGCGAATTGTTGGGATTTCAAAGTTGATTTAAATTTTTTTTTTACTTAAAACAGCCAAACTGAAAACGTTGTAGCTGACTTGAATCTTTCCAGTTTGTCAATTTTGGTCTAACATTAGACATGTGAATTGAATTTCTATCAGTCTACATTTCAATGAATAACTCCAATAGCATATTTTAAGTGATACTTTTTTTGAGTATGTTAATTTTATTTCAGGAGTGCAACAGACATGCAGGCAATAAGGTTATGTAAAAAAATAACCTACAGGAACATTCACTTGTAGACTTCTCCACTTCTCTCACTTTTCAAATAGTAATTTATATCCCCTCCTGCTTTTGCACACAGATACCGTTACAAAGACTGCACATTTCTGGATATTCTTAACGCAGGGATCAAACAGTGGTACGGTGCAGATGGTCCGTCCACAAAGGATTTAGTGCCTTTGCCAGTGATACACATGATGATAACTCAGCATTCCTTATTTTTGCCAACTCTGCTGAGATCCAAAGAGGAGGAGGATGTGCACAGCAGGGCGCGGGGTATTCATTTTATATTTTAATTTTCCTGTTTATTTTTTTTTTGTGTGTGATTTTTCTCTCTTCATCAAAAATTTTAAAATCCAATCTCTGCATCAAAAATGTAAAGTGTTAACAAAGCATTATAGACTTACATACCCCTGTAGTGCTATCAGTGATTTTTGTGTTGTAAAATTGTAAAATATATAATTTGTATTCTTAAAGTGAACTTGACTCCATTAGAGATGGAAAAAACAAAAAGTATAAGGTACAATGTATTAGAAATATAACATTGAGCCAAATTTGGCACTATTACACACACACGCGCACGCACACGGTGACACAAACACAGCTGATCCGATAACATGGCAGATTGTGGCACGCTTGATTCTCAGGTCTCTCCCGGTTTGCTAACTTCTAAGTGGCCCATGGTGATGTAGTGGCTGGTGTAGGAGTAGTGTGGGTTTTTACCTGCTGGATGCACCTATTTCTTGCTGAAGGCGGTATAAGACATAGCACAGTGTATGTGTGTGAAAACTGTACATTTAGTACTCTACCTTTTGCAAGAATGTGCAGCAGGCAGTGCACACCTGTTCCACAATAGCCAATACCTGCAATAAATGTAATAAAAAAGTTGCTAAGTGTTTAGCTTGTTTGTTTTCCCTTTTTCATTTCAGAATTGCTAGTGGATATTCTGAGGACTATCGTCAAGAAGTGTCCTTCTGTCTGTGATGGTAATCACTTCGCTGTGTTACTAGGAGCCTACGGAGCCACTCTTAGCAGTACAGGTAATGGCCTCAAACCAGGGCTTGAATTTCTGAATTGGAAAAGTCATTTGGCCAATGTATGGAAATTCGAGAACAAAAGTACTAAATGGGGAGTCACCTTGATTTCCTATACACATCTATGCCCTTTATTGCTAGCATAGTTGTTTGATTTTTTAAAGCTGCACTACAGGCAGCATAACCTCTACAGCCCATTGTGGTTAAGGTGTCAGGAGTGCACTGACTCTCCTCTATAGTAAGTAGTCAAACTGTTTACAAACCATGCTGTGCCAGCTCATTGGCTGAGAGCTTCAGGTAAGTTGTGATTCAGTGTACATATCTATGTCCGGTCATTCTTAACCCCTTAAGGGGTTAAACAGTGTGACTACTTACTCTGGATAGGTGCTTGGGCACAATGATTGCTACAGTGGGCTGCAGTATTTATAGTGCTTGGAGTGTTCCCTTAACGTTTTGCTGCTTTCCATCTCTACTTGTCGTTTTCTCTCTGTAGATTAATTGAGTGTGGATCATGAACTTGGCTTGATTTTCAAATTATTTGCAGGTATCAAGAAAATCAAAGTAATTTCAACTAACTAGCAGCCCATTCTGTGTTGTTGCAAAAAAACAAAAATTAAAAAATAAAACTTGATATATTTTGATCCCTATTTTATGGACTCCCATTGTACTGCAGTACTGGACATTTTAATTAAATCAGATTAATGCGCGATGATAAACATTCCACTACTGAAATGTAATATGTTTTTTTGTTGTTGTTTTTTTTTCTTTCTCTCTCCAGATCAAAAAATACTTCTCCTTTTACAGTGCTACGAAATGAATAATCTGAGTCTCACTGAGTTCAGGTAAACAATCCGGGAAAAGCGGGATATTTCTGAATTTACCTTGTTAGTAATCAGGGATCCAGCTTTCCATTCGCCGCTTTTAAGACCTGGCTAGTAGCGTACGACTTCAAACTTTTAACCCCGTAGTAGTCATATTTTATATTAGTCAAACATACACTAGCAGTGTCTGTATCGGCAGCTGTTCTGAGTGGGAATGGCTCATTCAGGTGAAAATGACTTTAGAATGATTGGGTGAAATTCTGTAAACTGTGAAATGGTTGGGGTGTAGTAATAGGTAGGATTTATATCACGGTGAGCAAAGAACAGATCTGTAGAAACGTGTTGCAAAGTTCGGAAAGTGGAGTCAGCAGAATAATTTCCTCTGATTTAATCACAATTATTATTAGCGTTTATATACTGTCAACATATTCTGCTGCACTTTACAATTATGGAATGGGGATATTTAGGAGACCTTGCTAAAACAAGCTTACGACCTATGAGCATCTATTTGGTGTCTTGCCCAAGAGCATTTACCAGTGAAGTGGTCCGACCATGATTCAAACATGTTTTTTTGGGTTTCAAGCAGTTATGTTACCTCTGCTCTTACCGACCAAATCTAAAAGTAATTTTCAGGCAACAAAATTAGCTAATCAAATTATACAAACACTCATTACTTTTTTTCCACTCTTTAACTAAACCTACTCTTTGTGCCACATTAAATACCAAACTGGTTTGAATGATTATGGTCCCATATAGCTAGTAATATTCTTTGCTCCTATCTTTCCAGGTTGTTGTTATGGGGTCCAGCTGCTGTGGAACATCACAGGACACGTAAGAGCCTGGGGAAGTCCTTGTGGCAGCAGCCGAGCATGGAAGAGATTCTGGGTTTGCTGGATCGAGAGAAGATGATGAAAACTATTATGAATTTTCCGCAGCACAGGAAACTCGTTTCCGAGGTCCGTATTACCTGCTTGTTGCCACATTTCCTGTGGAAACCTATTGGATGTTTCATGGTCTTGGACAGGTATAGGCAACCTTCGGCACTCCAGATGTTTTGGACTACACCTCCCATGATCCTTTGTCAGCATTATAGGTGTAAGAGCATTATGGGAGATGTAGCCCAAAACGTCTGCAGTGTCGAGGGCCGAAGGTTGACTATTCCTGGTCTAGGGTCTCCATGATCCTCTTGACACCTATACAGCTTTCTTATTGGCAGGAAGAAAATGAAGAACAGTTGTTTGTGTTGTATGGAATTAATAGGCAATAGGAGCTAAAGAATTATTTATTAAATAACCTGCTGAGATAAGAATGACAGAGCTGATATACGCTGAGAGATCAGCCAAAGTCATACATGTATTTGTGTTAACCATTCTAAACCTCAACCCTCCTGACATACGTATTCTATTACAGGCTGAGAAGGAACATGTATTTGAAGACCCCAGCATAAAAGATTTAGATGATCTTTATGATCCGTGCTTTCTTCTTCCTCTTTTCAGTGAATTAATAAGACCAGGTTAGTAGCCACACACAATTGTATAAAGATCATCTTCTATGGATTAAAGGAACACACCATAGTGCAATTTGTCTTGTCTTTAGTTTTTGTAATGTGTTGTTTTGTTTTTTTAAATAAATAATGCATTGAAACATTTTTAAAAGCAATATACATTTAATTATTGAATTATTGGAAATTATGAAAAAAATTAAATAAAAAAACTTGTTTGTATTTCATGCATTTGCTGCATCATTCCTGACATGTGCAGCTTCTGCAGTGAGCAAAACAGGAAGTGACTCTGAGTGTTCACTTTACACCTACATCTCATAAATATGGCCACATGGGTTTCTGAGAGTTTAGCTTGAGTATCCCCTTTCTGCTGCATAAATTAAATAAGACATAACGTACTGCAGGTTTAAAGTCAGGGTCCGAAAGATTGGGTTTATAGGTAATTGCGGCTTATTTTATTAAAAAAACTAAATGCTTAAGAACTTAAATGCTCAAACCCACCAGCACAACCTTCGGTAACCAAACCTATTCACTGCTTGAGCGGCTCAAGAAAAGTATATAAATTCTTGTTTTAAAGAGCTGATGTTCTACCTCTAGATTGGATCCTTTATTTTCTAAATATGTGTTTGTTTACATCCCTACCTCGTTTAATCTGTGTAAAACTGTATAGGTTTGCTGTTCATTTAATTGCGTTCCCTGGCAGGAGCACACAAAATATATATGACACAATAAAAAAGCCTATATATCAGGGAACATCCGAGTTGTCAACCACAATTGGAATTGGTGTTTTAAAGTATGCTTTGTTTCAAAAATAACTTTATAGAGTGTGTGGCCCTCTTCTCACTGGTAATCTGACTGAGCATCGTAACACCAGTTTTAGACTTGTGTTTTATTTATGTTCTGCTTTTGATTGAACGTTGATGCATGTTCTTAATCCACTGTTTATCTATATAACTATCGATGCTGAAAAAGTTATACTCTGCTTGTGTGATATTCCTAGTTATTAGTCATGTGGACCCAGTGTATCCGGTTATAAAGTGCAATCTTGCTGCTGCCGTTTCCAAAATTTGCAGCAACTATAGGATATCAGGAAACAATGGAAAGGGCAGAGCAATTTAATTGTGCACATTTTATTTTTTAAAACATGGAATGCAGTAGGTAATACTGGAGGTTAACAACTCTTACTTTTGCCCGGGGTTCTCTGATGAAAAAGATCAGGTTGCCGTGCTATCTGCTGCTTCAGTTCTTAGAATGTTTTTCATGCTGTACACATTCTATAAAAGTATTTTTGGTCATATCTGATTAATGTGTCCTGACATAAGGCTAATCAGAACCTAGATCTACTCAAAATATTTTCATAATGCTGCCATGACCAAAGGAAGTTGTTCCAGGAATCTGCGGCTGGTTCTACGCTTGACTGTCCGTCTTTTGAAGGTTATTTAAACAAGTGACCGAATGGATAGTTTTACTGAAGGACGTATGTTTTCATCATGAAATGTGTAGTCATTATGCTGCTATTGGTGAATGTATGTTAGTGTCTCAGGCTCAGGGTAACGGCAATAAGACTGAGCGATTTGACGGCTCTGGAACGCACATTCGAAGAAGCTCCCTCTGTGTGCAGATAAAGAGAAACTTTATAAACCTATTTCTGTTCTCAGGCCTGTGAATATCACACATCAAAGCACTCGTTAACCTTAATTAATCTGATACTCCCCTAGCAAAGTGCCATACACGTTTTAGAATTTTGTAAAACTGCACTTTGGTGACATCACTGGTATCCCAGCCAGTTTATGAAATCTGCTAGCAGTCTGACCCCCAATAAGGGAGAACAAAATGACCCAGCCTCGCTCCAGGACAGTAGTGTAAGATATGTAAGTTTTATTGACTCTTTAAATAAAAATAAAAAAACAACAACCCATATCTCTACCAGGCAGAGGAACATGAAGGAAAATAAAAGATGCCTTTTGTGTTTGATGTCCAAATTACACCTTATCAAAGACTGAATATTTCATTTCATTCAGACACATTCAGTATTATGGTAGAACTCTTTCTCGCCCCTCTTTGTTCTCCTCAGTTGCCTGATAGAAAATAAACCATCTATCTGGGACCCTGCAAACCTGATCATTGCTGTCCCAACACAATGACATGGGAATCCATTTTTAGTTTGTGACCCAGGGGGCCATCCACTGCTTTAGACTCTACCCATATTTCTGCTTTGCTTGAAGTTGTTTGCATCCAGTAATGTAACTCAGATTTTATATATTTTGCATAGGAGTTAACCCTTTTAGTGTTTGATTTTATTTTTCTTTCTGTCTATCTGCATGCTGTTTTGTGACCCCTTTAGTATATTATAAATTCTCTCTTGGCTGATGAACATTCCAATCCTATCCGACACTTCTCTTTTATTTAATCCTTCTCAGAGCTGGTTGTGGACTGTGCAAAGTTTGTGGAAATGAATGCCCTGGGACTCACTGTAGCTGCACTCAGCAGCTATGATTATAACATGAGAGCGGCTGCATACTACATCCTGGGATCCTTCGTCTCTCACATGGAAGGCGCTCGTTTCAGAGAGAAGAAGCAGGTAAGTGCTAAGAGTTAAACCTTTTTTCATGGAACAGTTATGAGACATTTTAAAGCTACCATGGTTATTCAGCCATTAAATTGTTGGAAATTCAACAGGGAATCGTTGGAATTCTGCTATTTTCTCCAAATTACTATTTTGTTTACAAGTTCACAGTCCCCTTGTCAATTCCCGACAGTTCACTTCAGTGATAAGCCTGTATGTTTCAATTCAGACAGTGTGTCAATTAATTCTAATAAATTGAAAACAGAATGTCAAAATTTTTAAAAGTCTGCTATTTCAGGCTAAATTTTTCAGTTTGATTTTTTTTTTTCAGTTCACTACAATCCAGTGTTTTGGGACCAAACCCCACAATGGTTCTTGTTTCCCCTAGAATAATTTCATTTTTATTAATTGGCCGACAAAATTGTAGTTGTCCAAGTATTGGTGGCACTCTCTATAAACTGGCACCAATGTATGTTGGATCTTCCCATTCTCTTTCAAGCTTTGAAATTTGCAATTCCTTTGGCTCTTTCCCCTGAAGAGTCAGATGCCGCTTGTCCATAAATATATTATTAACCTAGAGACCCCTGCTCCTTCCCTTATGGTTTGTGTGTAGTACTTTGCAGAATACAGCAATATCTACAGTTTTCTCAGGACTCCTTAAACCTGTGACTACCAGCCTTTGCCATGTCCTATTGTTTACTCCCACCTTCTACTCCAGACTCAGTGCAGAGTCTAACCTTTTCTAATCCCTAATCTGCATCTCGTTCCTTGTTACATTCTTTTTTCTTTTTCCAACCACTGTTTGGTTTTTTTCTTCTTCGCAACCACCCCATTTTATTTGTACAACCTGTTCTCTCCCTGCTTAATATTTCTCACCCTTAAAGGAATGCTCCAAACACCGGAACGATGCAGCCCACTGTAGTAGCTATGGTGTCAGAAAACACCTGGCATTGTCCCACAGTAAGATGTCAAACCATTTTTGCCTAGTTTGACAAATTAAACTGGGTCACACCAGGTGCTGCATCACATCTTATCTTCTCCACAAGAGAAGCCAAATGTCACCTCACAGCAAATCGGAACTATAATCCTTGACTGAGCGCTGGTGTTTGGAGTGTCCCTTTAATCCCTTAAGGACACACAACGGAAATATTCCATCATGATTCCCTTTTACTTCTGAAATTGTGTTCTTAAGGGGTTAATCCATACATAATTTCCAAATGCATATCACATTCCCTCTTTATTTTCCCAACTACTGCCTTTCTTTTTTCTTTTCTCATGTATTTAGCTTTTCTTCAACCCAAGTTTTTTCTTTCAGTCTTCTATGTCCATCTAGTGACCCCATATTTCTCACCGTCGTCCTCATTCTTTCCCTCTTGTCTCTTTTTTTTTTTCATTTTTTCTATAAACTTTCCTCTCCCCTAGCTAGGATTTACCTGTTGTTTCACAACCATTGTTTCTCTTGAATCTAATCTTGCCTTCATTTCTCTATAATGTCCTTTACACATTGCCTTTCTTCCCAATTTAATGTCTCTCGTTTATGCTTTAACAAGTTAAGATAGCACTATATACTAATTTACAATTTACACATTTTATCTACAAAATTCTTCATTGAGAAACCCCGTTCTGAAAAAAAAATTTTTCATTGATCTGGTCATTTATGGATTTGATTCACTGTGCCTTATTTCTCCTATGCTATAGCTGCAATATTTCTTGGACATTATAAAGAATGGACTCCGTAAGCAGAATCAGCGGTTGACATTCTTAATAACCCTTTATGTCGCTAAAGCCGCCCAACAGATTCTCAGACCAGGTAAGATGTTTATTGTGAAAAATAATCTCCGTACTGTCAATCACTAAACATTATCACATTTAGCAAGCTGTCCTATTTACATTTCTCTAAATCTGTCTTTTTATGTTTTCTATTGGTTAGAGTTTACATCTCTAAGGGTAGAGAGGCTTTGTTAGTGACCGTTCCCCTTTCTTCTACCCCAGTAAATTCTACCGGAGCCCCTCACCCCCAACACACACACAAGTGCTCATGCTTTATTTCTTGTGTTGGGGGGGGGGGAGCTAACCTAGAACTTAAAGTTTGTTTTTACCAGGCTCCTTAACCCCTTAAGGACACATGACGTGTGACCTGTCATGATTCCCTTTTATTCCAGAAGTTTAGTCCTTAAGGGGTTAAAGCAACAAATTAATTTCTGCATTGATTAATTATTAATTAAAATGGTTTGATAGATCACTCTGGGAAAGCGCCAGGAGACTCCTGGCCAAATTGTAGCTAGAGCAGATTTTTATATTCTGTAAAATATTGGCCAGCTCGTAATAACCATTTCGTCCTCCTTGTTCTCCAACAGAGGAACACATGTACATTAAGATATCAAAGTTCATTTTGTCACATCAGGATTTGCACATGAAGAAAGTTCCAGATTTCTATAAACTGTTCTACAGCTTCGATATAGAGGTAGAGTATTATCTGGTATCGATGTTCTCTGTACAGGTTTATGTTTATCTATGTCAGTTTGTACAGTGTTGTGATATTAATCTGTAGAATGTCTTATTGTGAAATATTATCTGACTTCTATACAATATTATCTGTTATCTAAACAGGTTTATAGCATATTATTAGATCTTTTTCTGTCTGTTATTATCTGTGTAGTATTATCAGGTGTCTCGCTCTGTGTCATGTTATTTGTTTTTAATTTGCATTTAAGTAGTGTTCCGATTTCTGTGTGTAGAATGTTCCCTGATGACTCTGTCACGTATTATCTGTAATATATCTGGAGACTATTATCTGATATTTTGTCAGATGTTTTTCTAAAATGTAGTCTGCAGAGAGTTTCCTGTTCTATTTCTGTAGATTATGTGTTATCTAGTTGTGTATTATTTAATATCTTTAACGTATTATTTTATATCGGAGTATGACCTGATAATTGTACGTTATTATTTTATATGTCTGGGGTATTGTCTCTTAATTGTGTGGGTTCTCCCTGATATCTGCCTGTGTGGTATTACCAATCACCTGTTTGTTGATCACATGAGAATTGTAATGCATTATGTAGAGCTGACAGATCTAGCTTATTTTCTGCACACACATTACTCCTGCCGACAGGCTGAACATAGAACCCGCTGTCTTGTGGTATATAGCATTCGTGTGCTGCAAGAGGGAAATCAAGTCCGTAATCGGTGTATTATCTATTCATTATCTGCAGTGTGCTCCCTGATATCTACCTATTCTGTTATCTGTATTTCTGTTATCTTTTACAAGTGATATGATGTCTGTAGATATATGTAAAATATTTGGAATACTTCCTGTAGAGTGCTCGCTATGAAGAGTTACACCAACCAAAGATTTAGTTGTAACCCTAGCTAGCACGGACTCCACCCCTTCCCTCTCCCCCAAAAAATAAATAGAAATAAATTAAACTTATCATAATTCCTGTAACAATGCCAAGTTCTCTCTGCAGCCTGATCCTTCTCCTCAAACGTACAGACTCCAAGTACCATGACCACTTCAAATATCTGAAGTGGTCATGGTTCTTGGAGTAACCTTTGAAACTTTGTATATTATGCCTTGCCTGTAGTGTATCACCTAATATTTATCAGAGTATTCTCCTACATCTTTCATCTGCCTGCAGTATTTGTAGTCTGTTCTCTGATGTCTATCATTCATTTTTTGACATCCATGTTTATCCTTTCGATATGTGATTGCAAACACCATTTCCTGTGTTAATGATATTTGAAGATATTTTTATGTGATTCCTCTTCTGCAACTGTCATTAGTCTAATACTATCCTTACCTTTTTGTGTCATTTTACCCCACTCCCTCTAGCATGTGAGCTCATTGAGCAAGGCCCTCAGCCCATCTGTTCCTGTGTGTCCAACTTGTCTGGTTACAACTACATGTCTGTTCGTCCACCCATTGTAAAGCGCTGCGGAATTTGATGGTGCTATATAAATCACATAATAATAATAATAATGTACATTTATTTATGTATTGTTTCTGACAGCACAAATTGGAGCGTGAGTGGATACTAACATTTATGAGGGATGGACTTCGGGATAAATACTGCTACGAACTGTACGATTACCAGAGAATTATTCAGATCATAATGACTTTTTATATCAGTCCGTTGTGCGATGAAGCAGCGCAGGTAAAAAATACAATCCATTATTTTGCAAACACAGAAGTGCATTTCTCCCCCCCCACACACACACACACACATAGCAAAATATTACATAGTATTTGATTGGCTGGTGAGTTTATAGAACTGAGGACACGTAACACAGTATATTAAATTCCGCTTTTCCATAGCTCAGTGTTTTGCAAACCAGTTCTCATGACCAAGCAACAGTCCAGGTTTTGTCAGTGTCTCCATTGGAATAAGATAGGGAAATACATAAATCCTGGATTGTTTGTGAGTCCTGAGACACAGCCCTAGACAGTTGCTTGTAAGCACATTGTTAAACCTACAGTATCTGTGTTAGGGAAATTGTCTGTCATTGACCATTACCCTGTCTGTGTACCTACCAATTGCTTACACCTTGTTAGAGCTGTAGCTGATAGCAAATCTGTCTGCTCCTAAAAGTAAATGAAAACTAATAGAAAAAATAAATTGTATGCATGTAATCTGATGTGGTTTACTCCTATTTTATTCAGATTTTATTTTCTTCCAGAACCTAATCTTGGAGATATTGCTGAATGCATCTACCATCATAAAAGCTGCATACCAGCTCATCCGGGACCACAGCTTGTTAACCTGGATACTCAATATCCTTGAGAAACGGTATGTTATAAGCTCAGCCTTTTACACCTCTGTATAGGGACCCATTTTGTCATTTTAGTAGAACAGATCGGGTTTGTCTGTCTGGCTCTTCTGATCTAACTGATTTTCAATCCTAATTAAATTGATGCATCTCATTAGTGTAGTTTAAGTAGCTTACCACTTTAAACTACCAATACCATCCTGTGTGTTTAACTATAACTAGCTTTCCACTTACCTCGCCAAAATAAGCAAATGCATTTACTAAATTTATGTATACAATACAACAATAAGTCCGCGCTAATCAACAAACAATATGTAGACAGGCAGCAACCCTAACGAAGGAAATCCCTCCAAACCCTTCAATAAGACAAAAGAACAGTACCAAAAAAATGAAGTAGGGCTTCGCTAATGAAACTTGTAGAGAGTAAAAAAAAAAAAAAATTAATAAATAGTTCAAAATAAAGTCTCACTAGAACAGCAGGAGAAGGTCAAAGGTACTTGGGAAGACTCTTCTTCAGGGATGGGTACGTCAGAGTGGCTCAGGATATTCGTATATATATGGAGACAAGAAGGAGATACGAAGGCAACCAATAGTGCAATAAGTCAAGATCCAAGAATGTGATGTATTTATCTTATTCTAATATGCATAATCTGCTAACATTCAGATATCTCAGTAGTTTGTCTATATATTCACTTTGGTTTACAGTAGAATAATTTAATATATTAGCACATTATTATTTTCTGGTTTAAAAAGCATGAGATGATATATTTAAGAGTAATAACCCATCATTCTCTATTCCAACTCACTGGAATTAAAATGATCACTGATTCTGAAAATTCCATTTCACTAATGCATCTTTTTTTTTTTTTCTTCCTATGAAAACTTTTTCAGATTTCTCGAGAACAATACATTGGCCAGCATCATTTCACTATTAAACAACTTATGGGTAACAAATCTGGGAAATAAAGAGAGTCCGCTGACAGCTGATGCGCAGAGTAACGAAGAACCTCTAGAGAAGCAAAAGTTCCTCCCTCTCCAGTTGGTCAATGAATTTCTCAACGTATCATTGTCATTGCTCAGACATATCCGGTAGGTCGTGTTCCCCTATCTTTATTCACAGAAGGAGAAGTCATGGCCATGATGGCATGTCTTCAAGATTTCAAACTCATGAGTGCCATAGCAAAGATTACCCTGCAGAAATAGTTACACCGTGGCACTATGAGTTAATAAAACAGCTTGTAGAATATGAAGATATTTCTTAAGTACCGTCTTCTGTATTGTGTTAAAGTTTTTTACCTTAATCCCAAAATTTTTCGGAGTGGACCGCGTTAGGGAAATTTAAAAAACGAGAAGTAGACAAATACTGTATATTATTCTTGTCATCATTAATAATAAGAGGAAATGTCACTTTGTATTCTTTGCGCAATCAAGTAGCTTACTAAAAAAAAAAAATATTTTTAATTGGTTTTATTTCTTCATATTCTAAATGACACATTGTGTAAAATAGTTAACTCTTAATGTGTTGTACACATTGCATATGGAATTTCACTGTTCGACACACCTCAGAAGGAAACACTCAGGGAGAAGATATAGACATGCATATTCTGTGTATCACTTTGTTGTATAAGTAAAGGTATAATTGGCCTGACAAGTCACGTATGTCTGCATGTGTTGAGGCTTTCGTTTACACTGCTGCGTTTTTTCTCTTATTTATAAATACAAGTGTAATAAAGTACAATCATACAATTCATTTTATACATTTTATTTATTACTCTGTTTTGTAACAGGCCGAACTTAGATTCTGACCACCTGAACCAGTATTTTAGCACTGTAGGTTCTGTATTGAGACATCGCTCAGTGGTTCTGAGGGCCTTTAAAGAGATGGGCAGATTTGCTGTAAATGAACAGATCTTATCCAATATGGACATCCTCCTTTTTCTGCACAAGTGGAGCGTGATTGAAAGGGACCTGGAACTTCAACAAAGTCTGACTGCCCTGGCTCAAGAACATAAAGTGAAAGAATTGCTGAGTATGTGTACTGCCCTGTTACTAATTCATTGAAGTTTGACACAGTTGAATTAAGGGGCATTTTTTACATTTCTTGCAATATCTGATGGCCCGTCTAACCTATCTAGCTGGTGATGTGTGCAGCTGATCACACACATCTTCTCAGTGCAGCCTTTCATACTGTCTGCAACATTATAGACTGTGCACCCCTACAACACCAACTGTCAATGCAGAACCAGTGAGTGAGGAATACAGTGGAGTTTTACATGGAATGTATTTTCAAAATGTATTCAGGTTATGTACGCCATGTGTTTTAACTAGGCATGTAATGACGGAAATCGTTATTATGGGTTTTTGGGGGGTGGGGGGGGGGGGTATTTATTTTTTATTTTATTTTTTTTACATTCTGCTGTCTCTGGCTTTTTGATACTTTTGATTATCGGTTCCCTTTTCCAAGCATAGTAATGCTACCCTTGGAGAGATGTGTTTTCTGTTGGCTGATGTCACTGCCACTACGCACGCATCCTATTTTCAATTTTCTAGCGTAAAGATACTGAAACATACATGTTTTTACATTTTTTTTGAACATCCACATGTCCACTGTTAATTAGCATTGATTTCTTCTTTTTTTATAACTTTTTTTTCTTCCGTAGGCAATATTAAAGAGAAATGTAAACCACAGGGAGTCCAGCAACGCAGGAAGAAGACAAACACTGAAAACAAAGCAAGTATTGAAGAAGTTCTTCATGTGTCCACTTGTGGAATAGTGAGAGCGCATATGAAATCCATTTTGATCCATTGGGAACCTGTTTTTGCAAATCATTCCTCGGTAGTGACTAAAGATCAGTGTGAATCAGTGGATGATCCTAGCCAGTTAACCACAGACGATGATAAAACTTTAGACAACCGCAGGGACATCAATGACCTTGTGTGCGCCGTGGCCTGCCTTGTAGCAAAGTGGATTTTTAAAGCCGAAAGTGAATGTACCGTGAATACATACGAAAGTTACAAATCGATCCTGTGGTTTAAATGTAGCATCCTGCCACACTCGGCCGTTGTGCTCGAGCTTCTGAAAGACACTTCATGGAGAAACATGATTTTCAAGCTCTACAATAGAATGTGCAGTGATTCACAAGTGGAGACTACCAGCCTTGAGCTGCTGCATGTATTTAACGGAGTTATGGAACAGTTAACTAAGACTCTGAATTTGGGCAAAGCATCATACCATAATGCCATTAAAGATCTCTGCTTGCTTTCTGATAAAAAGATTGACGAGAAAAGAAGAGGTAAGTAAATATCTGTGATCGAAAGACTTATTTTCAGTGGGAAACAAATCTAGGTCACATATGCAATTTTTTTTTGTTCGTATTCTATAAATGTAAGTGCAGTAAACCATTTGAGTGGATGATCTGATCTTAAAGGAAATCTGTAGAGTGTAGACCCTAAAACAACTTTAGTTTAATAAAGCAGTTTTGGCGTGCAGATCATAACTCTGCAGTCTAACTGCTCAATTCTCTGCCATTTAGAATCACTTTGTAACTAGCACAGCCTTCTTAAACACTTCTTGTAAAGAGAAATCAAATTTTTAATTTTCCTTTATTGCACATTCTGTTTAATTTTGAATTTTGTACCTTCTGTTCTGTCAGTTGCTTCCTTGACTTTGCTGGAGCCTCCAGTGTGTGATTAAAGCTCAATTTACAAAGCAGGAGTTAACATCTGATTGAAAATATATACATTTTTTTTCATGCAGGCTGTGTCAGTCAGAGCCAAGGGAGATTTGGCCAGGGCTGTATAAATGGAACAAAGGTAATTTAACTTATAAATGGCAGAGGATTGAGCAGTGAGACTGCAGGGGCATGTTCTATACACCAAAACTGCTTCATTAAGCTAAATTTGGTGACCAACGTTTTAGTGTCCCTTTAAAAATACTGCATTAACAAGCCATAATAAACCTGTTGACCAAATATTGTTTAGAATCCCATCTACATAACATCCGAGCTAGCTGTATTGCTAGTTTTTAATCTCTGTGCCAGCAGATCACGAGTAATGGATAAAACATAACTGTTTAAATAATCCATCATCTATACACTTGCGAGGGGTTTGGCTATCTCAAAATGTTAATAAAATCTCCAAAATGTAAAAAAACTGAAAAAGGCCCAAACATTTAAAAAAAATAAAAAATACAAAATGTCTTTAAACATTTCCCTTAGAAAGAAACTGGATGCACAGCTGCACATGAGCTCAACAAGATTATAAAACTGGAATTTTCATTACCATGTTTTTCAAAAGATAAAATGTAAAACAAATACTTGTGCTATTTTGATTTTGCTGTTGATCCAAAAGAAGGCATAATACCCAGTCTGAAGCGCTTCCAATTTTGCAATAAACTAGGAAAAAAATCCTTCTTGACCCCAGAATGTCATTCAGATATTTCCTTGGATCAAGAATATATTACCCCACTAATTAAACAGTATATCCCTAAATATTATGTTTTTGCAAGTATCCATCTAGTTGCTATTTGAACATCTGTACAGATTCTGATAAAACAGTCTCTTCAGGCAGAGAATTCCATATCCTTATTGTTCTTCTAAAAACCCTTTCCTTTGCCTTAGCCGAAATCTCCTTTCTTCCAGTCTAAATGCGTGATATTGTGTCTTGTATAGTCCATTTATTGACCCAACTAATTTATATAGTTTGTTGTTGTTGCATAATGTGTTATTAGTTTGGCATTTTACAATCCTGTTAAAAGTTCACGATGTTTATAAGAGGTGTAATTTCACAGGTGAGCAATCACAGATGAGAAACCGCTACAGGAAATATTTCACTCAACGTCACACTTTTAGTAATGCATTGGGTTTTATTATCTTATTTATACCTGCCTGCATTAATATACTAAAAAGTGTCTTAGGTTTGAAACATTGACTTGCTGTGTTTTGTATTTTCTTTCCAGCTGCTGGTAATTTCTTGATGTTTCTTTACATTGTGGACGTCTGGCTTGGTGACAAATCGACAGATCTGTTTGGAACTCATGTGAAAAGTGTATGTGAGTCAGTTGACGTAAACATTCCTAGCTCTGCGAAAAAGACTCCAGAACTGAAGAAGGAAGGAGTTCAGAATGTGATTGTATCACTTTGTAAAGAATTGTCTTCATCTGTGGTCCCCACTTGACATGAACTGCATTATTAGCCAAAGTGGGTTTCAGACCTGACCACGTTTATGAACTGAATCATGTGCTCAGCATCTTCATTCTGGAACCTATAGGGTAACTCCAGGAACCATAAAGACTTCACCTTAATGAAGTTGTTTTGGTGTCTGTAGGTCATGGATTCCATTATAGCTTATGGGTTTAAACCATTTTCAAATATTCTAACCCCAATTTCATGTTGATGGCCCCCTTCTGCCTCCTCCGTCTGCCCTGGTTCCAATGCAAAGTTCTCTGGGTGCATTGATGGGCTGAGACCCTCAGCAGCTCGTTGTGGTGGAGTCCTAAGTAAAGACCTTATGGGTTAAAAAAGTTAATAAAAATCTAAACCTCATCTGGTCCAACTTTGCAGGCTAGCTAGTTTTGCCGCCTACTAAAACTGATCAGAACATCTGAATTATAAAATGTTAGGAGAGTGGAGATCTTTAGATTGGCATGACTCCAATGTCTCCCCTGCCAAGAGCAAGTATGTATTTGAAAGTATGTGAAGGAATAAGATAAGTGCCTATGAATATATAGATTGTTAATGCCTCTACGATCTACTACAATATCTTGTGAGTTACATTTTATTCACAATTCTTTTTGTAAAATAAAAAGCTTCTAATAGTGCACTATTGATGGTTTTTATCCTGTTATTCAGCTGTGCATGAGCTTCTCTCTTTTACCTCTGAGAGAAGTATATTTTGGTTGTGGCTTAATGAATCCCTCGCCTTTTGCTCACCCCCTTTTTTATGCCTGCTCCTTGTACATGATCCTCTAAACTATTCCCACTGATGCCAGTATGATCATTATAATAAAATAGTTACATAATCTTTTTCCATGTTATGCTGTGAGGTACAGCCTACAATCCTCTCTATACGAGTGGCCGGGGGTCATTTGCTCTGCTTCCCCCTCCTTGCCGGCTCTCTCCTGTCTAGGAGTATAAGTGTCAGCCGAGATTATTAATTAACAAAGGGATTGTTAGTACATTGAACAGGCATGGTTTGTTTTACGCCAAAATAGCCAAGCTGGAGAAATAGCTGATAATGATGTGTGTGTTAGACAATGTGGGTTGGTATAAGTGATGTGGAAGTGAGGTTGGGGTATATTACATGGTACGTGTGCAAGCGACTGAATATGGTAAGTTGGTTGGGTGTGTAAATTACTGGTTGTGTAGGGGGACACATAAAAGGGTGTGATTAAATGGTGAGTTGTATATGACAGTGTGTGTGTTTATATTGTGAGTTGGATGTATATGACAGATTGTGTGTGTGTGTGTGTAGATGGTAGGTTGGATTTATATGACAGATTGTGTGTGTGTGTGTGTGTGTGTAGATGGTGAGTTGGATGCATGTATGGCATGGTGTGTGTTTGTGTCAAAGAGCCTAGTTAGTGAACTAAGAGCGAATTTATGACTGTGTAAGTGTCAGTGAAGTGACATGGGAGAGGCAGAGTGTGTGCTTATAGATGTGAGGTAAGGTTTTTGGGACAGGATGACTGTGAGGATGGGTGGCGGGGGGATATATCAATTCAGATGAATTGCAGTAGCAGCAACAGGCAATTTTTATGCCATGTGTTGTCGCAGGGCTCCCAGCACTGACTGTATTTTATAGCTGGCAGCTGGATCTCTGTCTGTTTCCTGGACTGTACATTGTAGCAACTGTGAGCTCGGGATCCAATCCCAGCGGGGAGCTGCAGCAGCAGTTGCTAGGAGAAGAGGAGACTGAAAACGGCAAAGAAATGAAAACCAAGCAACGCGACTTGGGGCTGCAATGAAAAAAAGAAAATAAATAATAGTAATAATTAAAAAAGAAGATTCCATACAGCACTGTTGTTGCAATGCCCCTGACACAGTATAAACCTTGCACCCGATGCACTTGCCTTGGCTTGCCCGTGATACATGGGAATAGTTAAAGCAAGCAAGCCCTATAAGGTAAAATAACTCTGGAGTGTTTTTCTTTTCAACATCTGCAACTTTTGCTTCCAACATACAGATGGATGAAAGCACTGGCAGTCTATAGGAAGTCAATAGATACATTTAAGGATTGCACACCCTGGAATGCTGGGAAATCTCTGGAAATGACAGTGATTAAACGGGATACAAGCCTTTAATATAACATTATAGGACACAAAGTGCGCATGCTCTCTGATAGTTAAATTAAATGTGAATGAGAGAGCACTGAATTGATGACATTTCTTAATTTAATGCATTTCAAGTATATTTGTATAAGTAAAAGATTATATTTTATTTATATCCCAAATAATAGGCCTTGTCAACCACTGTATGAGGTACCAAAACATGCAACTCCTAGCAAAACCCAGATCAGGTTTAATATTTGTGCAGGCAGTAGGAGATATTCAGTGTAATTAGTAGGTTGGTCGTGCGTGATGTGACGAATGACTGTCACATCTTTTATCCTCTTACCTGGAATGCTGAATATTGTTCCCATTGTCATTTCACTCTGGAACTGTGGCTACGTAGATTGCTTCTGTTTTCTCATATTCTTTGAGGGTACCTGTACTGCCTGATTAAAACATGTATGTCACATTTTACAGTTCGTTTGTTTTGTTTTAGACCCTCCCCTCCCACAACTGTTACATAACCTAACGTCTGGGTGCCCTTTGTGACCATCAGACTATACCTGATTGTCATTTTACCAGGTTCAGATTAGTACTTTTTCTGCTAATGTCCATTAAAATGCAGCAGCAATAACTACATTTTTTTTTAATAAAAAGATTTATGGCATTTTGTAAAAAATAAAATAAATCCTATATATATATATATAATATCCAATATGGCTACTTTGTATCTGCGGTCTCCCTCACACACGCATATTTCTAGTTTATATTTATTACCCCAGCTCCCATTACATTTTTTACAGATACAGATTGTTCTCACAGCTCACTCCTGTAGCCCAGCACAGCTAACTTAAGCAACCCACTAACAGGAAATGATACAATGTCTGCCAAAAAGATACGGATTGGGCACTCCATAGTCCATGGCTACTGCAATGCCAAAGACTGATGGCGCGTGCCTGGCTCCTCCCCATCAAAGCTGTCATTGGACACTTCATGGTGAGTAGGAGGAGCCTGCAACAGATCCCCAGATTACACAAATCTTTTTATTCTACCCATGTGTTGTTATTCAATTCATTATAATATAGTTTTCAGTTTGTCTGTTGACGTAACAACATGTCAATGAAGTAGACAGCCACTAGAGGCGATTCCAAGAGAATAGCAAAGTAACGCTTCCTATCAGATGATCTCATCATGAAATTTGCGAATGCACACAAGCCTTCCAATGCAAATTTATGGAAGAGCATTGGATTAGCTGAGATCATCTTTCTCCATGATCTCACCCAAGGAGGTGGGTGCTTTGGAGAACAGCGTTGTGAGGAAGAAAAGGTAAGTAATAGACTTTCTTTTTTTTTTTTACTGCAGGTTGGAGCTGGTCACCTTAACAGCCAACAGGACACTATAGCATTAGAAATGCACATTTGTATTCATTGATTCCTTTAAGGTCAATGTCCAAATGAGCTGTGGACACATCCTAATTGATGATAATGCATTTTAAACAAAGATTCTGAAATAGAACACACAGAGTAAACAGAACATCCAGTGTTAGAATATCATTTCCGTTGCTGAGGTCAGATTTTATATGTTCATTCAAAAAAGGTGCTCAATAAAAATGTAATTAAATACAGTCTGTTTGAAAACTTGATTGGGTTTTCCATCTATACGAAGTTAAATTACCCATTATAAAGACTGTTTGTATGTGTCTAATTTAGACCTTTTAGTGCCTGATTGCTGTCTCATTTGTGGCATATAATTGGTTCTTACAAGTTATTTGAGTTGTTTCTTTTACCATAACTTTATGCTTTCGATCTACAGACAAAGCCGGCTCTGTGCTGATGAGCCTCATCAAAGGCCAAGTGTACTTACGGTGGCTGGATACAGATTCTTTTAGTTTAGGGGTACCCAAAAGGTAGATCCACAGATTATTTAAAACTACAACTGCCATGTTTTGCCTTTCTAATCGTTATTTAGTTGACAGACACATTTAGAGAATTCAGGGAGATAAGACCTTTTATTGAATATTCTATAATTTCATAACATGATAGTGTCGATGTACATGTGTCAATGAACATTTTATTAAATGCCCTGGAAGGTTTTTTTTTTTTCCTTTAAATAAATATGAAAACAATTCTGGATCTTGACTCTTCAGACAACAGATATATCAGTGAGACAGCCACTAGAGCATGGGTCGTCAACCTGGTCCCTACCGCCCACTAGTGGGTGTTTCAGGATTCCAGGTGGGCGGTAGGGATTTTCAAATTTTGACAGATTGGGCGGGCGGGTGCGAGCCGGCGGTACCCCTACGACCGGGTACCGCCATCACCACTTGTGGCCCCAGCCTGCGTGGCAAACCGCCAGGGCCGCATATGGAGGGGTCCATCGGGTGGCCCATGCTGTCAGGGCCACCCGATGGATGTGGATTGTAAGGGGGCCCGGTCAGCGCTGGGCACTTTAACAGCGCGACCGGGCGCCAACAGGACACCTGAGCCACCATTGGACCCCAGGGAAAGTCACCCTCCTGCACTTTAACCCCTTAAGGACACATGACATGTGTGACATGTCATGGTTCCCTTTTATTCCAGAAGTTTGGTCCTTAAGGAGTTAAAGGTAGGAAACAGGAGGGTGACTTAAATATGTGTTTGTGTGTGTATGAGTCTGTATGTGTGTGTATGTATGTTATAGTGGGCTATAGTAAGTGGGCTACCTAGCTCAGCCTTCCTACTGGGCATTGCTATAAGGAAGGTTAAAATTTATTTTTAAAAAGGTGGGGAGGGGAATTAAGGAGGGAGAGGAGGGGAGCTGACGCACAGATGAGAAATCTTATTATGCGCAAACAGAGAAGTCGTCTGAATATCACCGAAAGAGGAGACCTTTGTTTGTTCCTTACGAAAATCGAACCAGATATCAAATATTTAGTCTTGCAGCATCAACCTCAAGGATCTCATTAATCACTAGTAAAGGTCATTTCAATTTATTTTATTGTTTTCTAATTAAACTTTATAAAGTTAAAAACATTATAAACATGCATTAAGTAGAAATAAAAAGATAAATGTACGTACATTTTTTTTTTTTTTTTAAAAACACCCTCCTTTCTATAAAATATTCCGCACTTGCGCGAAAACTGGTGGGCGGTAAGGACATTTTTTCAACCAAAAAGATGCATTAGTGGGCGGTAGGTAGAAAAAGGTTGACTACCACTGCACTAGAGGCTGGATTAACCCTCAGTGAAACATATCAGTTTCTCTGAAACTGCTTTGTTTTCAGCTGAAGGGTTAAAACCTGGGGGACCTGGCACCCGGACCACTTCATTGAGCTGAAGTGGTCTGGGTGACTATAGTGGTCCTTTAATAATACTTTAAATAAAAAAAGTCTACACTTTAGACTTTTAGCCCCTCTTTGAAGTACAATAATGCATTCCTACAAAAAATACAAACTCCAGTATTTTTGATCATGTATTAACTTTTTGGGATTAAGGACTAAAAATAACTTACTGTGTTCGTGTTGAGAACGTTCTCGATATGTAGAGTAAAGTAAGGAATAAAAATACCACAAAAAGTGCAAGGCCGACCCAAAAAGCAATGACAATCGAATCTGCAAATTAAAAACAAATCTGTGACAGGTTGACATTAATAACATGAGATCAGACACAACAACAGGTGTAGTGAGATTTAACCTTAACGGGACACTATAGTCACCAGAACAACTACAGTTTATTGAATTTGTTCTGGTGAGTAGAATCATTAGCTTTTTGCAGTAAATACGGCCTTTTCAGAGAAAATGCAGTGTTTACATTACAGCCTAGTGATAACTTCACTGGCAACTCCTCAGATGGCTACTAGAGGTGCTTCATGGGGCAGTGCTGCACAGTGTGGCAGGCGATCACTCAAACCTTGCATAGACCTCTCATTAAGGAAGCACTAGGATGTCTGTTGTAGTTATACCGCAATGAGAACATGCATAATTAAAGGCATACATGTTTTCACTGGGGTTATATCTACTAAATATCGTTTTTTGTTTTTATTTATTTGGGCAGTTGTTGACAGTCCCTTGTTCATTGCCATAAAGCAGGGTTGCCCAACATGTAGACCCCCAGCTGTTTTTAAAACTACAACTTCTATGATGCTTTGCATTCTAAATGTATTCTAAAGGCATGCAAAACATCATGGGAGTTGTAGTCTTACAACATCTGAGGATTTACCCATTGGGCACCACTGCCATAAGGCTTTTAAGCAATTGTTTACAGCCCCTTGTTCATTGCCATAAGGCTTCTCTTTGTTATCTAGTGATTAATGCATCCGTTTTTGCAAGAGATAAACAGAAATGAACTCTTTGGGTATATTAGAACATACATTGAGAAGCTCAGATCTAGTCTGTAAATCTATGTGTTGGAGCCTGAGCTCCTAAATCTGATTGCAGAAAAATCACTTTATTTCTTTCCAAGAAATTCTTTCTTTCTAAGATCACACAGAAGTTATTAAAATATCTATAATATATTATGGGAGGTCTGCCTGTCATCATACTATTTCTATAACTAAAAAGTAGAGATTGTAGACGTATTAGTCCATTGATGTAGATGTAAAACACAGATAAAATTTGGATCTTTTAATACCTTTTTTATTGGACTAACAGAATTTTTTAATGACAAGCTTTTGGTAGAACCTCCCTTTCTCAAGTCTAAAGCATTTCTGAGCAAGACGACACATAGAATTCAAAGTTGAGTTGTGATACAGGGGTTAAAGCGACATCAGTGCAGATAAGACACAGGATTGATAGAAAATAGACACCATTCTCTCAGAGATTGGTAAATATCTTGTGTGAAGATCAGTCTGTGAGAATGGTGTCTATTTTCTATCAAACTTGTGCTTTATCTGCACTCATATCGCTCTAACTCCTGTATCATGACTCAACTTTGAATTCTATGTGTCGTCTTGCTCAGAAATGCTTCAGACTTGAGAAAGGGAGGTTCTCCCGAAAGCTTGTCATTACAAAATTCTGTTAGTCCAATAAAAAAGGTATTACAAGATACAAATTTAATTTATTTTACATCTATAACTGAGATATAGTCAAGTCAATCCCACTTCTCTCTGTTTACATCTGAGATTAAAACCTAGACCTTACTGCGATCCATCTCAACCATATAATAGATGTCACTATTCTAGTATGTTATTTTTTCTTTATGTGATAGGGAGTTAATGTAAATCCTAAAATGCTGCAGAAATGGCATTTTATAAATAGTAAAAGCAATTCCGAAGCAAAATTCTACAAGTGGAGAGATCAACGCAAACATTCTTTGGCGTCCAAAGCTATATGTTACGTCTAGATCTTTTTTTCCCCAGAATATCTCTTCATGTCCCGTAAAAACACACAATACAAACTTGGTATTTTATTAACCTGATTCATTGAGAACTTTCTGAAATGTAAAGGAAAAAAGGAGAGTTTTGTACTTACATTTGTTTGCTTTTAGCTTGCTTTCATCAAAGCTTACAAAATCCACATAGTCGTAATAGTATTCAAAACCATCTGTTACATTGGCCATCTCCACATCCCAACCAATGTTCCTGTAATACCTTTGTTGTCACGCTTTAGAGATTTCTTGCAATTAGCTCCACACAGTTTCACGCAGTCATCGATGTGAGAAAGTTCAGTTTTATACATTCCGTTTTCATATCAACCTATAACCTATGACAGAATCATTGCCTGTTAATGCATTCACCCCCCCTCCCCTTAGCAAGCAGATAAGGATCTAAAATACACAAGGAATGGGCCCATGGAACACAGGAAATTGTGTGAGCTCTGACAAGCACTGCAGAAATTATACAAGTACAGCAATCGAGAAAAACTTAAAGGGACACTGCAGGCAACCAGACCACTTCTGCCCATTGGAGTGGTCTGGGTGCCATCTCCCACTACTCTTAACCCTGCAAGTGTAATTATTGCAGTTTTTTTAATAAACTGCTATAATTACCTTGCATGGCTAACTCCACCTCTAGTGGCTGTCTAATAGACAGCCACTAGAGGGCACTTCCTGCTCTATAGCACAGAAAACCTGCTGTGTGAGGACCTCCAGCATCGCTCATTTCCCCATAGGAAAGTATTGAAAAGCATTTTGCCGAGGATGCGCATTAGGTCTACCCGGCCAGTGGGGGGGATCAGTCTCGCCCACCGGCCGGCGAAATCACTAGGAGGAGCGGCGGCGGCGGCGAAGGAAGAAGCAGTGACGTGGGACATGTCGCTGCCTCAGGTAAGTAACTGAAGGGGTTTTCACCCCTTCAGCTACCGGGGGATGGGAGGTGGGAGGGAGAGGGGACCTGCAGTGCACTGGAGTTTCCCTTTAATATAAGAAAGGCTCCATTTGGTAAAATAATATGGTATGCAGGGATTTAAAGTGGCACTGTCACGCTGTACTCTTTTTCTTTCCTACTCTTTTTTTTTTTTTTTTTTTACCTATTTCTAACTAAATACATAAGACAAAACAGGGACTGCACATATATACTTCTATCACCATGACTACTTAAAATCACTAAAGTGGTCATGGCGGTTGGTGTTATCCTTTAATGGATGTTCAATGGCGCACACACACTGGCACATAGTCACTAATGCCCACACATGCACACATTCACAAATGCTCATTAACAGACAAAGATACTCCTGCTGTATCCCATACAAACACTGGCACGCAATCACCAATGCACAGATACTCAATGACATACACTGGCACACACACATACACACTGCGACCCATACACTGGAACACATTGATCCATGCTAACACATACAGTGTCTGTGTGTGACACACACCTCTCCCCTCCAGCCGCTGAGAAATGAGGACATTATCCCGACAGATTTCAGGTCTGTGACTTCTGCGAGGAGCGCCTGACTTCCACCACTTGCTTGATTTCGCTCTCTTTCTCTCTCTCTGTAAAAACTCTAAGATACTGAGAAACTCCTAGCAAGAAAAGAAACTGAGTGGTTCATAGATAAAAAAAACGATTACACCATTAGGTCTTAACGTAGATTTAGACCTAAGTCTTTATGGATTAGAACTGTGTTTTTTTTAGATATTTTTAGTAGTCCTTACTTTTTTTTTAAATATATTTTTACATATTTGTTTCTTCTGGCAAAACCTTATAACATTTCTCCATTTTTTTTTCTATATAGGTATTTTTGTCTTTTTTTATAGGCATTCAGTCACCTTTGATCTGATAAAAAAATTTTTACCCAGGTTTTGGTATTTTTATTTTATTTATCTATGGCCGTGTCATTATCTTCATCAGCGGAGATGCCTTCTAATATATTACTAGGTTATATATGTGATTTTATTTCCTTCTGAAATGATATACAAATGATTCAGATATGTATCTGTATGTATAAATTATTTGTTGTTTTTTTTTTATAGAGAAACTGTATTTCCTACTCTATGGATACTACCATTGAGTTATACTACAAAATGCCGTTTATGCTAAGCTTTTTGTCTATTTTTATTGTTTACTTCTATTGTTTACTTTGCCCTTTATGCATCTTTTTGCTGTATATATAAATGATGTTCCCCATAATGATTGTCTGAAAATAACATATCCGACTTTCGGCTTGATTCCAAGCCCAGTATGCTGATTATATGCGTACTGGTGCGGGTGCAAGTTAAAGCACAAAGCAATAATAAAGTTGATTGTGTGTTCCAAAATGGACAGCACACGCATACGCAGTGGGGCAGACGAGAGCGTCTTAGTATTTAAATCGAGAAGATCAGAAGGGAACATCAGGCTCTTGAGAAAGTCCGAACAGACGAAACGCGTCGAGTAAGCAGCATTCTACCACAAAGAAAGAGGCTGGTATTGGGAGCTTGTCTTTTCATCTACATCACAACGATCTACCTCACCATTGTACATGGCTGGACTGAACTATCTGACTGATCTATAGAGGTACCCACGGCCCCTTCTAAAGACTGGGAATTAAGCCCCCCTACTTGAGGCTTAAAAAGCTTTTGTGCACAAACAAGAAGTATTTTTTTGTGCCACTCTCTTTGTGAGTTTGTTTTTTATTGTTATTTATATAAATTTTAACCATTAAATACTTCACTATGTATGTTTATGTTTCTTTTTACATGTCATCTCTGCTGTCCAAGTGATAATTATAACCCACATATCTGTGATAGTGGCGCCCTCACCTGTATATCTATATATCTTATATGTGTACACCTTTTGTATCTACTGGTGCACAAAGATACTCCTGCTGTATCCCACACAAACACTGGCACGCAATCACCAATGCACACATACTCAATGACATAAACTGGCACAAATACATACACACTACGACCCATACAAATACACTGGCACACATTGATCCATGCAAACACACACAGTGTCTGTGTGTGACAAACCCCTCCTCCCCCCAGCTGCTGAGAAATGAGGACATTATCCTGACAGATTTCAGGTCTGTGACTTCTGCGAGGAGCGCTCGGCTTCCACCACCTGCTTGCTCTCGCTCTCTTTCTCTCTCTCTGTAATTTTTCTTATTTATTTTTTTTAATAATTTTTATATTTTAGATATTTTTTGGAGCCACATGGGGCCCGGGTCCATTACAGGTGTATACCTCTATTCCCCCCTCCACCTCCAATGGTGGCCAAAATAACAAGACCCTCCAGGTTGACCAAATGTTCCTTGCATTAAGTGTGATTTGTATTTCCGTAACTATTTCAAAATGGAATGGTTGTGTTTTAGGATTGACCTATACGGCTTCCCTTTCATTAATTAATGAGACATAGATAATAATCAGCCACCAACATCCAATAACTAAACAAAATGATTATCTATATAGGTGAGAAACATGATTGTTCACAGCTCAAAATGTACACTTGCAAAGTGAGGAAAGTAAATTGCTTTTTATTGTATCTTATGCAACCTTCCCAGTCAATCTCTGTGTCTGAGAAAAATTATCACGCATAGCAAGCCATTCTTTATAAAGAACATTTAAAAATAAACCTGTCAAATCCGTTATATAATCTAAGGGAACATGTTCAGTTTGTATTAAGCTTTCATAGTCAGAATTAGACACAATTTAAAATTTAAAAAAAATATAAAAAAATGTCTTAATCATTTTAATAGCTGCTTAACATTGTCCAACGCAGATAAAACATATGTGGACTACACGTAAGCTCACGTTCAGTGCTAGTCCATGTGGTCTGTGTTCTGGTTGGTTGCTGAAATCACGTGTCGTCATCAGATAGTTTTTATTAAACAATAACCATCACTAAGACCTAAGAAAATAATCAAGCAAGTCCAAGGTGGCCACTTCCACTCAGAAGCACTGACAGGTCTCAATTGTTTATTATAACAGACCTTCTATAACTTTAGCTTCGATTTAACAAGCTTTCCGAATTATTCACTAATGTTAGAAAAACTTTCTAAGTCACTTATCTACAGAAATCACCATTAATGTCTATGGGAATTAGTGTTAATAAATAATTTGGCAGGTTTTTCCAACAGCATTGAATCATTTGGAAATCTTAAAAGTTGATAGTTTAATAAAAAAATAATATTAAGCTGTTGGAAGTAATTTTAAAGTGACTGATGTCGAAAATGTTAACTGACAGATTAATAACAGTTTTACTTCACAGGACCAGTATAGACACCCATGGCCCAGACCACTTCATTTCAATAAAAAGTGGTCCTGTGCATTGAGTCCTGCAATGTAAGACATTCCCATATTGTGGATACAGCAATGTTTACACTGCATGGCTAAGCACGCCTCTAGTAGCCATCTTCCTGACAATCACTAAAAGATGCATTTGCGGCAATAACCAAGTTTAACGTCTTGTACTTTTATCCGGCTCCCGAAGCCGCCGCACCGCTCTCCCGCATTCAGCCGACACAGAATGTTTGTGCACTAAATTCCTGCAGTCAACTCCAAATACTTGCGCGCCACTACTCTTCGGACATTGCTCTGACATCAATGAAGACACGGAACGCTGACGGTCTGCTGTATTTATGCCCTTGATGAAGCCTAATCTTTTCTGGGCAAACATCTATCACTCATTTACACACAATTAGTGTATTATTGTTCCTCAGCCAATGAGTGCCTACCAGAGGCTGATTCAGCCACTTCCTTGCCCTGTCATGGTCTCAGCAGCCCAAGAGTGCATTCTCATGTAGTGTGTTTTCTGGTTTTGACTTGGCTTTGAAATTTAGACTTTTTATCTCTAAAATCCTAGACCCTGGCTCAATGTACTTGTCTATTTTACGCTCTACAATCCTTGAGCTTGGCCTGTTTCTTATTATCCTTGTTTTCTCTCTGGACTATATTCTATTCTCCTTATGTTAAAGTGGCACTAGTGACGGCTGCAGAGAAATTAAGCTCTTTCTCGCGGGATCCTCCATAGACCTCAATGAGAGATGCCAACTCCTGGCAGTTGAAGTGCCAGGAGCAGAAGGAAGAGGATGGAGGCGCCTGCGAGGGACAGGTTCAGCTACATAAAACTCACCTTCACCTACCCACTCTGGCAACCGAATCTCAATGTCAGCGTTAGAATGGGATACCATTGCCTTTTTGTTTGCGCTTTGGAGTAGTACCTTGACATAGGTCATGTGACATTGGATGTCAAAAGTCATCAAAAGCTGATAATAGCTTTGGATTCAATAGCATTAGATTCAATGCTTCCCTATGAGAAGCATTTGATTGGATAAGCGCATGTTTCTTGAACCCAATTCTTCTTTAGGAGAAGTATTGGATTGGATGAGAACATGAAAATGAGACAGCATTCAGAAAGATGTCATCAGAGGCGGAGCAGGCGGCTGCATGGAGTGAGCTACAGCACTAAAAAAAAAAAAAGGGTTGCAGCTGAGGGGCCGGTATCCACATCCACTGTTTGTTACAGTGGTGTCCAACCCGTGGCCCAGGAGCGCTAGCAGTGCGGCCGGGTGGCAAGGGAGCCCATTACAGTCTGTGCTCCTCCTGGACAGCTTCCTCATGCGTCCTGCAGTGAGCCGGCCACCGGGATATGATATCATCCCGTCATCGGCATCACTGCTGGGCGCGCAAGGGACCTCGGCAGGAAGAGCACAGAGGTGCCAGCCCAGCAGCAACCACTGGCCACCAGGGACAGAGAATTCATTCTAGCCCTCCCAGAGCTAGGTAGGGAGGCTGGGTGGACCTCGTTAGTACTAAATGTTTGTGTATGTGATTTATATTGTGTATGGAGTGGGGGTTGTCTGTGATTATGCATTTGTATGTATGTGATTGTGTGTATAGGTGTATGTATGTAAATGTGTGTTTGTATGTATGTAAGCACAGACCTATACAACCACTGGCCACCAGGGTCTGTGAATGTGTGTGTGTATATATATATATATATATATATATCTGACTGTGTGTATAGGTCTGTAATTGTGTGTTTGTGTGTATATTTGTGATTATGTGTATAGGTCAGTGATTGTGTGTGTACATCTGTGATTGTGTGTGTGTATATATGAGACTGTATGCATAGGTCTGTGATTGTGCGTGTGTATAGGTCTGAGATTGTATGTGCATATGTGGGTCTGTGATTGTGTGTGTGTGTATGTCTGTGTGTGCACATACAGGGAGTGCAGAATTATTAGGCAAATGAGTATTTTGACCACATCATCCTCTTTATGCATGTTGTCTTACTCCAAGCTGTATAGGCTCAAAAGCCTACTACCAATTAAGCATATTAGGTGATGTGCATCTCTGTAATGAGAAGGGGTGTGGTCTAATGACATCAACACCCTATATCAGGTGTGCATAATTATTAGGCAACTTCCTTTCCTTTGGCAAAATGGGTCAAAAGAAGGACTTGACAGGCTCAGAAAAGTCAAAAATAGTGAGATATCTTGCAGAGGGATGCAGCACTCTTAAAATTGCAAAGCTTCTGAAGCGTGATCATCGAACAATCAAGCGTTTCATTCAAAATAGTCAACAGGGTCGCAAGAAGCGTGTGGAAAAACCAAGGCGCAAAATAACTGCCCATGAACTGAGAAAAGTCAAGCGTGCAGCTGCCACGATGCCACTTGCCACCAGTTTGGCCATATTTCAGAGCTGCAACATCACTGGAGTGCCCAAAAGCACAAGGTGTGCAATACTCAGAGACATGGCCAAGGTAAGAAAGGCTGAAAGACGACCACCACTGAACAAGACACACAAGCTGAAACGTCAAGACTGGGCCAAGAAATATCTCAAGACTGATTTTTCTAAGGTTTTATGGACTGATGAAATGAGAGTGAGTCTTGATGGGCCAGATGGATGGGCCCGTGGCTGGATTGGTAAAGGGCAGAGAGCTCCAGTCCGACTCAGACGCCAGCAAGGTGGAGGTGGAGTACTGGTTTGGGCTGGTATCATCAAAGATGAGCTTGTGGGGCCTTTTCGGGTTGAGGATGGAGTCAAGCTCAACTCCCAGTCCTACTGCCAGTTCCTGGAAGACACCTTCTTCAAGCAGTGGTACAGGAAGAAGTCTGCATCCTTCAAGAAAACATGATTTTCATGCAGGACAATGCTCCATCACACGCGTCCAAGTACTCCACAGCGTGGCTGGCAAGAAAGGGTATAAAAGAAGAAAATCTAATGACATGGCCTCCTTGTTCACCTGATCTGAACCCCATTGAGAACCTGTGGTCCATCATCAAATGTGAGATTTACAAGGAGGGAAAACAGTACACCTCTCTGAACAGTGTCTGGGAGGCTGTGGTTGCTGCTGCACGCAATGTTGATGGTGAACAGATCAAAACACTGACAGAATCCATGGATGGCAGGTTTTGAGTGTCCTTGCAAAGAAAGGTGGCTATATTGGTCACTGATTTGTTTTTGTTTTGTTTTTGAATGTCAGAAATGTATATTTGTGAATGTTGAGATGTTATATTGGTTTTGTGATGGGATTCCAGCATGGTTAAAATTTAGTAGGCCAAAATCTCCATGTGGCATATGTGTATGTTGTGTCAGTTGGTTAGCTACATGTAGCTAGGATACTGTCATCAGTGTACTGAGCATGTGCAGGAATGCAGGAACTGAAATTGCACTTATTTCCTTTGTCTTGGATGAGCCATGTGGTTTGACTAGATGTACAAGTCTATATTCTGCTCATTGATTGGTCTGAGGAATATAGGAAGGGTTATACTGTATGGGAGGAGATATGCAGTTAACAAAAGTCCCAAGCCACAAGTATATGTCTCTCAGAATGTTGGAACAGGAGTTCATCTGAGACCCGATCGGTAATGTGAATAAAGGCCTGTTACTTCCTGAAGACCTGTGTCCAATATTTCTGTGTTTGGCTTCTGCATGCTTACACTGCAACATTTCTGGTGCAATTGGGCCGGGAACCTCATCGCACGGAAGCTGGCACAGAGATTTGAGACGGTAAACTTTTACCAAACCTTCTACGCTACAATCCTGGACTTCTACTGCGTGGACCTCCTTTCGTCTCGGCGCCACTGGCCTTTTGTCCAGGAGATCATCGGCTTCTGCGCAGTGAGTCCCGGATTGTTCCGTCTATGAGTGAACCCAGGTCCAGTAATTAACAGGTGAGATTGATACCGTTAGAGCGGTAGACCCACAAGGGGTTTTATATTTGGAACCGGTTATTGGAATCTGCCCTGTCCTTATTGATGGAAGAAGTGAAAGCGCAAATCTTATCTGGAAATTAGACGCTCTGTAGTCAGCCCGTCTAATATAGGTGGTTTGGGTCAGACTGAGTTGTGGTGTAAATAGCTCATGTCGGACACCGGTGTCCTGTCTTGACTAGCGTATCTAGGGTGTAAATTTTGTTCGCTAGGTCGGGGGGACCGGGAGACTAGCATACTCTGTTGTATATTATAGTTTGCTAGATTTCACCCTATATTAACTAAGTGTGCTCTGTTGTAAATCCAGCCACTAGCTTATTGATAGTTTAATAGACTAGCTGGGTACTGTGTAAATTCTGCCCTCTAGTTCGCTATACGTGGTGTCTGGGCAGCGAAGAACTTATCGAATCTCTGGTGTATAAATAGATCGAAAGCTCTCGAGGTGCTGGCCAGTTAGAATAGTTGGGATTATTGTAAATGTTGTTAAATATATTGTAGTTGGTGAATTGGTTAACTTGTATGTCCTACTAGAAAGTTAGAGCTCTGCTGTCTAGTGGGAGTGTAAATTGTGTGTATAACTGTAAAATAGCGCACGGTACCATAACTACTGACATGTACCATAACCACTGACATTGTGTAAAAATTACTAACAATTGCTGTTTTATGTTATATGTATAATACCATAACTGTTACTAACTGATCTGTGACTTTAAAACTGTATTATAACCACTTACTAACTGTACCATAACCACTGACTGTAAAGATGAGGTTACTAGAATGTGATATAGTTGGTTAGTCAAGAGTTGATTTATAGTACGGATAATTGTAGAGATGAATTTGTTGAAATGTTATGTGATCGGTTAGTTTATATGGATTAATAGCGTGGATAGTTGTATGGTTTGCATAATAGTTACATTGATAAGTGTATAGTCTTTGGTGGGTTTTTTTTATTTAATTTCGTGTGTGCGACGTCGTGATATTGTTGAGCATGTGAGGATCCTGTGTGTGTGTTTGGGCCTAGTGACTGCGCAATGTGTTGCTGGTGATAAGGAGATTGGTGTGACTGTTGAAACTGTGTGTATATTTGTACAGCTTTTTGAATCAGATGCTCTGTTGAAATAATCTTCTGATTCACAAGGCTTTGTCTTGTATGTTTAAAAAAAAAAAAAAAGGTAGGGAGTAGCTTGTCCTGGTGGCCGCATGGCCTCTATGTAGCAGTCTTCACTTAAATTTAGTGCAGGGTGTACATGTGGCTGTAACTAGTAGGCTGGAATTCTATGATCAGTTTCTATATATTGACTGTTGGAAACTGATTGTTGAAGAATTGCCTTGGTGAATTAAATTGTGTCATATGGGAAACAATGTAGCCATATGGTGGTCAGAACTAAGGACTTAATTACAACTGCTTTGGACATCCCCTCCCCCCTGGCATCTGATTACCAACCCCCCAAACATCCTCCAGAGCCAGAGTAGCCACGCCCATTTCTTACTCCCAAAACTGGTATATAGTCAGTATTTGCACTCCCCCTGCTCTACTGTCCCCGCCTACCCACATACCTATCTGTTCCTGTGTTTCAAACTCTTGTATTTCTGTACTACCCCTCCCCCTAATCAGTGATCAATGGTATCAGATGGTATATTGGTTTTTTTTAGTTACTGGATGGGCCCCTCCCAGCTTTGTCCAAAATGTCCCCTTTTTACTAAACTACAAACTGAAATGTTTAATTTACCTTAGAACTAAAGATTTAATCAAGCCTAGCTAGCAGGGTGGACATTGATTAAAATAAGTAATAATAAAATAGGACATAATTAATTAAAGTCTATTTGTTTCATTTGACTTTAGGGAGGCACTCTAAGCCACCTACTGGCCATCTTTGGGAGTTACATTGATAATACATTGTTTATAACAGATAGATGTAGGATTGCTTACCCTATTTTAATATATTTATTGCTATAAGGTTTTATTTTATGTATAAATATATTAAAAGTTGAGTTTTCTTATTAGACCCATAAAGATTATTTTGATACAATTACCCTCTGGTGACACCTACTGGTAGGTTTTTGGTTTAACACTTTAAAAAAAAAACAACGTTTTTTTATCCACCAAATGCTGACTAATAAAATTAGCTCACCCCCTTACACTTATCTTACTACTCCTAGACTGGAACCTATTATTGGGCAGCCTTGCCGAAGTCCCATATTAGACACTGCTTGAGTCAAATAGGTTGTATACTCCCTTTAATCCAGAGGCCCCTGAAAACTTCGAATGATAGACTCAGCATTTGTCAGCCAGGCCCAAGGTGATAGTAAAAGGAAATTACAGAAATTAGAGGGATTTGTAGGGATGTCCATAATACAGCTAATGGAGATTGCAAATACAGTATATATGAATAGGGAGATGGAGGAAGAACGTAAAATGAGGAAAAAGGCAGATATGCTAGCGGTAGCTATCTTAAGTGTAGAAAGACAGGGAAGTGAATAGAGGAGACGAGAATAGGCTGAGCAAGGGACTTTAAGTAGGAATTAATGTGCGTATTGTAGAAAGGAGGGACATTGGAAGAGTGAGTGTCCACAGAGAGAGTAGTATGAAGGTGATAGACAGGAGAGAGAAGGGTACGAGGAGGTTATAGTGGTAGTTATAGAGGAAGAGGAAGTTTTAGAGGGAATGATGGGAATAGTAGAGGAAGTGTTCAAGGAGACAGATACTATCCACCCACGCAGAGACCTAGAGAAAGAGAGGATAGAGATTTTGTGGGTCTGGCTGACACTATCATGGAAGACTATTGATACCGACTGGGCTCCATCCCACTTGGTCGAGCGGAGCCTATGGTCGATGTAGCAATAGGGGGAAAGAGAAGTTCTTTCATGATCGACACAGGTGCTGAACATTCTGTGGTGACTAAGATGGTGGCTCCGCCTTCGGGGAAGACTATAACTGTGATAGGAGCTACTGGGAGAAGTGCAGCTAGACCGGTTCTTAAGAGTCGCACTTGTATTCTGGGAGGCCATGTGGTGAAGCATTAGTTCCTATATATGCCAGAGTGTCCGATTCAACTTTTAGGACGAGATCTATTATCGAAGCTTTAAGCTCAGATAACCTTTTACCTAATGGATTAACATCTCTGAAGTTTAAGGGATTACCAGGCATAATGGTGATATCGGTGCCAAGGGAAGAAGAATGACGCTTCTATTCCATAGTGACAAGTGTTAACCCTAAGAGTGATGAATCCTTATTTGACATTCCAGGAGTATGGGAAGAAAATAATCCTCCAGGACTTGCTCGTAATATCCCACCAATACATATTGAGTTAAAGCTCGGGGTGTATCCTGTTAGCCTTTGTATGTTGTTCTTTTATCTACCCCAACAGCTGTAAAGGTGGCGGAAGTGACTCCTTGGATTCATCATTCTAAAGTTAAACCAGCAGCAGACTCTTGGCAAGCTACTCCAGATCCTGAGAATCCTTGCAGGACCCGGTTGAAGCGTGCAACTCAGTCGGAGTGACGAGGGGATATCGAGACATTCTAGTTAAAAGTCTACAAAGATCATCAAGTAGGTGTTTTGACGGCCATAATAAAGCCTGACCACCTGCCTACGTGTCATAGCCAGAGTATCTTGAAGGGATCTCTGTGAAGGAAAGTGAGGATCAGAAGAACAACATCCTTGCAGCCCTCACAATCGGGAAGCTGAGAGGCCATCGCACGGTCGAAGAAAAATGAGGATTTCAGGAATAATGTGTTTTATTGTGTCTTAGTATTTTTATGATTTTTCAGGAAGGTAGGAGTACAGACATACCGAATTGCGATAGTTGCATTAAGACTACTAAAATAGGTAACCAAATATCCCAAACTCTCATCTGGCACTCACAGTATGAATGTAAGGGATCTGTATCTAAATGTAGATATTTGGATATTGATTATAGTGTGTGCAAGCCAATATCAGGAGAGTCTAAATGTTTTGATCCCCATTTCCAACCCCGTACAATTTGGTTGGTAATTCGGAATAGTAACTCCCAGGGGACATTAATAAATAGGACTGTGATAAGCACCATACATTCCACGGGTATTCTACTATTTGATGCATGTAAGGCGATTTCGGGTAGTGGAAGACTTTGGAATGTATGTGGTAATCTTAAATGGGAACGAACTTATGGGTTTAATGATAAATACTTATGTCCCAGTAAAAGATCTACTGATCCTGATTGCCCAAATAGAGACTAACTTCTGCCCCTATTGGTCATGTGTAGGTTGGGCAACCTGGGAAAAACAGTGGATCAAGATATGATTATCCAAAGGTTGCCTACCACACCATACTGTAAAACTATGTGTGCAACCCCGTTCACATGACCATTTCCAATCTGCAGTACTTTATTGACAGGTTTGGAGGTCTGTTTGGGTTCCAAATATATGGCACAGGAGTAGATTCAGGAACAATAATATATGTAGGTCTTGAAACTGAGACAGTGGCAACTCAAACTCATCAGGTTTCTCATTCCTTCTATGAGGAGATGAGTATTGAGGATAAAATTCCCCATAATGTTAACAACCTATTTATTGATTTGGCTGAGGGTATTGCAGGTAGTCTTAATGTAACTAATTGCTATGTGTGTGGAGGTACTAATATGGGAGACCAGTGGCCATGGGAGGCAAAGGAAATATGGTACCCTGGCTCTGAGACATATGAACAACAGATACCTTTCCAGTCTGATCATCAAGTAAGTACTAGAAGTAAATTGGAATGGTGGTTAAAAACCTCCATTATAGGTCATGTTTGTATAGCCAGGAAAGGGACAATGTATAACACGTCTGTAGGTGAGCTAACTTGCTTGGGACAAAAAGCCTATAATGTTAATACTAAAAATACTACTTGGTGGTCAGCTTCAAATGTCTCGGAACCTACTAATCCGTTTGCCAATTACACTCATTTAAGGGAGGTATGGTTTGACTTATCGGCTACATCTAGTTGGAAAGCCCCAGCAAATTTATACTGGATTTGTGGTAAGAAAACTTATTCGGAGTTACCACAAGATTGGGAAGGGGCATGTGTATTAGGTATGCCAAAGCCATCCTTCTTCTTGTTGCCAATCGAAACAGGAGAGACCTTGGGAGTTAAGGTTTACGATGTAAATCATAAAAGGGAGAGAGCATCCTTGAATATAGGTAGCTGGGAAGATAATGAGTGGCCCCCTCAATGTATTATTAATTATTATGGACCTGCTACTTGGGCAGAAGATGGCACTTATGGATATAGAACTCCGATTATCTATGCTCAACCGCATTATTAGACTACAGGCGGTAGTTGAGATTATTACTAATGAGACAGCTCAAGTGCTTAATCTTCTAGCTAAGCAAAATACCAAGATGTGATCAGCCATATACCAGAATAGGCTAGCCCTTGATTACTTACTAGCAGTAGAAGGAGGTGTATGCGGAAAGTTTAATCTAAGTAACTGTTGTCTGCACATAGATGATGAAGGGCAGGCAGTGGCTGAACTTACAAGCCACATGGTTAAATTTGAGCATGTACCTACTCAGGTCTGGAATGGGTATAACCTAAGTATTTGGTTTGGAAGTTGGTATGAGCAGCTTGGAGGAATTAAGACATTAGTAGGAGGAGTAGAATTTATTATATTTTTTTGTGCCTCCTCCTGCCCTGTCTAATTCCACTAGTGGTAAGGTCCCTACATAGTATTATAGAGAGTACTATAGAGAGAAAGACAGCGGCTCATGTAATGGCTGTCTGGAAGATATGATCCCCTAGCCCGAAGAGAATATATTCAGGATGAAGAATGTTGAAGGAGTTTTTAAGATGCTTACAAGGTCTACTCTGGTTCAATGGCTACTTGAGAGATGTAGGTAAAACTGTGATTGGTGATGCATCTGGAATAATGTTTTATCAGAGGCATCAAAAGGGGGGAATGTGATGGGATTCCAGCATGGTTAAAATTTAGTAGGCCAAAATCTCCATGTGGCATATGTGTATGTTGTGTCAGTTGGTTAGCTACATGTAGCTAGGATACTGTCATCAGTGTACTGAGCATGTGCAGGAATGCAGGAACTGAAATTGCACTTATTTCCTTTGTCTTGGATGAGCCATGTGGTTTGACTAGATGTACAAGTCTATATTCTGCTCATTGATTGGTCTGAGGAATATAGGAGGGGTTATACTGTATGGGAGGAGATATGCAGTTAACAAAAGTCCCAAGCCACAAGTATATGTCTCTCAGAATGTTGGAACAGGAGTTCATCTGAGACCCGATCGGTAATGTGAATAAAGGCCTGTTACTTCCTGAAGACCTGTGTCCAATATTTCTGTGTTTGGCTTCTGCATGCTTACACTGCAACAGTTTCACTGGTAATAATAAATAATTGAAATGGGTATATATTTGTTTTTTGTTAAGTTGCCTAATAATTATGCACAGTAATAGTCACCTGCACACACAGATATCCCCTAACATAGCTATAACTAAAAACAAACTAAAAACTACTTCCAAAAATATTCAGCTTTGATATTAATGAGTTTTTTGGGTTCATTGAGAACATGGTTGTTGTTCAATAATAAAATTAATCCTCAAAAATACAACGTGCCTAATAATTCTGCACTCCCTGTATATGATTATGTGTGTGTATGTATGTGCCTGTGACTATTGGTCTCTAATTGTGTGTGTGTGTATATTTGTGATTGTGTGTATAGATCTGTGATTGTATATGTATGTGTGTGGTTATGTGTGCATATGTAAATAACTGTGTATGTGTTTAGTAGATAGCTCCCTAAGTTGATATCCTTAAGTATGGCAATCCCACAAGGATAACAAATAAGGGCGTTATCTACTAAACAAATTTAATAAAAAAGGGCTTTTGAAGTTTTATTATATAAATTAATTATATTATAGATTTTACATGTGGCCCAAGACAATTCCTCTGCACTCAATGCGGCCCAGGGAAGCCAAAAGGTTGGACAGCCATGGTTTACTGAGTAATCCTCCTGAATTCACCCGGCAACAGTACATTTTAGGCCATTACTGCAAACTATTTGGGGGAAAAAAGCTGATAGAATTTTTTTATTTCGCTAAATTTGGCCAAATTGAAATTCTCTGAGGGATACATGACATTTCATACCTTTATTTAATTTACTAAACACTGAATTGAGGTGAATTTACATAAGTTATGATATATTAGCCAAGAGGTGGATTATTCCACTGTTCGTATTATTGCCTGATGGCTAGAATGGCAATTTTGCCAGTTTGTGAGTTTTATTATTGCAGGGTGAGGGTTCAAGTATTTTATTTCTCATTGTTTATTATTATTATTACACACAATTCTAAATGTAGAACACTGAGCAAGAACCAAACACAGGAAAATACCAGCGAGACGCAGAGCAGGAGATAGACAGGCCCCACAGGAGGGGCGCTCTATGTGCACCGACGTCACTTCCGGTCGGCGCCAGATTGAAAGTAATGGACTCGGAAGGAGGACTGGCTGAGTGTAATGGGGAGCCCGAGGCGGAGGGGGACTCGGCGTCCGCGGGGGAAGAAGCTCCCGCTGTGTTTCTGTGTGACAAATGCAAAAGTCCCCTGGGGGACACATTTGCGTGGAATGGCAGTGACAGTGAGGAGCGCAGTATAATGCTGAGAGGTATAAACACTGAGCCCCATCCATTACAGCCAGGGGGATACAGGGACATAGATATATATATACACACACACACACACCACACCACACCACACCACACCCCCCCCCCCCCAGGGGGATACAGGGACATAGAGATATATAGACACACAGCCAGGGAGGATACAGGGACATACATATATACACACACATATATATATATATATACACACACACACACACCCAGGGATAGACAGATGAGACAGCCAGGGATACACATACACACACACACACACACACACACCTAGGGATAGACAGACAGACAGCCAGGGATACACACACACACACACACACACACACACCCAGGGATAGATGACAGAGACAGCCAGGGGCAAGACAGACAGAGAGACAGCCAGGGATACACACACACCCAGGGGAGGACAGACAGAGACAGCCAGGGGTGACAGACAGAGACAGCCAGGGATACACACACACACACACACACACCCAGGATGTGACAGACAGAGACAGCCAGGGATACACACACACAATCTAGGGGATAGACAGACAGAGACAGCCAGGGATACACACACACACACACCCAGGGGATAGGACAGACGAGACAGCCAGGGATACACACACACACACCCAGGGGGATAGACAGACAGAGACAGCCAGGGGGGCAGACAGAGACAGCCAGGGATACACACACACACCCAGGGGGATAGACAGACAGAGACAGCCAGGGGGGCAGACAGACAGAGACAGCCAGGGACACACACACACACACACACACACACCCAGGGGGATAGACAGACAGAGACACCCAGGGGGATAGACAGACAGAGACACCCAGGGGGATAGACAGACAGAGACAGCCAGGGGGGCAGACAGACAGAGACAGCCAGGGATACACACACACACACACACACACACACACGAGGATACACACACACACACACACAGCCAGGAGGATACACACACACACAGCCAGGAGGATACACACACACACAGCCAGGAGGATACACACACACACAGCCAGGAGGATACAGGGACACACAGCCAGGAGGATACAGGGACACACAGCCAGGAGGATACAGGGACACACACAGAGAGAGCCAGGAGGATACAGGGACACACACAGAGAGAGCCAGGAGGATACAGGGACACACACACAGAGAGCCAGGAGGATACAGGGACACACACAGAGAGAGCCAGGAGGATACAGGGACACACACACAGAGAGCCAGGAGGATACAGGGACACACACACAGAGAGCCAGGAGGATACAGGGACACACACACAGAGAGCCAGGAGGATACAGGGACACACACACAGAGAGCCAGGAGGATACAGGGACACACACACAGAGAGCCAGGAGGATACAGGGACATACACACAGAGAACCAGGAGGATGGACACACACAGAGAGCCAGGGTTATATAGGATACACAGCCAGGAGGATAGACACACATCAGGCAGGGGCACAGCCAGGCAGGGGCACAGCCAGGGACACGGTACGCACAGCCAGGGACACGGTGTCAGGGCTTACCTGGGTTGGGAGTCCGGCAGGCAGAGCTGTATGCTCACCCTTGCAAGTAAAAACAGGCCAAGGTGGTCAGCTAAGAATTCACCTGGCCTGTGAGTCAGTGCACGGGGGCTGTGCAGGATAATTCTCCAAGTTGCAGTACAGGAACGGATAAAGCAGGAGAATCGTCGTGGGTAAGCCAGAGGGTGCCAGAAATCAGGATTAACGAGAAGAAAGCCAAGGTCAGAGGATGCCAGAAGTCAGGGTACGGTACCAGAGTCAAGGAACTGACACTGCCTTCTGGGAGAGGCAGTGTTTTATACCTGGCTAATGAGGCCATCAGCTGCAGGTGTGCTGAGAATGTTAGATACAGGATACACAGCCAGGTATACACAGCCCGGGCCGCAGGGTACACAGACCAGGATACAGGCAGGGACACAGGATACATCAGGCAGATACACCAGGCAGGGACACAGAGTGCACAGGAATAGCTACAGAATACAGAGGCAGGGCTACATCAGGTATGGCTTCAGGGTGCACAGGCAGGGCTACATCGGGTATGGTTTCAGGGTACACAGGCAGGGCTACATTGGATATGACTTCAGGATACACAGGCAGGGCTACATTAGGCAGGGCTACAGGGTAGACCAGGAATGGCTAGAGAAAACGCAGGGTTACATCAGGTATGGCTTCAGGGTGCACAGGCATGGCTACATGGTACATAAGCAGGGCTATAGTATACAGACAGGGCTACATCGGATATGACTTCAGGATACACAAGCAGGGCTACAGTACAGCCCATAAATAGCTACAGGATACACAGGCATGGCTACAATATACAGGCATGGTTACAGTATACACAAGGAATGGCTACAGTATACAGGCACAGTTAATGTGTAGACCAGGGGTGGCTACGGTATACAGACAGGGCTACAGTTCAGCCCTAGCTTTGACACTTGTTATTAACCACTTAGTGTGTTCCCAGAGCCACTCCTACCTAATTATCCCTGGGTCTGTAATCCTGCACATATTCTGTACATATTCCTAAAAAAATTGCGTAATGGAAATATAGAGCTGGTTGTGATGTGTTTGCATTTCAATACAAAATTTCAAGTTACTGTTGTGGATATCTCAATGTGGACTTTGGAATGTCCTCATTGGGCACATAAACTCAAGTAATCATGTTTCCACAACTTGACATGGAAATTAGGCACAAAAAAAGCCATACAACATATATACAAGTTTTTGGTAATAAAGGAGTAAAGTATATAACATTTAAATTGTGAAAGCAAACGATAGCCACTTGGTACCCAACAGTACTTCCAATGGCACCCTCATTTTATTTGCAGGCGTTGCATCAATTAAAACACAGCACACTTTTTTAATGCATCTCCCTTGTAATTTTTTTTAAACTCATCAGTAACATCGGTATCCTCTAAAATACTTTCTCTAATATTCCTCATGTCTATATTTCTCTTTTTATTTAGTTTTTAAAATAACCTCTGTTTCAACCTCTTAAAGGACCACTCTAGGCACCCAGACCACTTCAGCTTAATGAAGTGGTCTGGGTGCCAGATCCAGCTAGGGTTACCCCATTTTTTCATAAACATAGCAGTTTCAGGGAAACTGCTATGTTTATGAATGGGTTAAGCCTTCCCCTATTTCCTCTAGCGGCTGTCTCATTGACAGCCGCTAGAGGCACTGAAAATCACAGTGAGAGCACGCCAGCGTCCATAGGAAAGCATTATGAATGCTTTCCTATGTGACCGGCTGAATGCGCGCGCAGCCAGCCGACGGGGAGGAGAGGAGGAGGATCGGAGGAGGAGAGCTCTCCACCCAGCGCTGGAAAAGGTAAGTTTACCCCTTTCCCCCTTCCAGAGCCGGGCGGGAGGGGGACCCCGAGGGTGGGGGCACGAGTATGTTTTCCTGGCAGGGGTGTAGGGGTGCACAACCTTCATCTATATATATATATGCCAAATCACTGACTGACTGAAATTCTTACAAGGGGGTCACAGCCACATGATGCCAGTGAGATTGTTGTCCTTCAAGTACACTGATTCTACACTTAAATACACATTTATATTCACACACTGGCAACCACGTAAATTAATTCCTGCATTCACACATACTCTGACCTTACACCTATACACTCACTTCTGTTTTCATGTGCACAAGTATTCCACAAACATACTCTTGCATTCACTAGACAAATACACCCTACTTTTACAAACATAAACTGACTAATCTACATTTCCCTCATTTCACACTACAGAAACTAAATAATTAATTCACTAAACAGTAAATCATGCTTATAGTCACAAGAACTACCACCACTTAATATAGTTCTTGTGTCTATAGCCTGTACCTGCTGTCTCTTTAATGTTTTCATTACTGCTTTGGAACACCTCTAGTTGCAGTCTCTCAGGTGCCTACTAGAGATGGTTCCTGGGTCAGAGATGGACAGTGTGCAGCACTGATGTTCAGCGTCTCCCTATAGAGATGCATTGGTTTTAAAAGGTTCTTACAGGAGGAACGCAACTAGTGGATGTCAAACTTGACAAATCTAAACCAATCCAATGCCTTCCCATAGGAAGTTGCACATGTTCAGCAAAACACACTGCGCCAATCCGCATCTCCTCATAGAAATGCATTAAATCAGTGCATCTCTGTGGGCAGCGTTCACTGTTTCCATGCAGAGCTTGAAGATGCTAAATGTCACTGCTGCACATTGTACAGCACTGACCCAGGAAGCACCTCTAGTGGCCCTCAGAGTGATGCTCTGAAAAGGCAGTGTTTACAGTTTTAAAAAGCCTGGAAGGCAGGCAGTAGACACCAAAACAACTACATTAAGCTGCAGTTGTTCTGGTGACTATAGTGTCCCTTTTATTGAGATGAAGTCTGGGTTCCTTTTAGTGGTTTGTTTAAGAAAACACTGCTGTCTGTTCTGCTCAGCACTACTCCCTGTTTAGTGCATAGCCCCCATAACTTCTATAACACAGTGTAGCTTAGAGAGACACTAGTAATTCCTATCTTCTTAATTCCTAAGAGACCCATGCTCATCTCACTTAATGACAATATTGTTTTATTTATGAGCAAATAAAGGATAACTTCTGTCATAAAATAACTACTACTTTTACTATACTATAATGCAACCTAGACCTGCTAGTGTCAGCCAGGCAGCAAAATCCAGAGGGTATTTTATGCAATACCTGGTCCATTGCTGGCCTGTGTCATTGTTCTGGTGCTTGTGGGATGAAGTTGTTCTGGCCCTCTGTTCTCCTGATGATTTGGGTGGACTGGCTATCCTGGTTTTAGAGAGACTCACTGCCACTAATTCTTCTGGGCAGCAACAGCTAGGTCTGTTTTGGAAGCAGAGACCATGCTGAGATATTTCTCCGACGTTACTGCCATTGTTGTAGTTTGCACTATATGACCACAAAATAATGTTTGCTGATTATAAAGAGTTTCTACATTAGAGTTTTCATATCATGGATTGTGTTTAAAGGGATCCTATAGTGCCAGTAAAACAAAGCCGTTTTCCTGGCACTATAGGGTTAATAGGTTCCCCTCTCTCCCCCCCTCCCACCAGTGGAGATCTAATGCACATGTGCGTCAATTGCCGTGTGCGCATTTGACCTCCCCATAGGAAAGCGTTATTCAATGCTTTTTGTATTTATAACGTCATTCTAAATGTATTTTGATTTAAATATATATGTATATTGATATCAAAATACAGTTATAACACATTTAAACCAGTATCTAATTCTTTTAAAATGTAATTTTATTTATTCATTTTTTCAATTATTTATATATTCATTATTTATATATATATTTTTTAATATTAAAATACACTTAGAATAATGGATTGTGTATGTGCATATAAAAAGTACTTAGATCATATCTATATGATCTAAGTACTTTTAACTTTATTAAACTTTAAAAAAAACTTTTATTTACTTTCTAAACTTTTGTGCAGGCATGAGGGGGGAAAGCCTGAGAGCTCATGCACTCCCTCTGCAGGCACTCACAAGCCGGCTATTCCGGCCATGTGATCGCGAGGACCAGAGGTTTAAAAAAAAAAAAAAAAAAGTTTGTGAATGTAAAATATTGTCGTGGTCAATAAATGAATTTACAATTTAAGCCAAGCAATGTAGCAATTTTAACAGCAATTGCATTACTTTCTAGCTGTTTCTACGTATGTGACTGTGGAAAAAAAACGCATGCTCTCAAGACATGCACAGGAGTATGGCTGGTGAGTAAACCAATTTACAGAGTTTTTTTATTTTTTTTTTAAAGTAAATAGAAAATCATTTTTGTGTTCTTTTTAAGTTACTGACATAGAGATTCTGGGCGACAGGGCTTGATAGATTTGTTTGGAATCTAGGAGCCAGCTAAAATAGTTAGGAGCCAGTCATTTTCAATGAGAAAAATGCAGTTCTTAAAGGGACACTATAGTTGTCAAAACCACTACAGCTTGAGGTAGTTGTTCTTGTGTCTATAGCCTGCAGGCTTTTCAGTGTAAATACTGCCTGTTCAGCGAAAACATTGCTGCTTAGTAACACCTTTAGGGACAGTCATTCCGAGTGATGTCATATTCCGGCTCCCGGCATCATTAAACAGCACAAGGGAGCAGAGAGAGGCTGCTGGAAGAATACTGCTCCCTCGCGCACCGCCTACAATGCCCTCCAAGCTGCCTCGGGCGGCCGCCAGCCTCCTTGCTGCCTCCGAGGGCCGCTTGTTTCCAGGTTGCTCCAATATTCCCCACTGCAGCGGCCACCTTCAAAGCTCTCTATCTAAAGAGTTGGCAAATCCCAGTCGACAGGGCGAAATTTCTAGCCTGGGATTTGTCGAGCCCTGCGGTACGATGTGTAAGTTTTATATTTTCTTAGTTTGATAGCGCGATACCTATTAACTTAATCTGCCTGCCATGGTCTGATGCAGCTTGGTAAGTTCCTGTTTTCGAAATAGTTTGTCAATTCTTTGGCTGAGAGCAGTCAGCTCTCCGGTAACTGAGCCAGGGTATTCCTAGCATTATTAGTGGTTATGACTTGTTAAATGTTGTGCTTATGCATTTTTCAGAAAGTACTCAGGCTATTAGTCACAAACTTTCTCCTGTTTTTTAAAAGGGGAGGATAAATAACCCTTTTTTTTTTTTTTTTGGCACATCGTTCAAATTATCTGTATTATGTAAATAAATGCATGATTTACTTATGCAGGAATCATCTTTGCTCTTTATTATCTAAATGGTTATCTTAACATATATTTTTTTTTTGGTCCCCAATATAGCGTATTTGAAAATTTGATATGCAGTGGTTGTAAGACAGAAATTGGGAAAATTTACAGATGCACCCCAAAGCACCTAGATTACAAAAGGGATATTTTTTGCCTTCATGTTGATGCTGTTGACAGGTAAGCAGGAGGGCAGGTCTGTGGTTGTGAAGCTAACAATTTAGGCATGGATAATTTCTACTGAGCTATATATTGGGATCCATATTGTGGTAGCTTTGGGAAATATCACATGTACAGTGAGGGGAAAAAAGTTTGATCCCCTGCTGATTTTTTTGACGTGCGTTTTTTTGTTTTTGTTTTTTTTGGGGGGGTTATTCTGTCTCTCACTGTTAAAATACACCTACCATTAAAATTATAGACTGATCATTTCTTTGTCAGTGGGTAAACATTCAACATCAGCAGGGAATCAAATACTTTTTTCCCTCACAGTACTTAGAGGTATCCCATCTTCCCATCCTATCCCATGTACACCAACACACACTGTTAACTAGTAACGCATATGCATAACCAGACACATTTGGACATTTCTTACAAACTTGCATGTATACACACACACTTTCAAATATATTATCTTTCCTCTCTATGCTTTTTAGTTATGTCTTAGGGTCTTCGTGTGTGCAAGTCTTTTCTGATACTGAAGAACCTGTGACATTTGAAAGCCGAATGGCACTGGAGGAAGAATTTGTTAAGGTAATGAAAAATGAATAAATGTTCTATTGTGGGAACTCCTGGGTCCTGGTTTAGACTGTGGGTATATAGATATCCACTTTACCAAATAAAAAAAAAAAAAAGTGCTCACCCATACTTTAAAAACTATGCTTTTATGGTCCTCGAAATCTGGATCCTAGAGCAGCGTTTCACTATGAACATGCAGAACCCTTCTGCTGCCAGAGTTGTACCTTTACCTCCAGCAGCATCATTGGGGTGCAGTCATCTGGAGCAAAATTTCTGTACTGACTAACGTTAGTTCGGAGCATGTTTGGCCTCTGTCAGCGTACACAGCACGCAGGCGAGAGACAGACATGGCAGCACTGCTCCTCACAGCCTGCTCTCGCTGACATTTTTCCCCCTCAAGCAAGGATGAGTGATGTCAGAAGGATTGGGCTGTTAGAATAACTCTTTTATTTGTTTTTGTAACACTTTAATGACCTATTGTGATGTTCATGCCTTATGCTTAAAATACTGTACACTACTTTTTTTTAGATTTGTATTTTATATTTTTAGCAAATATTCCAGTTTGAATTGCTTAACATTTGCATGAACATTGTTATTTAAATAGCTAATCTATTCTCAAAATCACAAGACTCTGAAACTCTCTATACAACTGGCAAAAACCTACATAAGAGGTACTCAATGAACCCTAACCAGCACAGTTTTGAATTGGTGTGAGGAATCCCCTGGTGCTGTCCCATGGTTGGTAGTAAAATATATATGTATGTGTGTGCTGGCGCTGTATCAACTGCATCATATCCTCTCCAGCAGAAAAATGCCAGCTTGCTCGATAGAACAATGCAGGACTGCTCTTACTGGCTGAGTGAGTTCCTGCATTGTCAGCGTTGCTCCAGAGAGACGTACAGCTCCCTCTGCTGGATAACACTGGATGCGCTCAGGTGCTGGCACTGCATATACTACAGTGGGCTGTAGTTGTTATAGTTCTTGGAGTGTTCATTTAAACCATCTAATATTGTAAAGCGCTACGTAATCTGTTGGCGCTATATAAATGGCAATAATAATAATCTGTTCCTAAGGTTCTATGAGTACATTATGATTTCCCTGTGTTTTGACTTTTTTGGCAGTACTCCAATAAAATATGCTTGTTATTCTGAAAGAGAATGGTTACCCGGTCTGTATTTGTCTGCATTGCTAAAATAAGCGCCATAAATAAACCTAGGACAAACATGCCTATGGATGATGCTTATTTCTCACTACTGTTTGTGCAAAAAAGCTTCATTACCAAACCAGAGATGTCTTTTAAGATGTCTAGAGGTTTGTTTAAAGGCCATGTTATGTAAGCATGTAAATAATGCATTCCAATCTACAGACTAGTTTCATTTTTAAACTGTATGCCAAAACACCATCCTTTCTATCTTATTTTACAGGCCAATACAGTCCTCACAATACTAAAAGCCAAAGTGGCAGCCATTGAAAAGAGAATTTTACATGACAAAGGCTAAATGGACCATTGGTTAAGCAGACAGCCATTTTCCTGAAAACACTGAGTATCCATGCTGGGGGGGGGGGGGAGTGGTGAAGGAGCTGTGATTTCCTCCTACCCCATTTTTTTTATTGGATTTTTTTTTACGTGTAATTATGAAAGAACAGATGTAAAGAACATGCGATACTTCCTGGGCCACATCTTTTGACTTTACCCGTGTTTAGCATTTGCATAATTATAAATCTGCTCTTTAAATGTGTTGTGCCTCAGCTGCGATCAATACTGGGAGCACACTACTATCTGATGGTTTCCTGCTTTTCATGAACAGGGAGGGTTGGTTAAAATGTGTTCTAGTTTCCTTTTGGTCCGAGATCAATTTGGCTGGGAAAAGCCAAAGACAGCTGCCTCTGAGTCCCTACAATCCTTCTGGTGTATTGAATAGTAACCAACTCATGAATAAGTGATTGCTTCCAGAATCTTCATGAAAAGCACATACATCTGTGCCTTCGAAGCATGATTTAAGGTTTACAGTCTTCTAGATTCTGCATGAAATTAATATCATTGTAATGAAGAAATGTGTTCACTTCTGTGAATTTGTTTTTGGCAAACATTATATTTCATCTTGTCACGACACCAGTGTAATTTTTACATTTTCAATGTTATACTTTTAAATTTTATCGTGTAACTGTAAAAGCTCTCCAGCAAAAGGAGCACAATAGGCACCATAACCACTGTAGTGGTTATTGTGTAAGTAGTGTGGCAGGGTTATTTTACCAAAGTGAATTCTCACTTTAATAAATAATCCTGTTACCTTGTTTGCGTTTCTTCTCCCGGACCCCTATCAAACTGCCACAACCAGCATTTTACAAAAATGGGGGAATAACCACTGCAGTAATCTGTAGTGGTTATGGTATTGCGGTGACATATTTAAAGGGGAACTGTCACTTATTATGTTGTTATTTAACAAATATGTATTAATGAGGTATGAGAACTCACATGACTTTATCCTGCAAGCGAGTAAACACATCTTAGCTCCCTGACAATTGTAAAACCACCTGTCCTTTGTATCTTCCATAAGTTCAAAGTGATTTTCAGTGTTTTATTCAATTGTGTAATTTGCAGGAAAGTCACAGTTTATCTTTAATGATTAATGAAACAGACCATTCAAACCACATGGAGATGCATATTAAATCTTGTGGCAAAGTGACTTACCTGGGTTAATATGCTTGCTCAGATTTGACAAGTTTTGGCCCAAAAACTTGAATGCCACCCAGTTCTACTCTCAGCATCCTATTCAAAATGTAGTGGGACCCCATGACCATAAACATCATGCTTGGTTACTGCCTCTGCACATTGTCAATAGATCTTGTATATAGTTAAATATATTTTTTTTGTATTGACTGAATAAAAGTTCATTTCTACTTGACCCAAGTAACTTGTTGTAGTTCTTCCTGGTCAGTTTTTTTTTTTCCCAACAAGCCCTATCCTCGAATCTTGTGGTGTCTATTCACAAGGAATAAATGTATATTATGCTCAGACATACAGTCAAGGTGTGAGTGGCAAGTATTTCAGTGAAAAGAATATATAAACAGGAATTCAAACAGAAAACGTGCTGTGCTACTAAAATCTCTTAATCACAAAGTATACATAAATGTGTTGACTCTGCATCAAAATTAGACAAATATTTCAGATGCATCTGCAACATAAAATACCAAATATAGTACAGATGCATTTTATAATAAAGGCACCCCAAAATGTTAGTGACTCCCATAGGATATCACTCATATATTGCAAAGCGCTACAGAATCTGTTGGCAATCTTAATAATAATATGATCCAGAGTCTGAAATACCAGCTCTGGGTATGCTGGTATAATGGGAGAGGGAAAGTACCTCACTTATCTGGGAAAATATCCACCGATGTTTTTAGGAGTTATATGTAAAGAGAATGGTGAAGACAAAACACTTAGTGCAATATTTCTAAAATTATTTATTTGTATCACATATAGACTCTTAAATTAAAACGTGCATTCTATTGTCGGAGAAACTCACAGGCAGCGCGAATATACAGGAAATATCATGCGTTTGGCTCTACCGTCTTGTTCTTCTCATAAGCCGCACACTGTTGTTTGTCTAGTGACATGTTTCGCCCAGGATCATATGGACTTCCTCAGACACCATACCGGTTCATCCTTTCTCTTTATTTAATGCTGCGGAGTACCCATTCCTTCCCCTCGTTGGTCCTTTTCTCTTTTTTTGTAATTGAACAATCGGTACTCCATAAATATTGATACAATGTTCATAAACTATATATATATATATTTATATTTCATAGGATATTATACCAGTCCAGGAATATATAATTTATATAGAGTAATGGGAAAGAGATCGGGACAGAACAACAATCACCTGTTTTCATGTAGATGCAGTTTCAGCTATTACATCATGTCATGATTTATTTTAAAAAATCAAGCCAAAATGGAGAATCAGTGTGTGAAAAAGTAAGTACACCTTTACTGCTTTCACTGATTCCAATTAAGAGGCTCAGTTTGCTGGTCTGGAGCATTCAGGTGTGTTAACACAATGTTAAGATGGAAAGACATCAGCAATGTTCTTAGAGAAGCAATTGTTGCTGCCCATCAAATTGGAAAGGGTTATAAGGCCATTTCCAAACAATTTAAAGTGCATAAAGTTCTACGGTGAAAAAGATTATTTAAAAGTGGAAAACATTCAAGACAGTTGGCAATTTCCCAGAAGTGAACGTCTCCGCAAATTCACCCCAAGATGAAACTGCAAAAAGCCCAGTTACATCTCAAACTATACAGGCCTCAGCTTGCATGTTAAATGTTAGTGACAGTTCAATTTGAAAAAGACCTGGACAAGTATGGTTTGTTTAGAAGGGTTGCCAGGAGAAAGTCTCTTCTTTCTAAAAAGAACTGTTTGGCCATAATGCACAGCACCACATTTGGCAAAAATCAAACACAAGATATTATCACAAACACCTCATACCAACTGTCAAGCAGGGTGGAGGAGGAGTGATGATTTTGGCTTGTTTTGCAGCCACAGGACCTGGGAACATTGCAGTCATTGAGTCAATTATGAACTCTGTAAACCAAAGCATTCTAGAGTCACATATGAGGCCATCTGTCCGAAATGTGGTCATGCAACAGGACAATGATCCCATGCACACCAGCAAATCTACAACAGAATTGCTGGAAAAGAAACAAGGTGTTGCAATGGTCCAGTCAGTCCAGACCTCAACCCGATTGAAATACTGGGGCAGGACCTTAAGAGAGCTGTGCATAAACAAAAGCTCGGAAACCTCAATGAACTGAAGTTTGTTGTTACAAAAAAAAGTGAACCAAAATCCTCCCAACGATGTGAGACTGATAAGTCATAGAAAATGATTACTTCAAATTATTGCTGCTAAATGTGGTTACACAAGCTATTGAATCATAAGGTGTATTATGTTTTTCACACATGGCTTCTCCATTTTGGCTTTATTTTTGTTAAATAAATCATGGCAGTGAAATATGTCATCTGTTGTTCATTTGAGGTTGTATTTATCGAATTTCAAGACCTCCTAAGGAACAGATGCTGGTTATTGTGTTCCGATATGTAAAACCATAGAATTCAAAAAAGGTGTACTTTCTTTTCCCCATGACTGTTTCTATAAAGCACTTTAGATCTAGAAAAGGACAAAAAAAATTATATATAAAAATAAAAAACATCCACTATACAAATAAATATAATAGTTAAAATCGTATATAAAAAAAAAATGACCTATTTTAAATTCAGCATTTAAACCTGCAGGGTGTAAAGAGCCTGCAATCTAAAAATCAACCTCATTACTGAACCAATCTTTTAAATTAAAATTTCCTCCCTTCCATTTTTAACCCCTTAAGGACACAACGTCTGGAATAAAATTCAATCATGACGGAATATTTCCGTCACGTGTCCTTAACGGGTTAAAGAACTTTTTTACCACCTACAAACGTAAAATGTTTATGATTTTTTTTCATGGTTTTCTAAAAAAAATTTGCTTTTCAAAACCTTTTTATATTTCTAATGTGCTTTGCCACAATTGCCACACGCATGTGCAAGTGTCTAGTTGTCATTCCTGCATATTGCATATTACAGGGACAGGACAATATATATGTTTTTTATGCAACATGGTTGGTTGCATAATTTTAAAATGCTTTCTCGTTCTGTAACTCTTAAATTCTTTTATATTGGTTTTTCTAAATCCTGTTTCTCTGCAGGCTACATTGGGAAAAATCAATTTTCTAAATTAATAAAACTGATTTTGTTTCCTTTTCTAAAAGTATTATTGACTAATTTTGATTTGATACTAGATGTGCTCCTATAGATATTTTTTTTTAAAGAAACTATATTTTTTTAAAGCTGGATCTTTTGCTAATATAAACCAGAATTTCTTTATAACATGTCTTAAATCTCCATTATTCCATGAATAATTATCGATGGATACATATCGTGTTTCCCTGAAAAGACCGGGTCTTATATTAATTTTTCCCCCGAGAAATGCACTAGGGCTTATTTTCGGGGGAGATCTTATTTCGTGGGAAAACGTGTGCTATTCCCCCGAACATAGACCTATTCACTAGGGCATGAAATCCTGCAAATCTATGTTCGGGATTAGCTTACTCGCTAACAGAATACTGCAAATCTATGTTCGGGAAATTTCCCTGAACATAGATTAGTTCACTCGCAAATGGAATCTTGCGTATCTATGTTCAGGGATAAGCTTACTCGCAAATGGAATTCCGCGAAGCTATGTTTCCGGAAAATTCCCGAACATAAATTAGCAAACAACTAGGGCTTATTTTCAGGATAGGGCTTATATTAGGAGCATATATATCTACCCTTATTTCTTGTTGTAAAATTCCCTGATTTTATAAAATTTATTATCTACTTATTTTGATGCCTTCCTTAAAACTTAAGGGTTATAATTATTTTCCTTAAATTCTTTCAAAATTCTTAGAGGCTGTTATTTATATACAACATCTTCTGAAATGGTACTTTTTACCCTCGTAGGTTGTCCTTTTGGAATATATTTTTTACTCTGGGTTTATAATGACAGCTAATATAACTATGTACATCTTTTTTTATTTGTAAACACAAAAAGGTGTGGTAGTGATTGGCACTTATTAGATATTATACAGTAACAGTTTTTATACTTTTAGGCGCTGTGAACACTCTGTGGGTACTCCCAATACCCCACCATAAAACAATAAACACCAAAAGACAAATAACTCGAGGTCTGGTTGGTGTTTCCACCTTCCACGCCTCTAGTTAGAATGCAGTGCTATGTAGATCTATACAGGATAATGTGCTTGTATACATATATATGCAACTCACCCCTCTCTGTAAACTTGTTTAGGGGGTGTACATGAAAGACAAAAAAGGGAATAATCATGCAATATTGTATATACACTGAAGACAGAATTTTTAGTAGTGTGTGTGAGTTAAATTTACTCACATTTTTCAGAGTCTTTTTTTTAAATTTGTTTTATAAATGTGCTGGTATGTATCTGGCCTTCTTTTATGTATTTATTAAGATCTAAATGTACTTGTTCATGAAATACTGTAGATTATTTAATCCCCAAATTGATTACTGTAAAGAAACTTCAGAACCCTTCCAAATCCAAAATAAATAATCTAGGAGATCAAGTACTGTGCCCAGCCACACTGATTGTGAATAAAAAAGAGATTCCCAATATGCCATTAATAAACTAGCATAGATGGACGCAAACTTGGTCCCCTTGGCCGTTCCGAGGATTTGTAAATAAAACTCTTTATCAAAAGAGAAAGGATTGTTATTTAGAATTAATTCAATTCCTTCTAAAATATTCCATTTGGCTTCCCGGACCATGTGACCTTCTAAGATCCAAATACACTGCTTCCAAACCCTTCTCATACTTAATAGAATAAAGGGATGAAAATTCATTTAGTGTCCTTCCCACTTAATTTTTTTTAAAATGTATAATAAATGAATGGTATCTCTAAGATAGGAGGGGGTTTATATAATGAATGGTTGTAAAAAATAATCAATATATTGCAATAAAGGTGATGATATTGAATCTATCCAGGAAATAATTAGTCTTCCTGGTGATCTAATGGGTCTTTATGTAATTTGGAGAGATTATATCTGGGATATAAGGCACTAAGTGGTTTTCATTTTTTTTTTTTTTTTTTTGACTGGATACTTATATATTACCAAATATAGAACATAATGAATATGTAGATGTTCATGAACGTTGTATCAACATTTATTGCAGACCGAGTGTCCAATTAAAAATAAGAGGCAGGTAGGAAACAAAGGACCAATGGATGAAAAGAATGGGCAATCTGCAGCATTAAATTAAGAGAAAGAATGAGCCCATATGGCGTTTTAATAAGCCCAGGAAGTCTG